GAGACAGACCACAGGAAAGGGAAGAAAAGAAGAAGAACGACACGCGAACATACATACACCAGACTGGCAAGAGTACATGCATACGCGCCTGAACGTTTCCTGTGAGCCAACCAAGCGAGGGTTCGGTCCTTTTCCCCTCCTCCTTTTGATAAGCTGGTAGGTCGCATTGCATCAAAAAAAAAAAAGGCAGAAGCTTGCAGCGGAATTTGGACACCTGCATACATAGTACATGCTCAAGTGACGGCAGCAGTGATGCAAGACCAAAAATTTCTTTTCTCCACCTCCAGGACCGCCGGAGCCAGCGGGATGGCGGGCTTGCGGTTGCAAATCAGCAAGTTCTCGAGTCGGTCATTGGCTCTTCTCAGCAGCGCGGTGAGGCCACTTTTACGACATATGCACATGACAGAGCTGCAAAAGAGCGGCGGTGCGGAGTACCGAATATGACGAGTTACAGTGCAGTTTGTACTACTAATGGCATAGTACTCAAAGGAAAACTTGAGCGTCAAAATGTCTCTAGCGCAGGAGGCTATTCTGAATCAGGAGACTGACTCCGAGGACGGGCAGAAACGGGCAAGCCCTTTTTTTTTTAAATAAAAAAATTGTCTTTTTTCCCTGATTGCCTTGACTGAGTTGCCCCCTCCCTTGTGTGGGCTCAACTATACTAACTATGGTACAGATAAGTTTTTGGTAGTACCGTAATAAGTACTGTACGTATGTATGTACACACACTATATACAGTATTGGGGAACAGATGGAAAAAGGATCTTCATGGCCCGGTGAAGGAGGAGGATACTGCAAGCTGCTTGGGCAGCAGGATTCATCTCGTATTTCGTCATTTTTCATCTCATCAAAAGATGACACAGGTGCCTTCGGTCACAGTGCGATCTTTTTGGGTACCACAAAATGAAGTAGCTTCTTCGAAGGTTTGCCACACGTAGGGCTCCTCTCCTATCCAAGAGAGAGAGAGAGACAAGAGGGAGGAGGAGCTGAAGGAGAGGACGATACACAGGTCCAGCGGGATATGGCTGATGGGCGCCGTTTGCGCAACGTTGGACACATGTTGTTCGAGGGCAGAATTACTATGGTATGTACATACACATTATGGTAGTACTATTATATATATACATGTGTGTGTATGTGTGTGTGTGTGTGTGTGTGTGTGTGTGTGTATATCCCTTACCGTAAATTCCGAGTTAATGGCATCGGTCACAATAGCACGGAGACTTCGCGGCTGTGGCGCTGGCCCTCATATCCGAAAAGACGATTTAACCCAGGCATTCCAAAATGCGCGGTGGCGGTGTATCGGCAAAAGCCCTTTTTGTTTTGTCTTGGCTTCGTTCTCACTGGCAGCTCACCCATCCATCACCACGAATCCATTCCTCTCTCTCTCTCTCTCTCTGTGTGTCTCTCTCTTCGTCACTTAACCGCTGCCCAGTTTGGCAAGTGCTTTTCTCTAGGTAACCCTCTTCCTTTTGTTTCAGCACCTTTCGACATGAGAAAAGTCTGTCGTCTTTTTGAAGAAGAAAAAAGAGAGGGAAATAGCCAGTCAAATTTTCCACTTTGACAAAGTGCCATGCCATACATAGTACAATCTCCAGTGGATTGAGTAGTAAAACCCCCCCTGCCCAACCAAACAACGTAATAAGCAACCGACCGAAACCCCTCCCAGTAATCCTCCGCGGTAGCGAGATCCTCGCAGCAGCAACGCAGCAGCAGGTCTCAGGGGAACCGGGGATGGGGGAAGGGGTTTGCTACGGCTGTCGTGCCAGGGCAGGGGGGAAATGACAGGACATGTCCCTCAGGGGTCTTTTTCTTTTCCAAAGAAAGATTTCTAAACGGAAACAGATCCACCTCGCAAGTTTCTGATAGGGGGTAATTTGACCCGGCAGACACACACACACACACACACACATATACTATGGCACACACACAAACAGAGGAATCTCGTTTTATTGGGTTGGGATTTTTATTTTAGTAATTTCTTTATTTGATTCGAGTATGCACTGTGTGAAGTTTTTTTTTCTTTGGGGGAGGGGGGGTTGTACCATAGTACATTCTAACACTTTCTCTCTCCCTCCCTCTCCCCTTCCATAGTTACTACTACTAAAGTACTAAAGTAGAGAGGAGAGACCCCACAAACGTGTTACTCCAAAGATACGTACTACTTACTACCAGAACACACTCCCCCCCCCCCTCCCTCTTGACCCTCCTCCCCCTCCTGGTCCAACTTTATAATGTACTATTATATATATACATGTGTGTGTATGTGTGTGTGTGTGTGTGTGTGTGTGTGTGTGTATATCCCTTACCGTAAATTCCGAGTTAATGGCATCGGTCACAATAGCACGGAGACTTCGCGGCTGTGGCGCTGGCCCTCATATCCGAAAAGACGATTTAACCCAGGCATTCCAAAATGCGCGGTGGCGGTGTATCGGCAAAAGCCCTTTTTGTTTTGTCTTGGCTTCGTTCTCACTGGCAGCTCACCCATCCATCACCACGAATCCATTCCTCTCTCTCTCTCTCTCTCTCTCTCTCCAAGGTTTCTTTTTCTTGAGGGGACACAAAGACATTCGCCGCCGGGGACACAAGACCACCACCACAGCTGACGGGGTTATTAATAATGGAGGAAACACACACATAACATTTAGATTGAATGACGAAAATGGGAAGCACACCTTCTCGCTGGATTGCACATCTGTCCATTTATTCTAATTCTGATCTGTCTTCCTATTTGCTAGCAAACGAGGGCGGGATGTCCGCCTGAACCCCGGGGCCCCTTTTTCTCTAACTCTTTTGATGATGATGATGATGATGAGTGACCAAGTGACGATGGATACTTCCCACGGCACCGTGCAGATTTCTCACTTCTCAGGTTTCTTTCCTCTGGGTGTGGCGGTAACGATATTGTTGGTCTCCGGCTGAAAAAAGAGGGAGGGAGAGAGAGAGAGAGAGAGAGAGAGAGAGAGAGAGAGAGATGGAAGAATACGGGCAAGAGTCACAGAGTGTGTGCCACATACATGTCGACGACGACCTGTCCGCCCACAGCCTGACCGCCTCGCTTCTCTTTGCTGGGACTCTTCCATCAGCTGTGCATACGTGTGTCATCTGTGATGAATCAAGCAAGTCCCTCCTTCATTCTCGTTGCCTACCTAATCTCACCCCACCAGCATGTCAACACCAGCCAGACCGCAGGGAGGACGGATGAATGGATGAATATACCCTCTACCCAAACCGCAATCTGCAGAACATTCCGTTCACAGGCACCTTTGCCCCCCCCCCCCCAAATGCACACCACATCCCATCATCCGTCGGCCCGTCTCGCCAAAGCCGGGACCGGGCGCATGTATATTGATTTGATCAAGCCACGGGGAAGGGCGCGTCATGATAGGTTCGTCCTTTCTTCCATTACTTTTTTTTTTCTTTCTGTTGTGTCTCAAGTAGATATCGTGTGGCTTGTCAGCCATCCGGACAAAAAAAGCAGAGAGCACTCATTCTTTGCCCCCTTCTTCCCCTGCCTCCTCCTCCTCCTCCTTCCTTCTCTTGTCCTTGTGCTTCAGCCACTACCAAACAAGAGAGAAGAAAAGACATGTACCTTTTCCCGACAGCCCGGGTCCAAGAAGAAGTAACCACCACCACAGCCACGCAGAACCCGCGCAGTGGTCCCCCCCCCCCCCCCACACCATGTCTCAGACTGCTGTGGCCTTGTCTGACTGACTTGAGTTTGGCCCCTCCGGACCGGTAGAGAAGTACAGTACATACAGGTGGGTCACCATGATCGGGTGTTTTTTTTTTGTTTTTTTTGTTGTTACTTGTCTGGTTGTTTTCCTTCTCTCTGTTCGACCGTGAGAAATGAGCTGGAAAAGAACGAAGGGGCGCCACCGAGCACTTTTTTTTGCCTTGTGTCACCGCCCAAGCACTTATGACAAGTAGGAGATCAGAAAGGAAGAAAGGCAGAGAGAGAGAGAGAGAGAGAGAGAGAGAGAGAGAGAGAGAGAGAGAGAGAGAGAGAGAGAGAAAAGAGGAAGAGAGAAATAAAGAAGCCAAAGCAATCCCCCCCCCCCCTCCCCAACCCCAACCACATATCCCATCCATACATCAGCTCCCTTGCGGCCGTTGTCGTCGTCGGTGGCGGCGCCCAGACTGGGGTTTGCCCCTCCTTTTTCCCATGGCCACCGCCTCATCAACACGCCACAGTTGTAAGTGAGCGAGTAACTGAGTTGAGTGATCGTGCATGCAAAGGTGGAAAGACAACGCCCCCTCCTCCCTCCCCTCCCCCACTCTCAACTGTCATCACTCCTCAACGGCTTCAGATGGGTGGGCTAGGGCTAGACCAAAAGCCAAGCCCAGCGTTTGTCTCGGCGCATTGCTGAGAGGGTAAGAAAAAAGGAGCCGGGTGTGGGGGGGGGGGGGGGTTGGCTTCCACTGCTGTGGGTGTTGCATCTGACCGCAAGTAGACTGAACTGTGTTGTTTAGTTTTCTCTCTCTCTCTCTCTCTCTCTCTCTCTCTCTCTCTCTTTGTTGCTTCTAAGCTGGACGGGACAGGAAAAAGTATATCAAAAGGCCGAGGGCACACATAGTCAAAGCCAACAAGCAAAGCCACAGACATCAGACACACACCCACCAAGCCCATCCGTCGTCATCTAGAAAGGATTCCCCGAGTCAGGCCGCCGACGTCTCATGCATATTCAAGACTCTCTCGCAGTCTCTCTTATGACTGATGTGATTTGGTGATCGCCCGTCCGCCCCCCTCAGCAATGTATGCCGCCCCAGACAGCCCAAAGACGGGGAAGATCAAGACAGAGACGGTATTGATTCCATGAGTGTCGCTGCTAAGATCTCATCTTCAGCTTGGTACGAGACTCGGTCGCACGACACGAGATGAAGGAGGGCTCCTTGTCCTGTCCAATTTAGTATTTACTGTCCATGATGAGAATTGCGAGGACTCACCAGACAGATTGCCCTGAACAGACACAGCCATGGCACGAGTACAGGTCGGCGGTACGTAGATAATCGTGACATTCATATCCCTCTCTGTTTTTCAATCTTCCCAAGGTAATTTTTCCCACTCCAACCAGCCTCTTTGTATGAACCCAGCATGCTTATATACACACATGAAAACCACGTAATAAATAGATCTTGTTCACTCGCTCTCGAGACGCTTGCTAGATGTTGTGCAGTTCATCAAATACGTCAACAGACCCTCCGCCCTCCCCCCCCCCCCCGGCTCATGATGTGCCAAATATGCCCAAATTCTTTTCTTCTTTTTTCCTTTCTTTTTTCTTCAGGATTCATAACAGAATAGTATCATCAATCGTTTCTCACGCTGACAGGCTCTCTCTCGCGCTCTCGGTCTCGGTGGCGGTGACTGCGGATCGGTAGGCGATCGCGGTCGTCGGCTGAGTACTCAAGTCGGAGTGGCCCGTCATCCTCATGCCGGTGCTTCCTGGGGCGGGGCTCGCGCTCACGTCGCCTCTCATCCTCTTCCTCGTCCCGTGGATCTCGCCGATGTGACCTGTGAGGCTTCCGTCGCTCATCCCCTTCTTCGTCCCGCTCGTCATCCTTCTCGCGGTCCTCATACTCCTGCCGTCTCATATCTGTGCGGGTTGTCAGCCTTTCCCATCTTCATAATGATCTGCAACTGCAGAGCCAGAAAGAAAAAAAAGGGAATGGCCGGAAAAAGGACAAAGGAGACGACAAGCACAGGCACAAGGCACGGGCGCAAGTGTCACGGGGGAACGGCAGGCGTGGAAAAAGGGACCAGGGCGAAGGCGAAGGCGAAGGCGAAGACGAAGACGAAGGCGAGAACGTGGGACGTGGGACGTGGGACGTGGGCGAGGCAGGAAATCACGGCGTGGACGACACGGCGAACGGCGACGGGGCGGCGGACGGCGAACGAACAGACGACGGACGGAGCCAGGGGAAGCAAGAACAAAAAAAACAAAAAAAAAAAAAAAAAAAAAAAAGAAGAAAAAGAGAACTAGAATCAAGAAAATGGAAAAGGGAGCAACCCACCTCTCAGCTGTGCCGTGGCGGCCGTATAGGCCTCGATCTCCTCCTTGTTCAGGACGCGAAGCACAATCACAAAGTCGTCCCGAACCTCAAAACGCTCCTTGCCGATCGTCAGAGCCTCAGGGTTGACCAGCTTGCGGCTGATCTTGGTCCAGCGGGCACCGGGCGGCACATTGCCTTTGGTCTTGTCGTCCTTGTGTGGGGCAACACCCTCGCGCACGGGGTTGGGCTCCTCGGGGAATTGTGGTTTCGGCTGCTTCAGGATGCCCTTGATCGGCTTCTTGTCATCCTTGTCTCTGGGAGGCGACACCACTCTGACCTGCTTGTTGTCCTCGGCCGCAGATGAGGTCTCACGGCCCCTCGAGTCGTCCTTGGATGACGATGTCGTGGTCTCCCTGGCATCGTCCTCTCCTCGAGAGGTCGGCGGCGTGTTGTGTCGGTCGGGCGACGGCGGGGCCTTGCTTGTCGCCGCCTTCTTTTTCTCCTTGTCATCGTCAGACTCCTCCTGGGCCCTGAGCTGCTCCTTGAGAGCCTGCAGGCTGGCGGCGTCGTTGGGCTTGAAGGCGGCGGCGGACGCGGGCCGGCGGCGGCGCCGTGATGGTTTGCTCTCGTCTGAGGAGGAATTGGGATCCCTTGCCGTGCCAGCAGCAGCGGAATCGCCATTGAGCCTTGCCTCGGCATCACGCCTGTTGCGGTCCCTCTCGTCTCCGTCTTCGGGGTCACGGTCCTTTCGCGATTTCTCTTTGGATCCTGCTGGGCCATCTGTATCGTCTCGCGGTCGGTCCTCGGCCTCTCTCCTAGATGGCTTCAGGCGCTCTCGCTCTCCATCTTCCTCCCTGCGGGCCTCGTCATCCCCGCGCCTCCTGGGCGAGCCCTTGTCGTCCTTGTCGTCCTTGTGACCGTGGCCTATAGCCCCGCCCAGACCGATGGCACCAGCTGCGAGGCTCAGCCCCGTAGCAACCTTGTCGCGGAGCTTGCCCTTGTCGCGGTCATCATCGCGGACACTGTCATCTTTGGCACTCTTCCTGTCCGGGCGATATGCTGCCTCCTCCCTCCTGCTGCCGTGGTCCCGGCCGTACTGGCGATCATAGCGGTCGTCTTCCTCATCTGAATGCCGCCTGGGCTCACGCTCCTCCATGCGTGAGTCGCGCCGGCGCTCACGGCTGGGAGCATAGTCCTCACGGATGGCAGTGTCCTTGTCCCTCTTCTTTTCGGTTTCAGCCCGCAAGCTGGGACCCCGGGCACCAACATCCTCCTCACGATAGTAGTCCCGGGCTCTCGAATCCCGTGGGGGGTAGTCGTCCTGGTAGAGCGACGTGGGCCGGGGCCCATTTCGTGATGGGCGTCGCTCGACAGTGACGGGTGCGACCTCCAGCTGGCCTGCTCGACGGTCAGATGGTAGTGGTGGTGGTGGTGGTGGTGGGATGGTCGCAACCGTGGTGGATGGGGGCACGCGGAGGGACGGCCGCTCGTAGAAGCTGGGGGGTGTCGTGTCTTCGACAACCCTCCTGTTGACCTTGTCCAGGCCTCGCGTGGTCGGCGGCGGACCTCCTCTGGCACGACTGTCGTACGGCCTGCGTTCGACGTCACCGACGGTCACGGTAGGACGGTAGTAAGACGAGTGATGGCGGTCGTTGTCCAGGTCATAGCGGAGCAGGGCACCAGGGCCCGTGTACTCGTAGCCCGAGTCGCCCAGGTCCGCCGCTGTGGAACTGTGCCGGGCCGGGTTGGCGTAGTACGAGGACGGCCTCTCGCGGCGGGGTTCATTCCAGGAGGGCATGAGCCGCTCATCGTTGGTCCTCTGCCGCAGACGACGGAGCTCCTCGTCGTCCAGGGTCGGTGTGGTTAGGATGGTCGATGCACGGCGGCTGTCTCTGTCCATGGCATAGCGGCTGTGGCTGCGGGACCGCATAGAAGACGCGGGCTGCGAGATCAGATAGCTGTCATCCTCCCTGTAGGCGTTCCTGCCCCGGTCCCTGTCCCGGCCGGGTAGAGGGCTCTGGGGAACATCTCTGGAGGGGTGCGATGCGGTGGTGGAGGAGGAGGAGGCCGTCTCCTTGGCCTGCCGGGTGGTCACGATGATGGGCGGTCTCCTGGCGCCTACGTCGAGGGTGGAGCTCCGGGCGCGGCTGTGCTCCCTGACGCTGGCGCTCCTGGTGACAGGATCCGTCTTCACGGTGTAGGTGGTGGTGGTGACGGGAATGTTGGGACCGCGCCAGTCGTTGGAGACAGAGTTGGAGTTGCGGCGGCGGTGATGGTGGCCGGCCGTGGCGGCGGCTGTAGTGGTATTGTGGTGTCGCGGCTGGGCGATGGTTGTCTCGTGGCGCGGCACAGGTGTGACGTGGATATCACCGCCGTAATAGGACGAGGTGGGCACGCTGGGCAGGGAGGCGCGCCCATAGTCGTAGATGGGCGATCTCCTCCCCGAACGATCGTAGCGGTCCCCCATGGCGACAGGCCCAGACCGAGACCACGAGTCGGCGAGCGTGGCGCTATCGAGCGTATAAAGAGGGAACGTCGACAAGGCGGGGCCGACCCGACCCGAACCGGGCTGCGAACGCAGCGGCGGTAGTAGCGGAAGGGATGTGAGGAATGTGTTGCTCCAGGGAACGGCGCGGACGGCTCAGGATAAGCGCATATACCCCTTCTTTGATGGTTTTGTATGGGTGTGCGTGTTGCTGCAGTCGAAAGAGCGGCGAGATGGTGGTCGAGCGATTCCCCCAAGGTTCGCAAAGGGAAGCGGAGAGGAGGGGAGGGGACACCGTCGACGCGGGGGCGGACTGGAGATAGCCTTATGCGTGTCAGAGACGAGCGGCCGCCGAGGAGTGTGGTAGTATGGGGCGGGACAGCAACAAGATGCTTTCTACAAGGGCGGCACGAGACGAGGAGTAGGAGAAGAAGGAGAAGCTGGGTGGCGAACCTAAGTGCTTGGCTTGTCTGGCTGGTGTGGTAAAGTAGCGTATCTTATATCGTCGGAAGACGAAAAGGTCGAGGTCGAGGAGAAGGAGGAAGAGGAGGAGGAGGAACGAGGGAGGGGTCCTTTCTGGTGTGGCCCGATTCGGTTGGAGACGGAGGAGTGAGATTCCTGGGGCCAAGAAAGATGCAAGTCGTCCTCCCTGCTTATTCGCCTTGTTGAAGAAGGAGGTGACGATCGAGAAATGTGGTCGTCGTGACTTATCTTCTAAAAAAAAAAAAAAAAAGAAAAAAAAGTCCAAGTTAAAAATGTATCGCCAAGGGAGAGAGTTGCATATCCTGTTCTGTCCTGTCCACCGAGTCCTCCAAGAAATGCCCTTTCATTGTAGAAGGGAGAGGGGAGACTCGAGAGACAGAGAGTGTGTCTCAAAGAGAACGAGGACAAAGGCAGATAGACAAAGATAACATGCGATTGAAGACATACCACAGTATAACAATAGCCTGACAATGAGGAGTTCGAGGCAGAAGGCCAGTAACACCCTCAGAGATGCTGGCAACCAGTGCAAGTCGAGATGTAAAGTCTAAGGAGAAAGAGTTCCTGTTGTGGACCGTTGTGGTGAGCGGAAAGGAGGGTATGATAGGAAGGCTTCGACAAGAGAGACAAAACACAGGTGGGGGGAGAAAGAAGGAGGGGTGGAAGAAGAAGTATGGATCAGCAGGAGGGCAGAAAATAAGACTGACTTGTACTGACGGTTCAACGAAACGTACGCTGCCTTGTGAGTAAGTACTGCATAACATGTACTATAGTAGGGACGTAACCATAGCAGATTCATTCCATCCATTCCAACTCAGCCTTGAAAAGAAAAAAGATGAGGTGGATACCGAAGAGGGCAGAACGGAGACTCGGCAGACGGAGGCACTGGCAGACAGGGCAGTCATGCAGCACACATGCATGCGTTTTTCCTCCACCCAATAGCGCCACCCGGCAGGGGTTGAAGGGAAGAAGGAGAAAAAAATTCCAGAGGCAACTCCCATCATGAAGCAACCAGCTTCACTGTACCTGGTAGGTACTAGGTAGTTGGGGCGGGGTGGGAAGGGGAGGCCCTGCAGTGGTCCTAGAGAGGCATTAGGCAGGGGCGGATGAGGGGGCAATCGGTGCAAGTGGTAGCATGGATGGCTAGGGTCATCAGTGGCCCAAGGCCAGTAAGTGGTCAATGACCAGTGGGTAATTGGGCAGTTGGGCAGTGGAAGGAGGGAAGAGGGGCTCAACTTTTCCTCCTCCTCCTCCTCCTCCTCCTCCTCCTCCTCCTCCTCCTCCTCCTCCTCCTCCTCCTCCTCCTTCTCTTAACCGCCGTATCTTACCCTCGCCCGCGCCCTCTCTGTGCTCACGTTCAAACCTCAAACCTTGACCCTCCGACTAAAATTTTCCCACCACCTGACCCCTGCAGCAAAGACGCCCATGTTTTTACCTCCTTACCAGGCCCTGCCTGGCTCGCTGGGCATCATTCATACATAGTGTGTGGGAAGCCAGGGGGTGGGATGAACAATTGCCCAGGGCGAAGCTTCTCTCACATGAGGATGGATATGGATGTCTGCTCTATGTACTGATGATACAGGGGGGCCCACCAGGGCTGAATTGCCAGGTGCCAGGTCAACATCAAGCTTAGGTCCTGTGCAGGGGGTCCTAGCTGTGGGGAGGGGAGGGGAGGGGGGAACGTCGCTGTTCTGGTCCCCCCTCTCTCCATTTGTGGGACCAGCAAAGTTTCCCCCCTCAGGCCCTTGCCAGGTGCCAGGCAACCTGTGGCACACTACTTGAGTATGTAGCTAGGCCCTGCGTGTTTCCACCCCACTACTACTTCAAGCATCGATGAGCTGTCAGGGGTCCTCCTCTGACATCACCACCTGGGATGACGTTGGGCTCTTTTCTGGATCTGTCTCTTTTTCTCTCTGTGTGTATACTATGGTCAGGTACTGCGGGTACTGTTATGTTCCATGGTAGTGGCTCGAGGCAGTGTCAATTTTCCCTTGCCCCTCTTCCTCCTCACCCACTCTCACCAGAAAAAACCACAAGAAAATACGAGGAGCCTGGAGAAAGCAGCCCACATATGCTTACTACTACAGCAGGTGCATTACTTTTACTGTTACCCTATATGCGTACTTGCAGACACACATATATGTACTCAGACCCGTTCGAACCCCGACTCGAGCATCAATGGTATTGCTGCTCCAGTTCCAAAGGCAATCGGCGAGCAAGCGAGCGGGTCTTGATGAATGCTACGTTAATAAAGGATCGCCCGAATAGACACAGATGCACGAGGCTGGATCTGGTTGGAGCTGAACCGTTCCCCTAAGCTGCTTCATAGAATGGTACAACCCCCCCCCCTTCCCCCCTGAAGCTCCGGATACGATGGCCGATCTGTTTCTGTTTTGGAGGTACCCCAACATTGCCACGTCCTTTGCTGTGCAAGTCAGTCCTACTTATCAATACGTGAAGTAGACGCTACGTCTTGACACCACACCATACATTTTCCGGATCACGCATCACAAAATATAGACATTGTTCCGTTCGGAGACACTCTGTTCTTCCCTCTACCACCTTTTGGGCTGGTGGGGTGGTACCACTTGTTTGTGTGACAGACAGCCTGATGATGCATGATGGCCCTTTTTTTTCTTCTTTGGTCTTTGTGCAGGCAAAGTTGTTCTGTACCCTCGCCCTTGCATGCTATCTATGCCATACCAAAGCTGTCCACTGACTAACAAATTACGATGCATGTATTGTTATCAGGATCCTGCGTGGCTGACGACTTGATACGAAAAGACCAGGAATTACCCATTGATACAACAATACATCACCGGCCTCGTTACACAACCTCCGAAGCTAGTCACCACGGAGATGCGAGGGCTGGGGGATGGTGCCCCCCTTCTTCTTCCTTTCTTTCCTCTTCTCTTTTTTGTGCAGCCTGCACTCTGGATGGGGAGCTCGTAGAACCAACCTCCATTTGCCCATCTGCAGGTGTGTTGATAAATGGATGATGGAAGAAGGGAAAATCCTCACACAACCTAACCTGGTATGGATCAGCCCCAGCTTACACACACACACACACACACACACACACACGTGAACACGTGTTCTGCGGCCATTCATAATTTCCACCCTCAGGTTGTTCAGAATCCGTCTGCTTCATTGGTGCCTAACCCTTGGCCTTTCCGTCCCGCTCTACATCTGAGAAAGGGGGGGGGGGAGGGGGTTGTCTCGGGGCTGGGGCTGGCCGGTCTATTGTATATGTGTGCGTACATACCACAGTACAGTAGTAATGAATTGGTAAAGAACACCTGTTCGCGCCAGATAAAAAGAATGCAATAGGGAGAGGGACGAGTGGGACGACGACGGAGGAGGAGGCGTGCGGTCTCGAACTGCCGGCGGGGCTCTGTTGTTGGCCTAGATGAGGAAGAATGGCACGTTGATGCCCGAAGAAGGTCGAGGCTGTGAGAGGAGCGCTATACATTGTCAAGGTACATTGTTACATACCGATACAACTCAACTCAAATCTTGAAAAGGATGACAAGAAGAAGAAGATGATGATGAAGAAGAAATGGACCAAATAAGTATGAGCCGCATCTGGCGCAGTATTGTTCCCCACCCGGCTCATCATCAACTACCTACCTCTTAAGCAAGTAATATTGAAAAGGTTTTGGGCGTTTCCGCCCAATGAGATTCTTTCTTTCTTTCTTTGTCTCGCTTATTCCATCGAGCGGCAGGGACACAGCAGGGCCAGTTTTGTCCAGCCCAGCCCAGCCCAGGCAGGTCCTTGTGGTTCCCCATTTAATTTGGTGTGTGTATGTGTGTGTGTGTGTGTGTGTGTGTTGGCGCAGAGAAAAGGAAGCAAAAGAGAGAGGAATAAAAAAAAACAATTAATCACATCGACTCGTCACTTTGATGGGTTACAGACAAGCGACCCTAAGGCATGTACTCATGCACTCCTGTACTCAAATATGTATGTCTGCCTTGGCCAGACCAAGTTGATGAGGGGGCGTAAGAGAATGGCAAAGAGCGGTCTGTATGCATGTATGTAACTCTGTTTTGTTCTTTCTCCTTTCTCCTTTCCCCTTTCTTTTCTTTTCCCCGCCTCTCATCTCATTGCAGAGGAGGTGATCTTGATGCAACACTGGGGCCAGGCCGGGTCGAATTGGTGTGTATGACAACAGACAACTAACCTTCTTCCCGGGCCGGCAACGTGCGCCACCACCGCTCACACATATGAACGCGAGGCTTACAGTGCTTGGAGGAAAGATGCCGTACTTACACGTGCCGGCTATTCTGCTCTCTGCCGGGGGCCAGTAGGCTCATACCGGGCCACATGGAAGAGGAGGCCCCCGGGGGGGGGGGGGCAAAGCTGGGTTGATTGACCGAGGGAATTTGCGTCCCGATGTTTTGTTTCTTTTGACGTAATGTGTATCACTTCCTCATGCAAGTCGAGTTAAATAATCTGTACAATTAAATATATTCATACTGCAGCCTCCTGCGGCATGCATTGGTGCGACCTTTTCTTGTATACGAAGGGTGAACATGGGCTAGATGATGCGGCTGTGCTGCTGTTCATGCTGCTGCCGCTGCCGCCGCCGAGGGAAACAAAAAATCCATTGGTTCTCAATCAGACAGGTAATGAGTACCCCCTCATGCAAGAGAGCCCATGGGATCCCAGAGAGGAAGGACGATGGGCTCCTTCTTGCGCACATCCTTGACCTCTTTGGACAAGAAACGTGGGTCGACCACAGCTTGGTAGACAAACTCGTCCATCCTATGAGAGAAAATGTGTCAGTAAGAAGCAAGATCTGCACCAACACAAGAGATAATATAGAGAGAGGGGGGGGGGAGGAGATAAGGGACATGCACATACCAAGCATCAGTCATAACCCACCACCCTTCCATGCCGCGATCTGCGCCCCAGCTGTTCTGCACCCGCCACCTGACCGTCTTGCCGGTCCTCTCATCGACATGCACAGCGGTGAGAACCATGGCATGCGTCATGGCGCTCTCGCCCGTCCGCAGGCGCGAGGCCTTGTCCATGCCCAGCATGCTCACGTTGAAGCCGAGCTCGTAGTCGATGAGGGCCACGTCCATGACACCCGACGCGTCGCTGAACTGGCCGACGTCGCTGCCGAAGAAGACGGGCAGGCCGGCCTTGAGCATGCTGACGCAGGCGTTCTTGAGGGTCTGCATGTCGACGTTGATGTAGGTGATGCCCCGGCCGCCGACCATGTTGCCCAGCCTGTCGACGGTCAGCAGCGACAGAGGCGGGTTGCGCGGATCGTGCACCAGCGAGACGAGCCCCGCCAGGACCGACGAGGTCACGCGGAAGTCGGCGCTCCAGATGTCGCTCGCGAAGTCGAGGGGCGTGGCGCTGACCTCCCTGGCTCGGCCGCTCTTGTCGACAAACTGCCAGGTGAACTCGTCGCTGGGGGTAGGCGGCGGGCCCAGGGTCAGGGTGAGGATGGAATGGATCTCCTTGACCATCTTGGCCTTGGCCGCGGCAATGGAGGATGCGGTGGTGGAGGGTGACTTGAGCATGGACCGGAGGATGAGGGCGTCCTCGCGCAGCTTAGTGAAGATGAGGGAGTTGATGACGGAACTGGACTTGGCGTTGAAGGAGTCGGGGTAGAGAACCTGGGGGACTGTGTGCGTGTGAGAAAAGAAGAGCAAGTAGAGAAGCGTTCTGAGTGGTTCTGTCATGGGCACAGAGGGGAATATGGCAAGAATTCCATCAGAAAACACGTACCCAGCCCGTACTTGGTCACGAGGTTGTAGACCATATCCCACTGACCACCATCAGAGAGCGGCGCCTGCACGAGAGTCTGGACGAGCCGAGAGTCCAGGTCCAGGTCAGCTGTGTCGATGATCTGCTCCAGGAAGAAGTTTGCCTTCTCCAGCTTATCCCTGATAGGTTGGATCAAGAGTCAGCCGCTGTCCAAGGAAACAGATGAAGATAACCTACCAGAAGAACAGCCATGCCTGGCTCAGCTCAAACGACTCCAGGTTGTACTTTTGCATGAGGGCGACCCGGAAGACATTGGTGGCCGCAAAGAGCCAGCACCGGCCACTGCTGCGCTGGTTGGTGATGGGCGCGCCCTCGAAGGGAATCTTGATATTGTAGACCTGCTGGTCGGCGATCTTGGCGGAGCGAGAGGTCAGGACGTCAGAAGGGTTGGCGGCGGACAGGGCCGAGAGGGCGAGCCTATTTCAAACAGAGAAAAGAGGTGAGAAACAATGACCAGAGACAGAGAAATATAACATCGTCTTCACACCATCGGATCTCATCTCACAATACACACCGTGCACACACACAATCAAATATATACAGAGATTATATATCAAATAGGTTGAAATATAAGGGAAGAGAGTAATAATATACCTGTTCTTGGGATCCTTCAGCAGCCTGGTCTGCCAGTCCTCCAGCTCTCCAACGTCGAGGGTAGAGGGCGAGTGCCTCAGCGCACCGAGTGTCTTCTCGTTGAGCGGGCCGTCGACCTCGACAAAGCCATCCTCGTTGATGGCCTGTTTCTTCTCCAGGTCGAGGGCGCGGAGGCGCTCGGCAACTGCCCGTCCGGCAGCGGCAGATGATGGTGTGGACTGGTTTGCACCCATAGCTACTCTCTTCACTGCCACTCTATTGTGATGTGTGTTATATGTTGTAGATATGAGCAATATAAGATGAAAATGAAGAATTGTTGCTAGAAGAGGAAAAGAGAGAACGGGGTGGGGGGCGAGAGCGCGAGAGAGAGGGTACCCCTCATGTGAAACGTGGAGGGAAGGTGGTGGTGGTGGGAAAAGTGCTTATCGGACCCGAGGAATAGATAGATCCATGTGCCCCCCACAGTCGTTGAGCTTGAGCCATCCAGTCCAGCTCACTGCGCAGCAGCCAGCAAGGTACTCACTCGGCCAAGCAGTGTAAACAAGGCACTTACACACATTCAAGCACAGCAAATTTTTTTTGATTGTTTTTTTACAACAGTCGATGTATTCCCAATGCTGCAATCTCAATTATCTCCTGAGGTCCATGTACACACAAAAGACTGACTATGTCTAGATCATCCTGACATGGAAATACTCAAGTTAGAGGCTAAAATCCTGGATTCCCAAGAAGCCTTCCCCCCAACCCAGTCGTGCCAGTTCGCCCTTTTTTGTGTCATGAATATCTTTGCAACAGGCCCGAACGACGAGAATGTACGTTTTCCCCTAGAGACTTTGGAGCATTCATTTGTACCATCATAAAACCCTCATTACCTCATATCGACAATAAAAAAAGAAGAAGAAAGAAGCAAGAAGAAACGAAGAAGAAAACAAGACAAGCACCAAATGGCGTCTCGCCCGCAAGAGATCAACACCAAGCTCAGAGCCGCCCCCTGAGTAAGAAAGGGCCGGCGAGCTGCAGTGGATCACCAGGCAGGGGAAAAATGAGAGACACACACACTCTCAGGCTTGACATTGCCCACAATGGCCCTCGCCCCATGCTCCTTTCCTTTTTCATTTTTCTCCTCTACAGCGACGAGCCGTGCAGCACCTTCATGTCCACTGCCATCTCCTTGCCGTGATGGTGAACCACCAGCACACGCAAAGATCCCCGACCCGAGTCGAAGGCCTTGGACAGGCGCTCCCACAGGTTGGACTGTTCGCTGACCGGCAGGCTCTGCTTGACATCGCCCGTCTCGGTCATGGCAACGACTGAAGATCCACAGCGTTAGCTTTTCAGTTACACGCGCTCGTCGGATAGGAAAGAAGATAAAGGGCCCAGAAAAAAAAAGAGGACAGGGCTTACCGTTGCCGTCCTGGAGGTCAAGAACGCGGTATTGCTTCATGATGGGACCGCGCATGGTCTGGACGACGACGCTGGGCGCCGGGTTGTGGACCTGGGAGGACTCCTCGTGGAGCTGCTTGGTGAACAGGTCGACTCCCAGGTAGCGGTGCTGGCCGGTGGCATTGGAGCTCGAGATGCGGATCACCTGGCACGGGTGGCCCTGGAGCATAAGGATATCGCCGATCCGGATGTGGTGGCAGGGGATGGTGACTGTATAGGGCGCAGGGTCCTCAGAGTAAGCCGAGTGTTCATGTCGAGGGTGGCTCTCCCGAACCTCCACCACCACCTCCCCAGTCTTATGCTCATGATGATGAGGATGAGAATGATGATGTTGATGATGACGCCCTTCGGGATGGACGACACGGTCCGCCAACTTATGGAGGCCGTGCCGGAAAGAGTGATAATGGCCTACGACGGGGAGGGCATTCAGATTGGAGAAGTGGCAAGGAGGTTTGAGAGAGAGAGGGGGGGGGGGGGGAAGGGAGGAGGGAACCAAATTGGTACATCTGTAGTTTACGAAGCAGAGAAACAAAGCAGCACTCGGGGACAAAACTCACCATCCTCGTCAAAGTAACCCATGTTGACTTTCTGTTCGTCGTGGCGATGGCGGTGGTGTTGATGATGCTTGGGGCGCTCAGAGCGGTCCAACTCGATGGTCTCCTCGACACGGACGGAATCCCTCACAAATGGGCGGATTCGGGGAGTCTCGACGGTAGTGTCGTCGACGCGGACGGTCTCCTTGATCACAGGTCGGCGGTAAGATCCGTCGACGGTGGTCTCGCTGACGTGAACGCTCTCCTTGACGGCGGGACGGTGGTGGTGGTGATGATGAGATTCGTCGATGACGGTCTCGTCGATGTGGACGCTCTCCTGGACGACAGGTCGGCGGTGTTGTTGGTGATACGATCCGTCGACAGTGGTCTCGGTCACGCGGACGTCCTCACGGTAGCCGGGTTGATATCGAGCACGGTACTCACGCTCGATCTTGTCGATAGGCGAATAGTACTGCTCGGACAGGTGCTCGTGTTGACGATGCTCCTCCTGCTCGTGATGGTGATGGTGGTGGTGACGAGGCCGGTGGGCGTCGATCTCGATGTGGGTGTCAGAGTAGGTGGAACGAGCAGGCCTGTTCACATACGACAAAAAAAGCAATGCAGAGTCAGCAGTGGGCTTCTTGCACAGAGAGGAGGAAGAGATGGAGGAGGAGGCTGGCAGAGGCAGTTGGGCTTTTCATCTGGCGACATCAGGAATCACGCCAGCGACCACACGATTTCATGGGGGAAGACCTGGCGCCGTCTCTCAAGGAAAAGGACTGCAACGAAAACAGATGGGTATTGGGCAATACCTGGGCTGTTGCTCCTTGAGCTCTTCGCGGTAATACTCCTCACGACGGACACCGGGGCGGCGGCGATAACGTTCGTCTTCCCTCTCCCTGACGATGCGGACCTCTTCCTCAGAGTAGCGACGCTGCTCTCCGCGAGGCGGAAGGTCGGCAGCAGAAGCGGCGGAGTGGGAAGAGTACTGACTACCTTCCCGCCCGGGCCTTTGGTGGTGGTGAGGAGGGAGCTCGATCTGCACCTCCTCGTGGGTGGTCGTGACCGACTCCTTCTGCTCGGCGTCGCGGTACGACGAGGGGAAGATGCTGAAGGGGACGGGGACTCTCGCTTCAAAATCCAGGTTGACTGCCTTGTATGGGCGCACAGAGTCGTCTTCTTCTCAACCTCGTCGCTCCAAAAGACGTTGACTGTTCAAGTCAAGGTCTCAGGAGACAAGAGGAAGAAAAAAAGATTTCCTCTGGCTTCTTCCTGGGGAAAGAAGTCGAAAGAAAAAGAGAGAGAAAGAGAAGGACCCTACCAATTGGATGGAACGGACTCCTTCTGTTTGGACTCTGGATTTTTCGATCGAGTTCCGGGCGTGGTTGGAGGAAGAAGAAGAAGCAGAAGAAGAGGGACTGAGGTTTCAAAGAGAAAGATTTGATTCCCAGATGAGGCTCTGTGTATGTGTATGCTTGCTCTTGATCTGCTCGATTGAGGAGGAGAGGACGTTGGCGTTGAGCGTATGTGTGGGAAAGAGAGAAAGAGAGAGGAGGGACTAGATCAGAAACAAGAGGGAAGGAAACGTGGGAAGAATAGAAGAGGAGGGAAGAAGAGAAGGCGGGCCATTGAAATAGTCCCCCAGAGAGCTACTTCTCCTCCCTCTTCCATCCTCCTCTCCTCTTCCTCGTCTCTCGTTGGACTGGACGGTTGCTACGGCGCTTGCTACCGGCCATGCATGTGGCCCCAGGGCCCAAGCTCCCTCCAAAGAGAGGTGTGTTTACTTTGGGTGGGGACCTGTGCCCAGAGCTACACAGCCGCAGCTTGTCCATGTTTATCCCATCCCTAAACAAGCCTAGCTTGACAGCCAGCCAGACAGCCAGACAGCCAGACAGGCTGGACCAGGGCTTCCAGCTCCGGGTGACCCCTGTCCTCGTGTGTCTTGTGTGTGTCTGACACCCCGATTCTGCCAGGCCGGCTCGGCGCGAGTCCACCAGATTGGACAGCAAGACACATACACACACAGAGAGAGAAAGAGAGGACACGAGAAGGGGGGCACAAAGTAGTAGGTGAGCTGCCTGCCCTAGGAGACGTTGCTTGTCTCGGCAGCAAGACAGCACTACAGGGCTTCAGCCTAGATACTAAGTAAGTAGTGGCCGTCAGGCCTTGAGGACCACGACGGCTCAGGCACCGTCATGCACACTACACTGTTGGTGCGTCCGTAAGTGTACGTCGCCATTAAAGAATGCCCAACCACCCTATTTCTCAAGTTGATAGGTCTTTGTTCCCGTACAGCCGGGGTGGGGGTGAGAACTGGCAGGTTGGACCTGGATCTGAAATAAGATGGATCTGACTTTTCTCTCTTTTCCCCCCTCTCTCGCGCATCAGAGATGGCTGGGGAAGTGGAGCAGGAGGTGATAGACGTGCAACACAACGCAATTGGCTTTCCAGGATGGGGTTTTCTTCCCCAGCCACTCCAGCCCGTCTTTTCTGCATCCCCAGCCAGCCTGCCCAGGATGCTTGCTGCCACCTCAGCTGCATCTCTAGCAGCAACACCGCAGATACTTAGGGCCGTCGCCTGTCTACCTAACTCAGGCTTCAGCGACAACATCTTCCATCGGGAGCGGGAGAGATGATATCTCTCTGGAAGGTGACTTGGTTCTACACAAAAGATACACACCCACAGAAAAGAGAGTGTGTAAAGGTGGGTGGGGTGGATGGACGGGATGGATGGGATGACCTGGTTTGTTGCCATGGGAACGCTCGCGCCAACCCGTAGGTCAATGTAACCAGCCCCCTGGGCCCCAAGATTTTGAATGAAACCCTTCTTTCCGGTTGAGCGGTTGAGGATCTTTCACATGTCGCCCCCCCCCCCCTACCTGGCACGCCTGGATCACATCTCAAAGATCGAAGCAGTGGATGTTTGTCTTGAAAACAAATCAAGGAAAATGGGGACTGCCACGACAGCTTTTGACCGAGGATGTCAAGATACCTCCCGTAGTGTTTGGACACTTTCACAACTAGATGACGTTTTGAGCGCGGGACCTACTGGTCCAGCAAAAGACTTAATGCTGTTGAGAATGACGAGTTCTCTGGTGCAAGACTGCAAGCTGGCCCTGGAAAGTAAAAATTCACCTTGGGCTATTTAAGCACTCTGTAATATGGTAGTAGACCCTGTTAACTGCTCCTTGCTGCGCACACTTTCCATGATGAGAAGGAGACGACGTATATAAACCCTTCCCCCCCCCCTTTCGGTGGAGGTATCAAATGTCAAGAGCGAAGGCCGTCCTCTTTCTACTGGGGCCCTTTCTGGCATGGCCGTCGTCGTCAGGCTCGAGTCGGCGGCGGTAGACTCGTCCTCCGACGCCCGAGAGAGCATTTAACTCTCTACCACGCCCAGCTGCTTGGATATACGGTCGAATCGGGTCCCAAAGGGGGCGCGACGGCGGCGAGGGCGTACAAGGCAGGGGAGTTGTTTGCCAAAGCCTTGGAGAAAGAAGAAAAAAAAAAAGAAAAAAGCTCTTCTACCAGTGCTTTCCAGCCAAAGAGAAGACGTGACAGCCATCTGGGGAGCCGCCGGGCCCAGTACTCGCCCACGAGCTCGGCCAGCCAGTTCACAGAGGGATTGATTTCACGATCACTGCCGGTGGATGTGACGTTATACATCGCACTAGGGATAAGGTCCCAATACATGGAAACAGTACGACAGCCCCCGGTGTTGCGGGCGTACACTCTGAGGCCAGTAATATCACACGTGGGGCCGATACTGTCATGAGATCCGATGGCTCCGCTGCACGAGCTTTCGACAAGCATCTCCGAAACCACCTCTTCTGGTTGGAATCTCTGCCCCAGGAGTTCCGACATGGCTACTGGCTGACTACGCTCAAAACTAACCTGGTTGGTGGTCTGGCGACGGTCTCCTCGGGCCAAGCTGGTCCAGTATGTGGAGGACCTAGCCAAGCAAATAAAACAATGGAGGAAGTGCTGGTAGGTCATAAAAAAAGACTTCAAACTTCCCTTCGAATATTTAAAAAAAAGATTGCGCACAATTATTGCGAGCCAACGAGGGATGTGAAGCAACGGCTCCATGAGGCAGAGGAAACAATTGCCTATCCGGAGAAACACCACCGTGGTATTTGCCGAGGGTTTACGTCAGAAATGTCATAGGGTGCCGAAAAAATTGTTGTCAGAGAAGAAGGAACGTGGAGAGGGAGTGGATGGGGGGTTTCTTCGTTGTAGTTTTTTCTTCTTCCCTTTTCTCTTCTTGTTGGTCTTGCTTCTTTTTTCTCCTTCATTTGTATATCAACAAATGATCGAGGTGATGTCACTACTTACATAATCAACCATATGTACTAGTATGATTCACTCCAGCACTGCGTTTCTGTACCCCACATTCTTGACGCTGCCTGTTTCCCCAAGCATAGCAGCCAACCGCCGATATTGCCTCCAGGACAAACCTCGTCGTGGTTCTCAAAAATATGAAGCAACGCTTCTCGTCTCTGGATGTCAAGGTATGTCTTCTGCCTTGCTGATGCTGCGGGCGAGCCATGCCGGCTGACTGTTCTTCCTCTCTTTCTCCATGGCTAGGTCGCCGCCCATGAACTGTCCCAGGGCTTGGTCGGCCTTCGCCTGGCCAACATCTACGACATCTCCTCCAAGAAGATCCTCCTCAAGTTCGCCGTGGCTGGGAAGCGAGAACAGCTCCTCATCGACTCCGGGTTCCGGACCCACTTGACCGAGTTCACGCGAGCTACTGCTGCTGCCCCCTCCGCCTTTACTGCACGCTTGAGAAAGTTTCTCAAGACACGGAGATGCTCGTCTATATCACAGGTTGGGACGGACAGGATCATGGAGCTCCAGTTCAGCGACGGCGCCTACCGCCTGTATCTCGAGTTCTTTGCTGCCGGCAATGTCATCCTCACCGACGCCGACCTCAAGATCCTGGCTATCCTGCGCAACGTCTCCGAGGGCGAAGGCCAGGAACCTCAGAGGGCCGGTCTGACATACTCGCTCGAAAATCGCCAGAACTATGGTGGCGTGCCTCCTCTGGTTCGAGAGCGGGTCCGCGGCGCGCTCTCGGCGTCGGTCAAGAAGGCCGAGGCAGCTGAAGCAGCCCTCGCCAAGAAAAAACACAAGAGAAAACCCGGCGATGAGCTGAGGAGGGGCCTGACGACCTCATTGGAAGAACTACCTCCTGTCGTGGTCGATCATGCCTTTGCGGCAACCGGGTTCGAGCCCACCGTCATGCCGGGCGAGGTGCTCGAGAACGATGTGCTCTTCGAGGCACTCTTCCATGCACTGGAGGAAGCCCGCAGGATAGTGGACGAGGTGACCAGCGCAGCCACCTGCAAAGGTTACATTGTCGCCAGAAAGCGCGATGCCAAGGGGGGCGACCATCCCTCGACGCCGGAGGCTGAGAAGGCGCAGGGGCTCTTATACGAAGATTTCCAGCCATTCTTGCCTCATAAATACGAACACGACCCCCAGTACACCATCCTGACCTTTGACAGCTTCAACAAGACCCTTGATGAGTTCTTCTCTTCCATCGAGGGCCAGAAGCTGGAGGCCAGGCTGAGCGACCGCGAAGCCACCGCAAAGAGGAAGCTCGAGGCGGTCCGGGCCATACAGGAGCAGAAGGTCGAGGGTCTCAAGACGGCGCAGATACTCAATCTGCGCAAAGCTGGTGCTATTGAAGCCAACGCAGACCGTGTGGCGGAGGCGATCGATGCTGTCAATGGTCTCATCTCCCAAGGCATGGACTGGGTCAACATCGGCAAGCTGATCGCGCGGGAGCAAAAACGACACAACGCGGTCGCGGAAATCATTAAGCTGCCCTTGGACCTGGAACGGAACATGATCACCCTACTTCTGGCAGAGGAAGAGGTCGATGCGGAGGAACACAGAGGAGAAGAAGCGGACGGAGGAGATGACACCAGCTCTGAGGACTCTGAGGAGGATGCCAACGAGGAGGAGGAGTTGGACAAGGAAGACAAGGCTCAGTCGCCTGACAATAGACTTGTCATCGAGATCAATCTCGGTCTGACGCCATTTGCAAACGCCCGCGACTACTACGACCAGAAGAAGGTGGCTGCCGTGAAAGAGCAGAGGACCGTGGAGCAATCTGTAGCAGCGCTGAAGAGCGCCGAGAAGAAGATTGTGCAGGACCTCAAGAAGGGTCTAAAACAGGAGAAGCCGACGCTGCAACCTACGCGCCGTCAGATGTGGTTCGAGAAGTTTTTGTGGTTTATATCCTCAGATGGATACCTCGTCGTCGGCGGCCGAGACGCCAGCCAGAACGAAATGTTATACAGGAAGCATCTTGGAAAGGGGGATATCTATGTGCACGCTGACATGCATGGCGCAGCATCTGTCATTATCAAAAACAACCCCAAAACCCCCGATGCACCCGTTCCGCCAGCGACCTTGGCCCAAGCCGGGAGCTTGTCGGTCTGCTCATCCAACGCTTGGGACTCAAAGGCCGGAATGGGGGCCTGGTGGGTCAACGCCGAGCAGGTGTCCAAGTCTGCACCTACTGGCGAGTATCTCCCGACCGGAAGCTTCATGGTGCGGGGCAACAAGAACATCCTGACACCCCAACCTCTCGTCCTTGGGTTTGGTTTCGTGTTCAAAATCAGCGAGGAGAGCAAGGCCAATCACGTCAAGCACAGGCTCGTCGAAGCAGACGAGTCTCAGCCTGCTGGCGCTAGGGGTCCCATCGGTCATATAGATGGTGGTGCCACCAAGCATCGATCTGGCGAGTTCGAGCAAGTGAAGGACGGTGCCGACGAATCAGAGGAAGAACAAGACGAAGTTGAAAATCACGACAGGCGGAATCCGCTGCAGACTAATGTGGAACAGGAGGAGGAAGATGACGAGGATGAGGGGGATGCTATTGCTGTTCATGATGACGATGATGAGGATCTGGACGGTGATTTTGTTGATCATGTGAAGGATGACTACCAGAAGTTGAGCATCGGGGAACCAGCGGAGGCAATGATGTCTGGTGCCCTGGTCGCAGACGCCACAGCTGATGGAGGCGCCGTGAGCGCAGTCGAAAACGGGTCAGGCGACCAGGAAGACGACACTGGTACTGGTGCACCTGATGGAGCCATCTCAGGCACTGCCGAAGAGAAACCCGCCGCCAGTGAGACCACTGCGGACGGTTCCGTACCACAAAATAACGGGGCACCAGCAAAGCGCGGGCGGCGTGCCAAGCAAAAGAAGATTGCTGCAAAGTACAAAGACCAGGATGAAGAAGATCGCGCCATGCACGAGCAGCTCATCGGCGCCGCCAAGGGTCGCCAGAAGGCCGAAGAAGAAGCCAGAGCCAAGGTTGAGAAGCAGGCAGAGGAAGAAGCACGACGCGAGAGGCGCAGGCAAGCACAGGAAAAGCAGAAACAGAAGACGGCCGAGCACGAGGAGATGCGGCGGCTGATGCTCGACGAGGGCCTCGAGGTTCTGGATGATAGCGAGGAGCAGGCCGTGACGCCGCTGGATGCCCTGATCGGAACACCACTGCCTGGTGATGAGATCCTCCAGGCCATACCCGTCTGTGCACCCTGGGCAGCCATGTCAAAGTGCAAGTACAAGGTGAAGATCCAGCCCGGCCCGACAAAGAAGGGCAAGGCGATCAAGGAGATGCTCGAGAGGTGGAAGGTTGCTGCTACGAAGAGGGGGAGCATCGATGAGCAGGCTAGGGACCCGGAGAGGATGTGGCCGCGCGAGGTGGAGCTGATCAAGAGCTTCAAGCCCGAAGAGGGGAACAACGTCGTACCGGTAGGCAAGATGACGATCATGATGACCGGTGGCACAGCAGGTGGGAAAAAGGCAGGAGGAGGAGGAGGCGGCGGAGGAGGCAGCAAAGGTGGTGGCAAGGGTGGAGCGAAACAAGGCAAAGGTGGAAGAGGTGGGAAGGGAGGGAAGAAAAATTGAGCGAGCATCTTGTCTTGGGGCCCGTCAACATCTGTCTGAGAGTAGTCTAGGCGGCCTTGAAGGTCTGTAACCAGCACGTCGAAGGCTCCTTGATGAGTTCATCCACCCAACGCCACCAATGCTCCTCCGTACGAGTGCCCCGACGCCCGTCTTCCGGAAATGCGAATGTTGGCTTTTCTTAGCATTATTGAGTGTGTCCGATGCTAGCGGATCGCCAGTTGAGATCTCGGACAACCCAGCTAACTCTGTCTCTGCCTTGCAACCTTTCAAATTTCAACAAATTGAATCATGTGGCGAAGGAGATGAGAGAGTGCTCGGTGCAGGGGGAATTTTGGCCATCACAATGTGGGATTTTAGTCCTACGATGTCTGTGAAGTTTTCTGAGCTTGCAACGGTTCAGTTTGTGTCTTGTAGTAACAGGTGTAATGTCGTGGATGTCTCAGCTTGGTGATTGTGGGGGGTTGAATATGACATTCGGCAGTCCTTGCTTACGGAGGCTCCACGGTATATATGCAAAGGCATAAGCATATAATTACTATTATAGTTCCCATTTTACTCGACCTTGAGACGGTGTACTATCTGGAGAAATATGAACCACCAATTCACCACCCCTTTCTTCTAAAATGAAGTCTTTCAGCCCTCTGCCCTCTGCAATCGTATCCTCTTCATCCAAATATGCTTCTGTGAGCTTTTCCCGCACCTGCTCGACAGCGGACTGAAGACTGCGTGCGCCGAGGTGGGCGTCGTAGCTGGCTTCGGCGAGCGCGCGGCAGACAGCGCCGTCGCGCGGCACCCGTAAATGGACGTCTCCTAGGAGTTGTTCATCGGTGTCTGCGGTCAGACGGACCGGCTCGCGCACCTGCTGGCACAGCTCCAAGAGAAACCTTGCTTATTTGTCAGCCAACTTGAGTATTGTGTTCCCCCGTCGACACTATACGAGCACTGACTTATGCGCTGCCACTGTCTGTTCCAAAAGCGAGAATGGCAGGAAAGGTATGAAGTCAGAGACGCGCCCGGTTAGTGGAGCCTAGATATTCTTTGTATCAGATGCATTCTTTCCGCGATCTTTTCCGTGAAGGTGGAAAAAAAAAAACCACTGACATCAAAGCGCGTTCGGAAGCCGTCCTTGATAATCTTGGATAAATCCCTCGCTGCCTTATCCTGGAGCTCTGGGTCCTCGCTGAATATTGCCTGGTTATCGCTGCAAAAGTCCTGGATGTCTCTATTTATCGCATTTGTACCAAGAATGAAAATGGTCTGTGAACAGTCAACCTTGTTCAGGTTTCTGCGATCTCGGTAATCTCCTATAGCGAATATCAGCTGAAGAGTTTCAGTCACAAATTTACACTCTAATAGATAAGTAAATTCACTATACCAGTGTCAAAAGGTAGCAGCAGTGCCTGATGAATATCGCGAGTAGTCTTCTCAGATTCGTCGAAGAACACGATAGATCGCTCTCCTGTATGACGCGCGAGAAAGTTGTTGAGTGGAGCGCCCTCATTGGCACCGTGATAAGGCTTACGGGGACCAAACAACTCAATTTCTCTGGTGACAGTGGTGCAGTCGACGACCTCGAGCTCCAGTGAGAGAAGGTATCCTAGGCGTCTAGCAAGCTCCGTCTTGCCATGGCCGCTGGGTCCAGCAAAAGCCAGCACAAGAGGCTTGGAACCCTGGTTGTTTCCCTTGGCGAGATTCGTCAGAAATTTCTTGAGCAGGCGGCTAGACGCAAGTGATTGTCCGACTAGAAAGTACGGTATACCGAGAAGAGGCTCAGCATTCCGCCGACTAGCGACTTGCTTCTGCCGCAGGGAAGGCCGCTTTAGTTTATCAGCTTTAGCGAGATAGTATTGTTGAGTGAGATTTATCGTCTGCATGAGCTTATTCTTCACCCCTTTTGTGAACCAATCCGGGTCTGGGTCTTTGCTTTCGTCTGGAGCATTCTTCATCTGCTTCTTTCCGGAGAGCTCCTCAATATAAGGCTTGTAGCAGACATGGGGGATCGTCCCGGGAGGTACGCCGAGACCCAGAAGTATGGCGCCACCATTTGTGTCGTATCAGCCCCAATATTTTGACTATTAACGATCGCGAAAGCAAGGAGGGGAACTCCAGAAGGATGAACAGCACAGTCGGACAATCGCTTCATTGTTCGTCGAGACAGAGTAGAACATGGAGGGCACCCCTTCCACTGGGCTATTGAATGCCTCTCTCAGGCGTTCCGGATCAAACCTGTCTAGATGGTTCGAGATAAGTCGTGCAGTCCACCCGTGTTGCACTGCTCCCAGGAGCACTCGGAGATCGAGGTCCTCAGCAGCATTGGCGAGGGCCTCTGGCGAGGGACGAGGGAATTTTGGCAGTTGGAAGTCCCATTCGTTCTTGGCGTGCATTTCGAGAGAGCACCGTATTTGTGGACTCGGCGTTTCGAGGACAGCTTCGCCTGGCTCATCCTCATTGTCGGAAGCTATGCCTTCGCTGTCGACATCAGCTTTCTCAGCTGCGACTGGATCTGATAGCGGACGTTCTCGTAAACGCGCTTCATAAGGTGTCTTTAATGGATAGTGAGTTCCTCTCCAAGAGTCTTTACTCTTGAGTGGGAGCTCGCCTGTTTCATTCTGAAGACTTCCACCAGAACTGGAGTAAGGCAGCTCGCCATGCTTCCAACTACCCGTCAGAGGACTTGCTGATCCTGATGAGCGGGAAGCTTTTGGCCAGATCCTCTGGTTTTCCTTTGTCGGACCTAGTGAGGCGGATTCTTGGCTTGCTACACCAGAGGCTTGGCGAGCAACAGGACAGTATCTGGACAACCTGGCGAGATGAGTTTTGACATTTTCGGCATCGTTATGATATTTCTGATCTCTAGTTAGTCCGCGGATATATGATGCTCAAGGTCCTTCTTACCTGGAGCAACGCGATAGCCCGATCCTCGCTAATGTTGCAACTCTGCACGAGATGATCAACTACTTCACGATCCGGAGCCATGCTCTTTAGTATTCAGACCAATCAATGAGGGATCAAGTCAAGACTTCGGTCGGACTCGAAGCGGCAGAAGCTCAATGGGATGTCGAAGCAAGAGAGCTTTTGTTGGCATCAGGCCGCCATATCATAGATGTGGGAATGGACTGGGTGTCAGAGTACACCTGTCTGTATGTGATCGGGCCGAGTCAAACATCGATTACTTCCCAAAGAGCCTTAATATACCTAAATTTGGAAAAGATGCGCGGTCCTCTCCATAACGCCCTGTTTTAAATGCTGTCAGCACTGCATGCATGTACTGTACAAGTAGATACATAAAGCCCTGCGGCTAGAGTACTTCGAAGAGCCTTGCCGGAAAGCTTTCGCTCGTGTGGGTGCAATACTGTCTTGGGGATTCATATGGTAGGGCTTTGGTCGCACATGTTGGAAATCGAAAAGCGAATGTGGCACAGTGCGAGACATTACTCCCCCGCGGACCATGACCGTTATTTCTGCAGCCTCAAAATTGTTGTGACATCTTATGAGGCTCTGAATCTCAACAGGCATTTGAAATAAGCCTTGAAAATCCTCTATAACCCGCTCTCTCCGGCAATTTACCTGCTCAGCGCCCAGTCTCGCTAGCATCTTCCTTCCCTGAGCTTCAAATGCTACGCCATTATGGATATGGATACTATGCTGAGAACTGAACAGCAGCAAGTGGTTGATGAGAGCATCGCACTGCAATCTGAGAATGCAGTTTTCGTACCGACCTAAATGCTGCCAACGCCGCTATGGATGCTATGCTCACGGATCTTGAAGCTGCCGAGGAGTCACTGCAGCGAGAACAGGCCTTGTTGGTTCAGAAAGATGCCGAAATCAACAGACTAAAGCAGCAACTTGATTTCCATACCGCTTCACTCTCATTGCACACAACGAATCAGCCGAATGCAGAATTAGACCAGCTTCAAGCGCGCCTTCAGGATCTCGAAACAAACCTCCAGGATGCAGACCGTCAGGACCACGAGCAGGCGGCCGAGATGCATGCCTTGAAAGCCCGCCTGCAGAAGACCCTCGCGCAGCTGAAGCACCTGGAAAAGGAATACACAGCGCTTCTTGAGCAGCAAGCCCCCGCCCAGCTTGGGCTGCAGGCAGAGATCGAGTTGGAAATGCAAAAGCAGGTGGACGAGCTACAGTACCTGGTTGATTTCTACAAGCAGAACTGGGAGGAAGCGTCCTATCAGATCAAGGATGCCCGGGATAGGCAAGAGGAGCTGCGGCAGAGTATCATAGTCAAGAACCAGCAGCTCCGGAACCAGGAGGCCCAAATCCAAGGACTCAAGCTACAGCTCGGAATCCCTATATGATAGACAAGCCTAAGTTAGGCCTTATTCGTCACAAGGGTAGCTGATGAAGAAATGAATCAAGGCTCTAGCGAGCTGATGCTGGGATTGCTGCTTACAGTGCGCTCTTTTATCTTGTAATATAATTATCATATGAATTCTATCAATGTTCCTATAAGGTTGTACGAATTTAGTAGGAGCATGAGCTCTAAAGTCTTGGGAAAGGAACCGGCCTACTTGGAGTCTGCGTTTGCTGCTGAACGCTCTTCATGTGATCTTCAGTGGGCAAAATAAGGCTGTCAAAGCGCGGTGGAAGCTTTGATCACGGGTTGCAGGTGTATTGTAATCGTAGGGAATGCATCGGATGAATGAAAGTATTCCTTTCTTTTGATCCTTGCCCCGATCGCCTCATTTCTCGTATCTGACGGATGCAGCAGTACTATTACACAGTAAAGCTGCATATACATCACACTTGATGCGAAGCTATACTTGTTGGATATATAAACACGTGCTGTGGAGTTGTGGCGTGCTGCGCAGCCGTTTTGCTAAATCCAATAATACTCGAGTTCGGCTATTCGGACGAGTACATCTACTGCGAGTGCGGCTGGAGCTCTTACTACAACTACGCGTTCCGATGCAACAGTTGTTGTTCGCGAGAGAGCGATTGGGTGTATCATGAGCCTGGCGCTTTGCTTAGCTTCCTCAAGAATCTTCAGAAGCCTGATGATGTCAATATTCTTATCCTCGGAGAGACCGGCGTTGGCAAGTCCACATTTATTAACGCCTTTGTCAACTACCTGACATTTGAAAAGCTCGACGAAGCAATCGAATGTAATCATTTCAACTGGGCTATCCCGACTTCGTTTGCAGTTCAGAGAATGAACAGGTCGCGCTCTGGTGATGAGATCGAGGAAGTCAAGATCATGGTAGGTTCTTCCCGGAATGATGAAGCGGATGGGAGTAAAGGAGCATCTGCTACACAGGAAACATCCGTTCACTCCATTGCCATTGGCTGTCACACTATTCGCTTGATTGATACTCCTGGTATCGGCGATACTCGGGGTGTTGCGTATGATGAGAAGAATATAGCTGATATCCTCAATACGCTGCAGAGCTATAATGAGCTGCATGGAATCTTGTTTCTTCTTAAGAGCAATAGCGCTCGTCTTACTGTTACCTTCAACTTCTGTATGAAAGAACTGCTCACTCATCGTAAGGCATACCACATTCTTTTGTCTCTTCAAGACTTTTCTCCATCATCCCTTCTATTTGCTCTGCAAGATACTTTGAGCGATATCTCTGAAAGCAACTCCTGAGATGTTCAAGGCGAATCGCTAACTGCAGATACCTACAGTTCACCGCAGTACAGCTAAAAATATGGTTTTTAGCTTCACTAACACTCGCATATCAAACTATATGCCTGGAGATACCTTCGGCCCTCTGAAGGCGCTGCTCAGTCAGCATTCCGACGTTGGCCTGCATTTAACCACGGAGAGAACCTATTGCTTTGATTCCGAGGCCTTCAGGTATCTAGCTGCGCTCAAGCAAGGTGTTCCGCTGCCGAATAAGCAGGATTTTGATCTCAGCTGGGAACGCTTACGGGAAGAGACTCTTCGATTAATCGAGCATTTCAAATCAAGCCCACTGCATCGCATCCAGAATACTATCAGCCTGAATAGGGCCCGGCAGCTCATCCTGGAGCTCACAAAGCCCATGGCGGACGTTGCACAGATGATCCGGGTTAATATGGCGCGATGTGAGGACCAGAAAGGGGAACTGGAGAATCTACGCCTATCCGGGGAGGATCTGCGGAGACGATTAAATCTACAGAGGACACAATTCAGAGCTATACCATTGGATCGCCCCCGAACCGTCTGCAAGAACCAGCACTGCATCGAAGTCCAGGATGATGGCACCGGAACCGGCACAGTCGTTACTGACTATAAGACACATTGCCACACGGCATGCTACTTGTCCAATGTACAGATCGAACGCGTCGCTGATCCGGGTCTGATAAATTGCTATGCGATGGACGAGAGTGGCAACTCTCGCGGCGATGCTTGCAAGCATCATTGGATGGAACATATGCACGTCACAGTCGAACTGCAGGAATATACTGCGACCATATTAGACCCTCAGATCGAGAAGCAGCTCAAGTCGCACGCTGACGACACCACGCTCCGGGCCACAGCGATCAACCAGATCAACAAGGAAGTCAGCGAGTATCAGATGGAGCACGAGAAGATCCGTCAGGCGGCTGCGGAATTCGGCCTCTTCCTCCAAAAGCACTCCATTACGGCGTACAATGATGCGACCCTGGCGTACCTCGACATGCTCATCACGGACGAGGAGACCAAGATTCACGCCGCAAAGAAAAGCCGCCTCTCGGCTCTTGAGAACGAACGCCGCCTCGCAAATCTTCAGGAGGACGGCCGCCGCCATGAGGAGCTCGTGAAAACTCTGACGGCTACCATGAGCCGTCGCGGAGGCTCAAGCGCGGTTATGGACCAGGCCGATGTCGACCGAAGGATCCAGGAGCTGTTTGGTCTGAAGCACTTCGGACAACAGCTTCGCGACGTGAAGGATACACTGGTCGCCGCCCACAATGCTACGTATCGTGAGCGACCATACCGTGTCCGCATGGGCGGAGGAGTGGGCCTCGGTGCTGGTTTGAGGAATGTGTACGGTGTGGGCCCAACAGTCAATAACAACAGGATGAGACCATATGCGAAAGAACCGTCGAGAAGGGCAGACAGCGTGTCTCTGCGCTCAAGTCCTTCGTCATCGGATGAGTCATAACTGCCTTCTCCACTTTACGATGTTCCCTTAACTAGGAGGCCATTAACCTAACTTAAAAGCATGTTTTCATACTTCTCACCTCTTCTTTTCCTACGTAGGTTTGCGTCGGGTACACCTATAACTCAGTGATAATGTGGTTAGTCATGATGCGATCCTTTGAGGGTTTCTAAGTGAATTAGAGCATAAGTCAGCAGTTCTGGCTGTAAACTCTGTAATAAGTAAGTGTCGGAGCAAATGTATACGGTTAAGGCCAATGAATACGGCATCCGTATCCTCCAAACGAAGTAATTAGCAGATTCATATCATGAATGCACGAAGACCATTTAGACCCGAGACTCCTGGCAGTAAGTAAAGTATAATTAGAGGTGAACATTGACAAACAGTGTGCTAAAAAGGAGGACTGCATGATCATTGATAAGCTATGCTCTAGTTATATATTCCTGTCGCAACGGCTGCAACGCAAAAATCATGGAAAGCTACCCAAAGTGCATCGTCATACTCCCATGATTATCTCGAAAGTTATTGGTCGTGATCCGACCCGCATTGTGGCCTACCGATACTAAATGACTGTTCTCTGGGCTTGGGTATAGGCTCTCATGGTCCTTGGACCCAGCATTGTTCGCACCGCTATCCGTTTTTGCTTTCGCCTCTCGCGAGACCTCCTGCGGTATCATTTTCGGCATCTGTTTCGCCATGTTGAGCAAGATTTCGCGCGCATATGCTGCCGCCGCCGCAGCTGCAAACTTCTGCCACGCGTCGTTCTTATGGGAATCGGCATAGTCCGAGATCCCACAGATGACCAGACAGGGAAATACGTCCATAAGCCCAGCTGCCTCCATATCGAAGCATAGCGCGTTATTATGTTTGCGGCTCAGAGCATCACGGGCCCCGGGGCTCTTCATGAGCGTGTCGCCGGACAGGATGGTACTGTAGTGAACGACAATGTGGTCTCCGGTCTCCCTCGTCTTTCGGGCTACTTCCATGTCGCTTTCATGCTCGGCGCACACTGTCCCGGGCTGATGGGTGAAGGGTGCTAGGAAGAGCCTGTCGGGGACCTGAGGCCTGTCGTAGAACTGCTTCTTCAAGTTTGGATACTCCAGAAAGCGGGATAGATGGACCTTGAGAACATCTTCATCGCCCGTTCGCAAGTACCCGTACTTGTCTTCGACCTTATTGACGACACTGAGCAACAGACGCGGTGGCTTTGCCAGGGTCCTGGTGACCTCGAACCCCTCGTCGGCTGTCCTCTTTCCAAAGTCGTACTGCACCACAGCCGGACCGGACTCGGGCGCTCCGACGACAACGTCACCGAGGCGGACATCGTGCTCTGGATAGTGCGGAATGCCACCACCAATTCCAACCAGGAGCCCAATGGTCACATTAGGGAACGTCAGGCGAATGTTTGGGACAGTCTGAGCGGTAGCAACTGTCCCTTGCTCCCCGCGCGGGGGGCCTACGACGACGACGTTGTGGTCGCCGATGCGGCCGAGAATATACTCGTTGTCATCGCCATGGGCTGTAGGAATCTCAGATCGATAACGCTCATCCAGCATCATGGTGAGTGCCCGCATTTCCAGCGGCTTGACGTAGACCAGGCCGACGGTGAAATCGCCAGCCGGCGGGCAATCCAATCCTGTACTTGTCATGCTCTGTGACGCTCGAGCTGTCAGAACCGCCTCGTTACACAATGTATTTGAAAGATAATGAACCTAATGTGCCAAAGGCGAACGGGAGAGAAAAACACACATGGGTGAATATGATTATAATGAGCCCAATGAAAATTCAGTCCAGTGCTACGAGCGAGCAGAAGAGTGATGGCAGAACTTTGAAGGGAGTAAAGGACGAGCGGTCCTTGCAGCGGGTCCGCTAAGGGTAGATGGAAGTACAGAGCCTCGTCGACTCACCCTCTCACACCCCGCCATTTCAAATGTCTTTTCTGGCAGTGCTCAAAGTAGTGGCAGTGAGCCCAGCCCACATATGTACATATGTACGTTACGTGCTAAATTCTCACCTCAGATCCACTTGCTGATGCCACAGCAGTTTGGGGCGAACTGTCACGGGTCTCTGGGAACATTGGAAGCCAGTGCCTTTGATAACCGCCTGTTCTACTGAGCCACTTTCGATGTCAGCTTTGAGCAGCTGGTTGGGGGCTGTAAAAAGGTGCCCAGTAGTTAGAGAACTCCCAGAGCCTCAGGTTCCCCCACTCCAGTCTGCTTCAGATTTTCGCCGTGAAGATCACCGGCAAGCTTACCTAGGTAGGTGCGGTGTTTTCTACTCCCCCTTTCATCGTAGCCATCTACGACGCACCCCATACCATGACAGACATTGCAGAGCCCGAGATACGATCAAGGGGCACCCAAAGATCGAGTGAACCCGACCGTCCAAGCTTCAGAACGAGCTATGTGGAGAGACAATACAACAACTCCGTCGGGTTCAACAACGGGACAATTTCAAACTATTTCATCTTGAGCTCGGACGCTGCTCATCGAGTCGACCTCCCGGGAAGCTCATCACCCCAGGACAGTTCGGACAGCACCGAGATCCAGACGGGGCAAGCCTTGTACAAATCTAAACATTGGTATCAATCTAAAGTCATATTCGACAAAGCCCTGCACAGTCCAAACTCCACACTGTCTGAAAGAGAGCGAAATCGCGTCCGCTACAACCTAGCCCACGCTCACTTTGCCCTGGCTGAGTTCTCTGACGCTACCCGTCACTTTCAAGCGCTGGTGGACACACACGATGAGAAAGGCGAGGAATACGAACTAGCTGTCTCTGATAGTCGATTCTGGCTTGGGCGTTGCTTCTATCACCGAGGGCAGTACGAAAAGGCTTCGCAGCAGTTCCGCATCTTCTTGCGAACCTACAAGGAGGAGCGTGCCACCAGCGAAGCCGACGCGATCAAAGCGACCGACGGCCGACTCTGGCTCGGCTTGACGTTCGAACGACTGGGCGAATACGAAGGCGCTACCGAACAGCTACAGACGGCCTTTGATATACAGAATGAGATAGCACCGGACGACTTGGCCACGCTTGCATGCCGCCACCACCTCGCAAATTTCTTCTATAAGAGGAAAGAATTCTTGCGGGCCCATCAGCACTTTCATGCCCTGTTTCACGCCGAGGAACGTCTTAATGGCCCGGAGAGGGGGCAAGCTGTCATGACCCGATGCATGTTGGCCTTCTGCCTCGCGAAGCTCCGGCGCTACGACGAAGCCCAGCCACATCTGGAACGAGTCTCGGATTACATGAACGCGCAACCATGTAGAACAAGCGATCAACTTCGAGACAAAGGGCTCGTGTGCTACTGGTTAGGTCGTATTGCCGTTGAACGTATGATGAAGCACAAGCACCGCGACTTCGTCCCAAAGGCAACGTACCTCCTGCAGAGCGCCCGGCAGGATATCTCCGCTGCCATAGAAAAAGACAAAACAAACGACTGGTTAGTGGAGGATCTTGGGGATTGCAAGCATTATCAGGCCCACGTCATGATTATTCGCGGGGATTTTGCTGATGCTGAACAAACCTTCCGAGAAACCATTGATGATACCGTTCAAGTCACCGGAGAAAGACAGATTGCAAGTCGCGTTGGACTGGCGCGCAGCTTCTTGGAGCAAAGAAAGTTCGACGAGGCCAAGTCGACACTCGAAGAGGCCGTCTGCTCTACGACGCCCATTGAGCACTGCCAGCATACAGGAAGGGACCTGGCCGCGTGCCTGGCGCTGCTCGGCGAAACCTATCTTGAGCTTGAGAAGCCCAGCAAAGCTCGAGACTGCCTTCAGACCGTCGTGGACGCCGTGCCCGAGATGCCCAGCGAGCCCTACACCACCGCTCAGCATGAGCTCGCCATCGCCATGTTCGAGCTGAGGGACTTCGCTGGCGCCTGTAAATACTTCCAGGCAGCGTATGACATTAGGAGACTCCAATTTCCCCAAAGACAAGACGAGTCTCGCAGTTGGCTTGCGTGGGCTCTCTGTGAGGCCTCGCGCTTTCAGGAGGCTGAACCGTATTTACGCACTACACTTACCGCGCTTCCGGAACCTCCGCACCGCACTCGACAGCTGGTCTTTGTTCATGGGAAGTCTCGCTACTATATGGGACGCGTTCTCTACCATCAAAAGGATTGGAGAGGAGCGGTGAAGCACTTCGAAGATGCCTTGCCCCTGCTCCATGCCGTCCATAAACGTATGGGGGCTAGGCGATCAGCTTATCATGAATGCCAATACTATATGGCAGTGAGTCTATTCAATCTGCGCCAACAGACTACCAAAGCTCGGCAAATACTCGAGGAATTGTTGCAGATTAATCCTGAAGGGGAACCTGCTGCAATCACAAGCCCACGGCTCATTTCAATTCCCTACTGGCTCGGACGAGTCTTTATGTTTCAGCATAAACCTCGAGAGGCTGAGGAGTGGTTTTCCAAAGGCCTTGGTACGCTAAGCGGCGAAACAACCCTCCCTTTGCATCCAGATATTTCCACCCAAGAAGTAACGTATCAATATGCACGCTGCCTGTTCAAATTGGATTCACATGGCGTCGACAGAATGGGTGAAAGCATCGAGGCTGTACAGGGTGTCCTTGACCGCCTCCCACAGGTTTGCTCAAAAGAGGACGAAGAATTGTACGAGGACAGTCGCTGGCTACTTGGCCGGGGCTTTTACCTGACGGGAAAGTTCGATGAAGCCCGCGACTATCTAAAATCAAGCATCACGGTCTTGGAGAGAAGATACGGCCATGACGACAGAAGTACCTCGTTTGCTAGGGCCATTCTAGCAGATTGTCTCTGCGAGCTTCAACTTGACAGCGAGGCTGACCTGCTGGTGACCTGGGCCGCCAACCAATCGGACACAAAGGCATACACCGACGCTGTTCTCATCAAAGCTATCGGTAGCTACTGGCTAGGTCGCCGGGCGTACAAGGCTGGACGGTCCAAGGAGAAGGGAGCCGAAGCACATTTTACTGCGGCGCTCAATCTGCTGGCATCATACAAGGTCAACAAAGTCAGATGGAATCGCATACGGTTCGATAGCCGGCACTTCCTCGCAAGAATAAAGTTGGGGCACAAGCAGTATAGCGAAGCTGGTGATCTATTCCAGGAGCTGGCCATACAGGCGCATGAGGCCGGGGAGCTGGCTCATGCGGTCGATAACCAGTACTACCTCGGATGCAGTCTTTCAGAGCAGGGCAGATTCGACGAGGCTTTCCCTGTGTTTCAAAAAGTCCTCGACGGTGACCACGACGGCAGGCTCGTGGAGAACGCAAGTTGGTGGAGTCAATTCCAGCTTGCAAGGTGTCTGTCCCACATGGGAAAACTCATGGAAGCAAAAGACAAGTTTGCATACGCCGCGGAGAGTCCTGATCCTTTGTTGAGGCCCAGAGCTCGCTTGCGCTTGGGGCAGACCATTTTTCGCCTCGATGACTACGAGGAAGCCAGAGATATTTTCCAGTCCATCCTTGACCAACCCGACCAGGCCACTGCCCAATGTATCAGCGATGCTCGCTCCTGGCTTGCACGGAGTCTTTCGAAGCTGGAGAAGTGACAAAACGCCGGCATATCTCCTCCAGGTCGCCATGGACGGACTCCAGTCCCAAAAGTATGGCATAACTTGTTAGACGCGCAGTACTCACTCCGGCGCCTTTGGCTCAGAACTGAGGAGCATGTTTGGGCAGGTAGGATAGGCTTGATGTTATAAACCATCCAATATGCAGGTCACGGAACATAATATATAACAAGTCACAAGCAGCAGCAAGGACCAGGTGTCACAATCGAACTTTCGACACACAAGTCTTCATAAGCTTTTCATTTCAGGAATGTTAACTTCCTTGAGCTACTTTGATTATAGCGAGAATGAAGCAATAACCGAGACTGTATTTTTTCAATAAAAAATAAAAAATTTCTACCCAGAGTATATTGTGAACAAAGCGATCTATATCTTGCTGGCTAGCTGGAATATCGAGTTGATGCGAGCTTATATTCTGTTCTCATATACATCGCGTTCTGCTTCAAAATAATAGACAAGATCATAAGATTTTCCACCTCTCCCTACGGCCTTTCATCGATATTATGACCAGCTAATTGTCTCTATGGCCGTGTCTGCGACGGACTATATAAGCAACTCCGGACCGCAGAGGATGAAGCACAGGATCACTGCCTTCAGAACCGAGTCAGGCAAAACGGTACAGTAACGGTTGTCGAACGGATATTGATTGATGATTGTTGTAAAGAAAAAGGCTGAGTAAAATCATCTATGCGAGTGGACGCACCAATGAGGTGCGTCCCCTGGTCCGTGCCCTGCCTCACAAGGTCAAGGCAACACCCCCCCCCCCTGCTACGTGCTGTAGCTATCTACTCCTTGGGGAACCCTAACCCTGAAGACCTAACACAACGTCGAAGCAATAGCAGGCATCTATTTCTCTCCAGGAACCCGCGCCGCCCAACCACACAGTCTGTGACGGCTTTGTTCAGGTGGAAAACCAGGGAACCAGCCTCGACAGGACCAACTCACCTTTCCTCCTTGCGCGCTGGGTCGTTTGTATATCATGGCCGCCAAGAGGGATCTTGCATCCATCACGGAACCCGACGACGAGGACCAGTCAGCCCCAACCACGTCCATCAAGCGTGCGCGCAACGCCAACCACCCTCAAAGGAAGAAAGCTGTACCACATACGAGGCAGCAGCAACAGCAGCAGCAACAGCAACAAGAGCCTGCTACTGATATCACCTACGGACAGCGATGCTGCTTCCCAGGGCTTCATGGGCCAGCCGCCATCATCGATGAGGACCTCGACTTGGAGGACGACACTGATGCGCTCGCCTATCTCAGATCTGTTCGGTAAGTCTTCTATTCCCAATCCTCATTATTCTTCTCCTCCTCCTCCTCTCAAGACATTCTGCTGGACCTTGGCTGAACCTCTTCTTTCCTCCTCTCCCCGCTACACAGTTCTACACACAACATGCTGATATGGTGAGTAAATCACAGTCAACAGGCCAGCGGCATCCCCCACCTCCTCGTCGCCCCCAGGTCAGGACCACAGCTGCCCAAGACCCGCGCTGCTGATGAGCCAGAAGACCCCGCCAGCGGCGCAGACGGCCCTGCCGACCGCAGCATCTACTCCAACGGCTATGGTGATTCTCGCGGCTACTACGCAGACGGCGCCTACACCGCCGCCCCCGACGACACCTTCTCGGATCCCAAAGGCCATGGCGACGACGACTACGACGACGACGCTAGAAACGAGACCCAGAACGACAGAGCAGACGAGACCGCGCGTGTGGACACCGCCTACCTCGCCTCCCTCGCCTCGCGCTTCCTGGCCCTCCGCGCCCTCCTGCGCCGCACCCCTCCACCCCGCGCCCTCGCCGCCCTCCCGCCAGACCAGTCCCCCCACGTGGGCCGCTTCGGCCGCGACTCGCACACCTTCGCCATATGGTCGGCGCGCCTGCGGCACGCAGACCCGCACCCGGCGCAGGTCGCCGCCATGGACAAGGGCGCGGTGCTGCGGGTGCTGCGGGTGCTCCTGGGCGGCAAGTTCCTGCGGGCGGGCGTCGAGCTGCGCGAGAGGACGAGCCGGTGGCTGTGGGCGCTGCTGGCCCGGCTCCCCGACGGCGGCGAGATGGACCACACCGAGGTCGGCCACGTGCGCGAGCTGGGCAAGCGGGCTGCGCTGCTGATGCACACGCTGCGGGAGATGGCCCTGCTCAGGGAGGAGGTCGAGCTGGGGGTTCATGACGAGGGTGCTGATGCCGAGGCGTGGGCTGGTGGGGGTGAGGACGAGGACGAGGATATGGGCGAGGGCGAGCAAGGTGAGGATGAGGATCAAGGACAGGAGCAGCCACCACCACCACAAGCACTGTCAGACGACAGGGACACTGAAGACGGTGAGATTGCTGATGAACCACCTGTTGTCGCGACGACGGGCCCTGAGGAGGAGGAGGAGGAGGAGGAGGAGGATATTGAGAGCGCAAAAACAAGGCTGCTAGCGAGTCTGGATGTCAGTGTCTCCAGCCGCCGGGCCTCCTCTTCCTCCTCTTCCTCCTCCGAACTCGAACCCACCACCGCCACCCTGACACAGCAGGGAGAAGAGATGGCTTCTACTGACCCGGCTCGGGCGCGCATGAATATGCGGGCTACGCTCAACATGATTCTGACGGTTGCGGGTGAGTTCTATGGGCAGAGGGACCTGCTTGAATTTCGTGACCCGTTTCATGGGATTTGAGGATGGGTGGGCTTGGACGCACTTAGTCTGACCATAGGTGAGACAGTGAAAGAGAACCAACCAAACGGCACGTCTTATATCACGGAGTACAGCACGCATACGTATTTGATACGCACATATCGGTCTTGTAGGAGGAGTACTGAAGGGTCTGGATAGCATCCTCGTAGTTATTCATTTCTCCCTCAAGCCTGTCTGAATCCTCCTTTCCGAATGGGAAAGATAATAGAGCAAGCAAGCTCATGACAATCTTTTTCCCATCATCTCCCTTGCAATCAGCGTAATGAGACAAGTACATGCATGTTGAGAACCCCTCAGAGAAGCCCATCCATCATCTAGGGGAGGACCCCTGACCATAAAACGCCGCGCTCATGCTAATGGCATGCAGATTCCCAGATGATAATAGGAAAACACAAACGGAGAAACCAGAGAAAACAATAAAATCACCACTCTCCCCAAGTTTGCCCTGGCAGTAAACAATATGCCAAACTTTATCATCAGCCACTCTTCCCCATCCATTTTTGGACAGTCTTGCTCCGCCGTAGCCTTTCCTTTCCTGTCCTAACTTGTGGATTTTGATGACCATCCATCGTCATCCTAGGTCTCCATAGGGTCGTCTGCCAGCACTCGGTAGTCCAAGAAATCTGCATCTGGAAAGTCGTCCTCGTCCAGCATCATGTTCTCCTGACCCAGTTGGCCCAGAGCCTTGTCGTCCACGCCCGCGATGGTCACAGCAGGGATGATGACACCACCCGCCCGCAGGCTCCGACGTAGCTTCTTAGGAACGGCCATGACCCGCGTGTTGTCCCATCCTACCGGTACCAGGCTCCGTGGGCTGACCTGGCCGTCCATCCAGTCGCCGCTGGGGACTTGCAGGCAGCTTGACACGGAGGGAGTGTCGCTCTCCTCACCGTCGTCATATACGCGCTTCTTGTTGGGTGCGAGGCTGGTTGTGCTGCTGGCCACGGAGGTCTGGCTGCTGCTGAGCGAGGGGACGTCATCGAGTCCGGGGAGGGCGTCGTGGTGGTGGTGGAGGGCGTGCGAGCTGACGGGCCCGGCCTCGGAGTGATGATACGAGAGGGAGGAGGAGGGCTGGGAGGCGAGGCCGCCGACCTTGTTGATGCCGCAGAAGGGAAGGAGCTCCCGCTGGGCGGTGGTATAAGAGGAGGAGGACGGGATGTGGGTGGTGCCAATGGGTGTAGGAACGACAGTGAGGGCAGGCTGTCTGCGGTCGAGGTCGTCGAAGAGGGCCAAGGCGCTGTAGGGGCCGCCTGTCTTGTAACCCTCGGGCACGGACTTGCGGATGCGCATGCCCACGTTGAGGAGGTTGGACTGGGTATCTGTGGGCAGCACGGGCCGCGAAGGTCTGCCGTCCTCGTAGACGTCAGATGAGGTGGTGGTTGCGTGGAAGAAGGAGGTGATCTGGCGCTGGGCGGGATCACTGGCGGCACCGGCAAACTGGCGCTTGGCTCGTGGGGCGGGCATGATGGCTATCCGAGACCTATGTCTTGCGGGGGCTGGGTGGTGGGTGGTTGCACAGATCGTCTTCTTGTTGTGCGTACTAGCAGCAGGCAGGCTGATGGTATCCGAGATTGGTGTCCCCTCAACGCATTCAAGAGAGAGACACAGAGAAAGAGAGAAGAACAGCCTGTCCGCGTCTCGTGGGACCGAGGACGGCGGAGGTAAACGGCAGGGGGTTCTCCACGATCCTTGCGTTGAAAAGGACGTGAGTGACGTGGTCAGGATGTCTAGAACTGCACGAGGTGGGTTCTTTCTCTCTTTCCTTTTCCTCTTCGAGGGAGCCTGTAGGCGGGTGGAGCTGTGTCTCTGTCTCTTGTCTTTCTCTTTGCTCCCTCGTGGTGTCTCAGGCTGCAGGGCATACAATGTATAGCCACCGGCCAGGTCCGTTGTTTGGGAAGAGTCAGGTCAAGACAAGACAGAGATGGATGCTGGTGGGCGAAAAAGGGGGCTTTGGATGAGGGAGTGGAAATAGGAAACGAGGCAGTGGAGGAGGGTTGAAAGTTGAGTTGAGTGGAGGTGGAGGAACGGCCAGGCAGTGCCTGCATGGGCCCATTCGATTCACACTCAAACGCAAACACACACACACACACACACACACAAGATGGTGCTGCCGTAGAACGAAAATGGTAGTGACAATAGAAAAACGCTCTTGCATCTGCCAGAGACCAGGGACGATACAAGCAGGTGGGGTCGGGAGGGAAACGCGCGATCCTTGGCCTGATAAAATAGCGAGAGCCCACTGCAGGGGCGCGTTTCTTTGGCGTTGCGGTCGCGTTGTCAGGGTAGTAGATATGGTACAACCTGGCCCAACCTTGCCTATATCTTGTAGTGCTGCGTGCCTTAGCCAGTGGGCAATACAGGCAGACCCATAGGTCAATAATGGCCAACCAAGCTTACAGTGGCGAAGTTGAACGTGACATTCGAGAAAAGAAGCAGTCAGCCTTGGATTGGCGGTCAAGACAATTTTGTCCCCTCTCACTCCGTGTTCTTTTTGCCTTTCGGAGTCCTATTCTCTCTCTTATTTCTTGGTTTTTTTTTTTTATCATCTGTGTTGATTGGGTGCCTACTTTTCCCCCAAGGTGGGGGCCAAAACACTTTTAAAGCATGACTTCCTCCAGAGTAGGCATCTCACCCGAGGACGATGGATTTAGCCAGCATTTGTAGTATTATATACTTAAAGTAGGGGTGGAATTATGAAGAGTTGTCAGTCCTATCGTCTTTCATCGCCTCAGATAGCCCTTCACCACACTACTGGTCATCTTTCCGTCTGTGTCGCCCGGCCCGCATGCACGCAGACAACACAGTGCAACAGGAGGCATCAGGAAGAAGGGAAAGAGTTGCTCTGCAGAGATGTCGTAGACAGTTCTCATAGTACGCTTCGGACAATATAGTCACCACTTCCATTCTCCGTGTCTCTGTGCCCCAGTGATACCCGTTATGTAAACACAAGTCTTGTCTGCTCTGGTGGGTGGGCTGGCAGAGTGAAGCATAGGTGTCGTCATCATACGAATGATAAGAATGGCGATAGATCACAAACATGTCACAATTTGGACATGCACACAACGAGGAGGTATAAAGTCCGTCGGTCCATTACATCGCAAGTCACAAACAAGCTCGAGTACATTTTCCCAACCACGAGTGCGCTCCGGGTATACATAAAAGATAGCAATCCTCAATCAGCGATCCACGTCATCACGTCCAGCAGGCAACCTGTAATGCCATGCATTGCCATGCCCAAAACATCGCAAGACATGGCAGACAGCTTCTAAACGCTCGTGTGAGAATGCACAATTTCCAGCTATCCTCCGGGTGTAGTATCGCAGCATATTCCCCGCTGTGCTTGGGAAAGGGGGAGAAATGCAAGCAACAGTAATAACAGCAACACGGCATGTTTTTCAAAACCACGACCACCACCGTAGCCACCAGTCATCACGATCCTCCGCGCACGTGTCGAATGTGTGTGGGGGAGAGAGAGAACCCGAAAAAAGAAAACTTCGATTTGTTGATGCAAGATATCCGGACCCCAAACGCCACCCCCCGTTTTTGTTCAATCGAGGTTGAATTTTGGAGGTTCCATCTTCTACCCGCAACACAAGGTCGGCCCAAGACCACCTGACTTGTCTAATGTACGCCCTAGATGTCGTCGCCTATGTCGAGTCCATGCCCTTGCATCTTGAGATGTCCGATGTGCCAAACCCCATGGTCGATGCCCTTGTCTCGTCGTAAACAGCCGTCAAGGAGGAAGAGGAAATGGGATGCCGCGAGGCATCTACTTCCTGCGGAAGGAGCAGCCCTCGGTCAGACGAGCCTTGCCACCGGTGGGTTGGCAGAGGACGGTTGTGCAGCCCTGGCAGATGACGACGGTCTGTGCGTGGGAGAAGACGGTGGTGATGGTGAAGCAGCCGGGGCACTTGACGTCCATGAAGAAGGATCGGGGAGCGGGCACCAGAGTCTGTAATGTGATTGTGATGATTAGCACGTGCACCGTCACACGAGATGACCACAGCCCAGCAACGATGTTGTTCAATAGTTGAGCTATTGTGCAGGTAGGTAGGTGAGTGGGGTGGGTGATCGCTTCGTACCTTGAGCTTGTGCTTCTTGGCCTCAGCAGCAGGGCTGGGGTTGAGGAGGTCGACAGCGAGAACCTGTGGTGGGGGAAGAAGTCATGTTAGCATCGTAGATGGGCAACGGCAAAATGCACCCGCACAATCTGCGGGGATGGGGGCCCCAAGCTGTCACGCTGCCTGCAGTGCACTCGTGGAAATGTGGCCCAGATGTTCTCGTATTTAGCTTGTCACCCTGGGTGAGAACATCGTGCATTCAATTGCCTTGTAGTTCGATAGTTCGATAGAGGCTTGATGAGGTTTATCGTGGGCGCACATTTGAGGTCCTGTTTCCCCAAGGCACTGCAGGCAACGACGGCCAGACGGCGGCACTGTCGGTATCGAGAATCGGCTTACCATCTTGACTGTTGTTGTGGATAACTTGACAGAAGTAAAACCGAGAAGGTTGAATTTATGTTGACGAGATCTTTGACGACAAGAACAGTGGTTGTTGATTCGTTGTCGATGGTTGAGTGTCGATGGACAGAGGTCTCGCGGGGAGTGGCGGAGGGAAAAAGTTCGTTTCGGGCTCGAGTTTGCAGGTGGAGATTGCACTTTCAGCCAGCTGCGAACCAGACCAAGACCAGGCCAGAGCAGGTGTCCAGTCACAGCCAGCCGGAGCCCACTCCATTCACCCAAACCTGGGGCGGTCGCCTGTCTTTAGGGCAGTCTGTACACGTGATACGGAGCCAATCACTGGTCTCCATGTGGGGCCGCCTCTCCATGAGCACGCCTTCAAGGAAGCTCGAGCCATGTACCCCGGTAAACTTCAGGGGTCCCCCCTTCTAAGCCTTTCACCCTCTAGAGGGCACCTCCCCAAACCCCACTGTGGGGTTCAACATTGCTGCTCAGGGCTGGCAGACTAGTGTTGGCAGCGTTGAACAACTGGAGGCACTGAGACAAGCAAGAAGCATTCTCCTCTTCCTGTGCATAACACGTTCCTTGAGTTCCTCTTCTTTGCGCAGCCAAGTGGTACTTAAGGAACAATTATCCACTTTACATTAGTCATAAACTGCTTTACGCGTACCTCAAGCTAGGCAACGAGTCTCTTTCCCATCAGCGATTATTTGAGCAGGTCGTCCCTACTCTTTGTCTTCCGCTATACACAACATACAACAGCGTCCGCCACCTCATTGCAGACATGGCCGCACCAGGAGACCAGCGGATAGCAGTGCCTATCGATGATCCAAATGCTGACACGGAATGGTATGTGGCCGTCTTTCCCAACCCGCTCCGGCTGCCTTGCCTGACTTGTGACATGACAGGAATGACATCCTTCGAAAACACGGCGTTATCCCTGAGAAGCCACCAAGTCCTACTCCTATGATTGAGGAGGCCATTTTGGAGGCTCGAAAACTCGCACACGACAACAGGCTCGAAGGCAAGGACCTCGACGAGCTGGACGAGCTCGAGGATGATGAGGACGATGCCTTCCTGGAGCAGTACCGGCAGAAGCGAATGGCCGAGCTGAGCGCCGTCCAGAAGAAATCGGTCCATGGCAGCGTCTACCCACTATCAAAACCGGACTACCAACGAGAGGTGACGGAGGCGTCAAACAATGGACCGGTTCTTGTCAATCTGACTTCATCTACGGGCACAAATGTCGAGTCGAGGGTGCTTTCCGAGTTGTGGAAGCAGGCTGCGAAGGAGTACGGAGACGTCAAGTTCTGCGAAATGAGGGCCTCTCAGGCCATCGAAAACTATCCGGAGAGGAACTGCCCAACTATACTGGTCTACAAGAATGGAGATATCGTCAAGCAGGTGGTCACGCTGGTCACGATTGGCGGAGTGCGCACCAGCATGTTGGACCTTGACAAGATTCTGGTGGAGGTTGGTGCTGTCTCGGACAACGACATGAGAGTACTTAAGAGACGGAGAGCAGCCGAGGATGCCGAAGAGGAGAAGCTGTCGGGCAACAAGGGCATTAAGCAGAGCAAACGGACGGCCGACGATTCCGACGATGACTGGGACTGAGATCAACGTGCCTGAATACTTTGTACCAGTGCCTCTTCTCATTAATTGCTGGGATCCTAGGCTGCCGGGAACCTCAGCTGAGACTACACGATGGGTCGTCCGACGATTCTTCCGTCCCACCACCCAGTCGAATCGGGCCTATATACAGGCCTTACCACCATTTATGCTCGGTACTGTCAAGGAATGTGTCAACAAAACGCAGTGATCTGTGAGCATGGGACGACTTACCCGAAACTCCAGGTTCTCCCTGTCGGTCAGGTCAAGGAACTCGTTGTTTTCCTCGTGCTGCACGGCGAGCCGGTCCCTCCTCCGGTTCTCCCAGGCGTAATACAACATCAGTATCGCAGTCATCACACATGCGAAGGCACTTGTCACGACTATACTGATCTTGGCCGGGATGTACTCTGGCGCATCAGCGCCCCTGAAGGTCAAGGGCCCAATGATGTTGCCGAGACCTGCATCTCCCAATCAGCCACCGTGCGCCCCCCTTGCACGCCATGTCTGGGGGAAGGTTTAGAAAATGAGCACTCACAAAAAGACATGAGAAGGACTGCGTTCATTGTCACCTTCTTGGTATGTCCTGCATAGTTGGCGCCAGCATACGAATACAGTAATGGCAGACTGGATCCGATAACGTTTGTCAGGTAATTCCCGGTTAGCTTGGCCCCCTGGTTATCATCCGGAGCGAAAGCCAGCAGACAGCCGCCGAGAACGCCGCCAATGAGACAGCATGGGATGATAATCCAGCCTCGCACGTTGTAGCGGCCTGCCAGACCCGTCGCGGTAAGGACCGAGATGATGGCGATGATGCCAGACGGAATCGACAGCAGCGCCGTCTGCTCCGACGTGTATCCAAATCCCTTGATGATGGTCGCCTGATACGAGCTCACAGCGCCGTTTGGCACATTGGACGAGATGGTGATGAGGCTGATCAGCCACGTCTGCGGATCGCGGAAACACTCCCACGCCTGGTGCGGCTTGAAATGCTTGTTCTCGATACCTGTCTTGTTCTCTCGCAGCCTCTCAATCGCCCAAATCTTCTCATCGTGCGTCAGAAACTTGCACTTCATCGGATTGTCCGGCACGATTAGCATCACAAGTACCCCCACGGCGACAGTGATGAGCCCAAACACGAGGAACATGATCTGCCACGACGTGAAGGTCTTGCTGGTGTAGTGCTGGAACCCGTAACTCGAGATGGCCCCGATGACGCTCCCCGTGCCGGTGCCGACGTACCAGAACCCAACCCGAGGCGGCTGCTCGGCCCTCTTATACCACATCGTGGTGATGAGGATAAGAGCGGGCGCAACGGCGGACTCGAAGCAGCCCAGCAGTACGCGCAGCACGACAAGGCCGGCCCAGTTCTTGGCGGTGGACACAAGGGCAGTCATAACCCCCCAGAGGGCGATGTTGGCGCCGAGGTACTTGGCTGTGGGAAGTCGCTGCATCAGGTACCCTGTGGGTAACTCGAAGGCCAGGTAAGTGACATAGAAGACCAACGCAAGCTGAGAGAACTGGTCGGAGGAGACTGGAGTCGGCATAGTCAGCATATATTTGTTTCCAGGAGAATTAGAGTGTAGGGGCTACGCATTACTGTTTGTATCATCCTCAAGGCCCATCACGTTGGCGTAATTTACTATATTATTACTTGATGTAAGCCACGCGCCGCGGTCACGAACAGGGCCCCATCAAAAGATCTCACCAAGAGTTTTGTCGAGATATTGCAGATTATAGCACGCCCCTGCACCAAAACAGCAGTCAGCAACTTTGCGCTTACCTCAAGACATCCATTTCAAGGTCGAAGAGGAAAGAAGAGGAGGGAAAGGACTTGCACATCAGGGGAACAATGCGCCAGTCGATCTTCCGGACCAACGTCTTCTCATCAACCTCTGTCACCGTCGTGTTCCCATCATTGTTCAAGAACTCGAGCGCAGCGTCCACTTTATCGTGCGCGATGGTCTGCTGCTTCTCCGTATCCATGGTGAGGGGCTTGTCTGATGTTACGCCGTCTTGGTCTCGGGACATCTTCTCTGTGGCCATGTTCAGTGCGGTCTGGGCTGCATTAAAGGCGCAGGCGGGTTCTTCTTTTGACCAAACGAAAGAACGCAGTGAAAGGATACTCGCAGAGGAAGATGCTGTTCTGTCTTGTCTACTGGGTACAAAAATTGCTGGGAGGTGTGCATCTAGATAAATGGCACGTTACTTGCCCCCTCCCACAGCATGGAGGCACACCGTGTATAACATCTCAAGATAGGCAAAATGTGCTGAGAGGGGGGTCCTACCGGCTGGCTTGTCTCCTTCTCACTATTCTCAACTGCGCCGCATGGTTGTACTATGTACATGAACTATGGCAGACACACACCTGGCACACACAGACGAGGCGCTTGCATACACAGACATGGTCATCTTCATTTTCCCTACTGCACAAGGTATCAGCGGCAGTGGGACGGCATGCAGTGTCGGCAGAAAGACAGCAGGGGTGGGATGGCTCTCGGGGATATCACATCCATCTCACTGCATGACGTCGTCGAAAAAGGACAGAGGCAGACCAGAATGCTACCAGGGAGATAAGGGACAAGCGACAGCCATTGGAGACTGAGAGCAAGGGCATGGGAGAACTCTAGATCTGACTCCTCGGCACGCTATGCTGTAATGTACAATGGAGATTGTCGTGCGGTGTTGCAGCGAGGACCGCTCGGGACGAAAACAACCCTGAGAGAGGGGCTGCATTTTGCCGGAGATATCAGTGATCGTCGTTGCAGAGATGATATCTGACGATAAGTACCTTGCTTATTGGGGACTTTTTTATATATATATTTTTATTCGTTTCTGAGAGCCTTGCTGAGACGACTACGAAAAGGACCAGCTAGCATCTGATAAGATGCACAGATCGGGTTCCTCTCATGCCCACCGGTCGGTCTGCGGTATCCCAGCATTTCCGGACAGGCTCCGTCTCGGGCATTCATCCGACTCATGGATGGACCATTACATATAAAAGTACTCTCAAACACCAAGCTTGATCCAGGGGCGCGGCAAAGTTTCGACAACCTTAAAACGGGGAGCACTTCGGGATAAAAAAACTCTAATGAGAGAACACATGTTCTGACGATAGACCTTGCTAAGGCAATACGTTACAAGTCCTGGCTGCTAGTGTCGATGCCCTCACCAAGGAACTCCAGAGGTCGCAGCATCCACAACAGCCAACACGCTCTGCCCAGGAAACACGACTCCGCCTTTGCTACAACCAGTGATGAGTGCTGCTTGTCTTGAATCTCGTGGAAGAAAAGACGTTTACGAAGATGAAAAAGGTGATGATCGGAGCAATGGGTAGCTGATGCAGTCACTGCTCTGGCTTGCAATAGGATTGCCTGGAACCTGTTTGTGTCTAAGTGATACATGGTGTCGGGAAGATCTGGTTTGTTGCTCAAATGAGGTTTGAATATGTGCTGACAAGACAGTGCTTACTGCTACAGAGCAACCTTTGCATGGTGAGGTTACTATGCAGAAACGTATGAGTGGGAAAGGACGTCCTCGATCTCTTTCCAGTGAGGCTCCTTGTGCTACACTGTAGGGTACTGTGGGGCACTGTGTCATTTGTACTGTCGAACGCGCCTCCAACCTACCCCTCACAGCTCAACTCAAACGCGACCTCAGCCACCGCACCTCGCGCAGTTCTACCCTCACTCCACATCCTCACCTCACACTGGGTTTCATTTGTTCCCAAATTCATTTGAGATTAAGGCACAATTCTTCCTACTCTTGGCCTTTTTTTCTTCTTCCAAAAAATAAGGAGATTGAGGCAGCGTTCGGGTCCAAGGTCCAAGTAGTCATCCTCCTTGTTTACTTGTTCAAGTTCCCGCAAACACACTGTGGGCCCCCCGAGCAGAAGAGGACGCGCTCTTCTTGGGTCCGAGATCGATCTGGGGTATTATGGGTCGAGGGATTTGAGTCCCATTCGATACAAGTGTCCTGTACAAATTCCTGAACACGCTCTTACCGCACAGTCAGTTCCCAGCATGGACCACGGCCAGGACGAGGAGCCCGCGCTTCCTCCCTACAGCGCTGATGTACAATCTCTTCCCCCTTTGGCCAAGAGAAAGCGAAGCACACCCTCTCAGCTCTTCTCAGACTCGAGCGAGCTGGCCATTTTCTCCAGCGACGATGACCCAGCTGTTGAGAATTACACCCAGGGCCGCCGCAAGAAGCAGTACGTCGGGCCCTGGGACAGGCAGCGACCAGTAGAAGACCACGAAGATGATCACCTCCCCGGGCCTGCTGCTCAGAAGCGCAAGTTTCAGCGCCAGCACGACAGCGGCGTCTATCTGGGCAGCGACGACAAGTCCTCGTGTGATGGCATCCCGAGCGAGCCTCCTCCCCCTCCTGCGGAGCCCTTCTCGCTCTCGCAGGCCTACCAGGTCCCGCGCTCCTCCCAGGCTGCTGGCATCTCGCCCGCCGAGGCCGAGGCCCGGAGGAGGATCCTGTACCGTATGGAACAAGGGGATGAGTGGATCGACTTATCGTAGGTTTCTTGCCCCGCCCTCGTCTCTCTGCACGCGTTTCCCTCCTATAGTGAGACGGGATCGAATGGTTCCCTTCACACAAGGCTCCTGCTAACTGCGCCTACTCACAATGTTAGGGCCATTGGGCTGGAGCAGATCTCAGACGACACCATTTCCGTCCTGTCTGAGTTTGAGCGTATCCCCATCGTCGCCAAGGGCGTACCATTTTCGCATTCGCCTCCACAGCTCAAGCTGTTTCTCTTCCACAACAGCCTGACCCGGCTCCCCAGGGCCGTCTTTGACCTGGACCGCATGACCGTCCTGAGCCTGCGCGGCAACCAGCTGACTGAGATCCCGCCGTGCATCCTCAGGCTCAAGAACCTCAAGGAGCTGAACGTGTCGCAGAACCGCCTGCGGCATCTGCCCTTTGAGCTTCTGGAGCTCATTTACGACACGCGCAGCCAGCTGGACTGCCTGAGTGTGTTTCCAAATCCTTTCTATCAGCCGCACACTACCGACCAGAAGCCCGCCTGGGAGAGCGGCGCCCACCCTCCGCACATGCATGATAGAGGCAACTGGTGGTTGTTCAAGCCCGATCATGCCAGCGGCTACTATGCACGTCAATGGGCGCGCACGCCGGTGCAGTGCACTGACACACAGGGCAGGGTGTACTCAGACTTTCGGATCGACGAGGGCGCCACACACCTGGCCACAGAACCCCTCGGCTCGGCCCCGTCATCTCCCCGCAAGCACCCGAACCCGGGGAGCGGGCTCAATCATACAAGGGTGTTCTCGCTCATGGAGCTTGCCCTGCAGACCTGTGTGCGCAACACCCCTCCGAGCGGCTGGGGCGAGTACCTGGACCAGAAGAGGTTCCCCAGGCTGGTCAACGTCCTGGAGGATACCACCTCCAAGTACAAGACGGGGGAGAGACCCTGTACGGTCTGCGGCCGATCTGTTCTCAGGCCGGCCGCGCAGTGGATGGAGTGGTGGGAGATATGGTTCTACACGCCCCCGGTGCATGATGAGGGGATGGTCGCGAATCTCCAGCCGCTGCAGGGCCGGCTGGAGTTGGAGCCGGGCCAGAGACTGGTTTCGTTCCTCAGGCAGGCGTGCTCGTGGAATTGTGTCGAGCGTCCGGTTCGGGGACTGAAGCCGGCGTCAAAAACGATACTGACGGAGAAGGCAGCTGGCAAGGGCGTTGAATGAGATATTTCATGTCTGTCTCTAGATAAATCATAATGATGACGATGAACACCACCACCACCACCTGGATCTTCTTTCAAGTACTGGCAGTGGATGACGCCCAAGAGGGAAGCAAGTAATAATATGACGCTCAAGAGGGAAGCAAGTAATAATATGACGCTCAAGAGGGAAGCAAGTAATAATACTACTGCTACCTGAAATGATGTATCAACAATCACTACTGCAGTTGTCACTCTTCCAGACGCACAACAGATTGCTAATCCTTGCTGCCTTTTGAGACTTGCTGCCGCGGCCTTAAGATATCAGACCTTACATATGTGAGCTTCTCATCCGAGAGTAGTCCTTCATCCTCTTTCACATCTTGTTCTTCATGTCGCATTGTTCAGGGCGGACCCCAGCTTGGCCCCTCTCTGATAAACGAACAAGGCCTCGTCCTTGCCAGCAAAACTCGGCAAGGGGATCTGCACGACCTTGGTCCAGCCCGGCTGCTCTCTCTCCATGTACTCGTCCAGCGTGCAGTCCCGAAAGCTCGTGTACCCGTTATGGTTCTGTGTGCCCACGACGGCAAGCGTGTCCCCCTTGTACGCCTTGAGAAGATCCCTCGTAAACCCGCCTTCGGCACCACCGCCCGCCCCGCCGCCGACCACAGGGTACACCATCAGCAGAACGAGGTCCTCGCCGCCGCCGTTTCTCCCGAGCCACTTCACTCCGTCCATGATGGCCGTGTCACCGACCCAGGTCGCGCGCCACTCGCTCTGTGCGCTATCGACAGGCGCCACAGCGACGCCGTGCTGCCGCAGCATAAAGGCCCAGTAGCCATTGCCGCTGCCGACGTCGGCGACTGTGCGGCCCGCGGCGACCAGACGCAGTACCTCAAGGCTCTCGTACGAGGGGACGGCGCAGCCAAAGTGGTGCATCAGCACGGGGAGCAGGTGGTGGCTCTGGGAGCGGGCCTCGGACTCGGGGTTGGGCCCACACCACTCGAGGTTGAGGCACGACCAGGCCCAGAAGTCGAAATAAGGATTGGACGGGATATCCTTGGCAGTGGCTTTCTTCTTGGGGATGTTGAGATGAGGGCCGCCTGGGTGGAGGTAGCGTTTTGAGGTGAGGTGGGCGGCGACGCTGGCGCGAATGCTGTCCCTCTTGGCGTTGGCGCCGAAGGCTTTGAGGGCGGACGAGGTCAGGGTGTTGGGGAGAAAGATGGAGATGTAGGCCTCGACGTCTTGTCTAGAGGGAGGGCCTGGGAGGGGCGGCGACGAGGAGGAGGAGGAGGAGGAGGAAGAGGGGGCGGCGTACCAGGCGTGAAGGCCATTGACGCCGCCGAGGTTGACGATATGTTGAACTTGATTCAGGTAAACGGTGCTGATGGCATGGTAGGCGTATGTGTCGTTGGGCGGGAGGCTGAAGTAAGCCTTGATGGCGCCGGCGAAGTCATCTTTCTGGAGGAGAGAGGCGACGCGAGAGGTGGTCTCTGGGTCTTTGGCGAGGGCTGCCGGGTCGAAGTTGGACGAGCCCACACAGCTTGGTTGCTTGGCCATCTCTCCTCTAGACTCTCTACCCTCTCTCTCTCTCTCTCTCTCTCTCTCTCTCTCTCACACACACACACACACACATACACACACACACTCACTTCTGTTCTGTTCTTTTCTTTTCTCCTCTTTCTTTTCCTTAATGGGGCCCGACCTTGTATCGTAAACTATGGTACAAGCATGGATTGGCAAAAGCAGAGGTTTCCTCTTACAGTGAAGTGCATGTGCACAGACAGTTGTGTGTGTGGGTGAGAATCAAATCTGCCTAGTGACGTCTTGGATTGATAACCGAGTGCGACTGCGACTGCAACTGCAACGGGTGTGGGTGGGACTTTCCCCGGAACGACCCGTTCCTCAGGTCATCCCACTCGTCTACAGTATCGTGAGTGTTTCTCTTTCTGTCCGTCCTCTTCCTCCTCATTTTCCTCTCGTAGCCAAAGATAGACAAAGACCAAAATGGACTTAAGAGAGCAGCTAATTTTACTAGACAATCTGTGTTTCTGCTGAATTTACCATATTTGTCATTATTGTCCGAGCCTACGGCCAGTGTCCAGTAAGGGCTGCATTGCCTACATGCCGTCTCCGTTTTGTACTTTACCCACCATGGTTTAAGGCAACATGGAGAGAGTGTGTGTGCGTGTGTGTTGTGTGGATGGATCGAGTATACATGTCTTAACTGTTCTCTTCGTGTTTTCCTTTTCTTGTACTACTGCCTATCTTCTTTCCCTTTCTGGGTTACCTTTTACTCTTTCCGCCGTTTCATCGTGTTGCTTTTTCTGGTTCGTTTTTCTTTCAATTTTCTTTTCCTATCTTTTTCTCTTGCCCCCAAAACTTGCCGCTCTTTCAGAAGTTTCTGGCGAACCGTGTGCCGGTCTTGTCTTGGGCACCTTCCGTGGACTATTTGCTCGTGGCTGTTTCCTTACCGTGTGGCTTTCCCGGCCCCGCCCCGTTCTCTCTCCCTCGTCCCTACCCCCTCTTTTCTGTCACGCTTGTTCTACTCACTCAAAGCATATCATTTTTCTTCCCGTCTCAAATCTGCTTGTAACTTTTGTCATCCAATCTGTTATCCGCCCCCCCCCCCTCCCACCCCGGCGCCCCATCTACCGTCACATTCAATCAATGCTCAGGCTCTTAATTTTTTGGATGTGACCTCAACACAAACCTTGCCCTGCGTTAACCGTTTTTTTCTTCTTTCATCATCCTAACCAACCAACCAACCAGCCAGTTTGATACGAATCCAATTTCAATACACCCCCTCGACTCTTTACTTTTTCTCGTTCTTCTCATCTTTTCCTTCTCCTCCTGTTTCACGGGCCTTGTACTGTATATTCTGGAAACAGACTTGCCCCCTTTTTATCCCTCTTAGCTCACCTCCTCCTCTTTACTTCTTCCTTTCTATATATATATATACAAAGAGCTCGACCCAGCTCCATCAGACGAACACAGCCTCCACACAACCATCCAGAGAAAGTGCCCACGACGGTAGAAGAGCCGACTCCCATCACCAGTTCATCACCACAACGCCACGCCATAGGCATCATCATTCCATCGTCCGACAATCCGATGCCTTTGTGTTTACAACTGAGCAGAGGGCTAGTACCAGGTCCTTAAAGCCGTAGTGCCTACCCACCTTTCGCTTTGCTCTGCCCACTACTGGGAGCATCTTGGGGACAGCTGCTCGCCACTCGACCTCTTCCTGGTCCTCGTCTTTCTCACCCTCCATCATCCTGTGGAACTCGAGCTTTTCATATTCCACCTTAGCTCGACCGAACGCCCACGAGAACTCCGGCCTGAAGCAGTGATGGACCCTCTTCACCAGACCGACTCGGCCATCTCGGTCGCCTCCTCCTTTAACAAGGACGAGGGCAGCGTCCGTGATGCCCACCCCTATGGAACTCCATCAGCCTCTGGGCGTGCACCACCACCCACTCGGGCTCAAGCCGCCTCGGATGACCGCCACTCACAGGCCTCTGTCGACGCTGACCACGACTCCACACCGGCTTCGATTGACCCGCGCCAGGAGGCTGTCCCCAGCTTCGTATCACAAGTACAACCACCACCAGCCTCTCCAGCAGCGGGCAGCGGACTTGTTGCCCCCTCCTCCGTGGACCTTGCCTCTAGCCATCATACCCCACAGGAGGAAGCCCATGCTGATCACACTCCTCTCCTTCCGAGATCACCCTCGCCACCACCATCACCACCAACAGATACCGCGCATCACCTCGTAGCTTCAGAGCCTGCGGTCAGCTCGCCCGCCGCATCACCAGCACTAGCACCAGCAGACCTCTCCACACATGCTACAGGCGGTGATGCGTCTGGCAGTGGCCAGTTCCAAGACCAGAACCATGAAGCAGATCCTGATGCCCTGACCCAGTCGGGAACCGGCGCCATCATCATCGACCATGAGCAGCTTGAGCTGGAGTCGGATCCAGGATACGAGTCGGATCGTGCCAGCTTCGCGTCCACGTCTTTGTCCAGCAGCGTACGAGACTACCTGTTCGAGAACGGGAGGCGCTACCACAGATTTAGGGAGGGGAGGTACAACTTTCCCAACGACGAAGCAGAGCAGGATCGCGAGGACATGAAGCACACATGCGTCAAGCTGCTGTGCCAGGAGCAGCTATTCTTTGCCCCGATCCGCGATGGGAGTCTGCATAACATCCTCGACATCGGGACGGGTACGGGCATCTGGGCTCTCGAGATGGGCGACCAGTTCCCCTCAGCCAACGTCCTCGGCATCGACCTAAGTCCTATACAGCCGGACTGGGTGCCCGCCAACGTGCGCTTCGAGGTGGATGACGCCGAGAGCCCGTGGATTCATCCCCTAGATCATTTTGATTATATACACACCAGGCACACCGTCATGGCCATCAAGGACTGGCCAAAACTGTACCGGACAGCTAAAGAGTGAGTGACTCCCTTTCCCCCCCCCCCCCTCTTCTCTCAGGCCCCGCCATGTCTCATATCTCATGTCTCATGTCTCTCTGCGGCGTTTGGTTGTTGACCTCTTGTCACTATTTGCATAGTCACCTTCGCCCCGGCGGCTGGATCGAGTCGCAGGAGATCTACCACTACCCAATCTCTTTGAACAACTCAATGCCCCCGGACCACCCCGTCGCACAGTACTGGGCACTGATCCACCAAGGCCTCAACCGGCTGGGCATTGACTTCCAGGCAGCAGCTGGTGGCAAGATCGCGGCTATGATGCGCGACGCAGGCTTCGTGAACGTGCAGGAGCGCATATTCCACGTGCCACTCGGCACCTGGCCCAAGCACCCAGAACTCAAAGTGGTCGGCGAGTACTGGAGGCACATCCTCCTCGTAGGGGCACAGGCCATCGCCCTGGGGCCTCTGACCCGGGGCTGCGGCTGGACCAGGGAGGAGGTCGAGGTGTTTTTGATCGAGCTGAGGAAGGCTTATTACGACAACAACTGTCTCATGTACATGCCCATGTACGTGACATATGGCCAGAAACCGGAGCACTGACAGACATAAAAGATGCCCGGCTGGCTGGCTGAGCCTGACGACGATTTTTTTATTATTATATATTTTTACGCTTGCTTGACAGCCTGGTATATGGTGCATGGCGATCTGGGCTGATGATGCCAGAGTTATGTGAGAGAATCATCTATGACATATATAAATCTAAATATTTATGTGCACATATATACATGTACGTCTATGTACGAATGAATGAATGAATGAATATGTCAGCGTCTTCAGAGAGAGAGTAAAAAACACAAGAGAAGGGGGGAGGACAAGATGGGAGGGAAAGGAGGATGTCTAGAAGAGGCTGTAATCCGCCTCGTGTTGACCTCGACCCAGCATCATGGCCAGGCAGGAGAAGATGGAAGGGCGGTCAGACCCTTCGCTTCTTGTCACAGCAACATTACAAATGAAGTATCCATCGTCTATCAAGCCCAAGCCACAAAAGCAACATGGCCTGCTCCAAACGTGCTCCTCTGCTGAAATTGCCTGATTGGGAAGTCTTAGCAGTCTGACCACCCTCTCGCTCTCCCCTGGAGAACCTTATGGGACGACCCTGTCCACGCAGTCGATGGGGTCGACGTTTGGCGGGTGAGCTGGAAGAAAGGCAAACGATAAAAGGGAAACTTTCTCTTCCAATAGTATTGCTAGTGCAGCGCCACCAAGTCATCCCGCGGAGGATTTGGAGGGTAGGGACGGGAAAGAGGGAAAGGGGGGGAGGACTTTGATGGGGGGGGGGCGACAGTGTGGTAATCTTTTGGATAGGCCTTTCTGAGGAGAGGGGGGGGGGGGGAGATTAGAATAGAGTGCTGATGAGGTGGGTGACGTGCAGATTAGGCCACTCTGAGCTGAAGGAGGAGCAGGATTGATCTACCACATACGTTACTACTACCAACCAACATGTTTATTTAATTTGTTCGTTTGACTACACAAGATAAAAACTGACTGAGACAGATAGAGTTGATTCACTGGCCTACTAGGGAAACAGTTTACTTGCTTACTAGAACATAGGTCACTCACAATCCAAGGTCGGGACGGTGCTGACGACTTTTGCTCGGTTTATCCGGAGGGGGCAATAGAGGGCAAAGGGAAGCCAACAATTTCAGCACCCCAAGGTACTACAGTAGTATTTTCTAGTGAATGACTGACGTGGCCAGCACACGGCGGCATCTCATGCAAGCCAGACCTAGGAGGGGATTGCTGATCTTTTTCTGGCGGGGGAGGGAGGTGGAGGGAGGGCTTTTTGGCTGGACACCCCTCAGTTTCGACTTTGTACTTTGGTAATCGACAGGTGGGTTTTGGTTCTGGTTTTTTTTTTCTTTTTCCTTCCCCTTGTTGAACCTCGGCCCAACTGATTCTTATCAACTGCACCTGTTCAGTACGTGAAATTTGGGTAGCATTTTAGGCTTTGATGGCTTCCACTGGGGAAAAAGAGAAGAGGAAATTTGTGGGGGGGGGGGGGCAGGATATTTGGAAAGGGTTCTGCATCTTCCGCTGGGCCCCGATGTCACCCAGCAAACAACGGCCGGCGGGGTGGGGAGGAGGAGGCTGGGGGGCTGGTTTCCTCCAGCGCTGCTGGCACTGCTGGGGTTTGGCTGCTGCAGCTAGGTGGTTTTATGGGGAAGGGGGGATGGGTTTGAACCCTGTAAGTACGTACGTACCATGCCTGGGACAGTAAGTAGTAGGAGCATCTTTCACTCTTTTTTGCCATCCCGGGAGTCCGGATTGCTGGGACTAGTTTAGAGACACACCACAAACCACGCCAGCTGGGAGTGTGTGTGTGCCCAGTGTCTCGGATCCCTAAGCTGGCTGGAGGAGCAAGGAGAGAGGAGAGAGAGCCTCATGGGAGAGCCCCTCTCTCTGGTGGCTATTTTTTTTCTTGCTCTTTTCTTTGGTTTTCATTCACACAGTGTCTCGAATATACCATCTGAATAACCGCATCTCCTCATGCTCGGATTCCTCTCCCTTCTCTCCCCCCCTCTCCCTCTCTCTCATCTCGCAGCAAGCCTGGCAAGATGGAGGAGAAAAGGATGAGGGGGTAAAAGAAAGATGACGGAGGAGGTCTAGATCGCCATGCAAGAGGGAGCCTCATCCCTGGTTGCGGCCCATCGGGAGCCTATAGCTTGCTCACTTTTCCCTCCCATGCTGCATGCCCCAGCTGTGCGGTACTGCTAGTATTGTATGTCCCAATCCATAATATTGCTTTTTATCATTATCACTAACTTCCTACTTTCCTACTACTGCTCACAATCCCCGTTAGCCTTGTTCCCACAACGCTGGTCTTGTCGATAAACGGGACCATGCTCCGAGGTCTTTTGGGTCCGAGTAAGTATGTAACCGTAGCAGTGCTGTTAGTATGCCTGTCGCTCTTCTCGAGGAGGAGGAGGGGGACTGGGTGCTTGTGTGGACCTGTGGGCATAGTGATCGTCGACTTTGCTCTCTTTTTTCCTCACTCACACACAGGACACACACACACTCTCTCTCTCTCTCTCTCTCTGCCTTGTTCTTCTTCTCTCTTCTTTTCTCTTTTCTTCTTTCTTTCTTTCTTTCTTTCTTCCGCCTTCTTTTCTTATTTTTTTTCCTCACCTAATCTACCCCCCAAGACTCCTCTGGGGAAAACCTGTTGTCGTCGCCTCCTCACCCGAGCCACAAGAAATGTGTGGTTACTGATTGGATTCACGCAGCCAATCTGGTCCAGCCCAGCCGCCTCGAGGCCCTGCACAGCACCACCACCCCAAAGGAAAAAGCAACTTTTGACGCGGTCCACCCCTAAGGGTAGCTTTCCTTGTTACATACATGGGGTGACTAGCGAATTAGTCAACATCGCTTTTTTTGACTTTCTGGCTCTCATCGAGATTTACACATCCCTTTGCACGAGATTTTGGTAGGGAGGAGAACAAGAAAGTCCAGGTGCAGGCTCTGAATAGACACTCTTCCTCGAAGGAAAAAGCTCAGCATTAACCACTCGCTTTCTTCTCCAACAAATACTCACAAGAGAGCCCAAGCCACGGAAACTTGGTCATTGTCTAACACACGAGTCATTCTTCAACAACACACATACCCTCTCACATATCTGTTCGGCTGGAGGTATGTATGTATTATATTTACCATAGCACTGTTGATATTATAGTAGATATCATAAGGGCCATCCTCGTCACTGCATATTTACTCACATACTATGACAATAGTTTCTAGGCGGTGAAGCTCACACTGGCACACTCCCTGTCCTTCTGGTAGATCCGCACAGCAGCGGCTGAAGATCCTCTCGTAGGCCAGCCAGCACGACAGCGTATGTACCCATTATTTTTATTGTTTTCACCTCGTCCTCCTCCACTCTTGGCCCGCACACTATCTGCATGCATACCCACCCACTACCTACGGGTAGTATATGGAGAGAGAGGGCGATGTGCTGCTACTATAGTAGTCTGGTGTGAATGGTTCCACTGACATACATACATGACTTGCAGCAAGCAACAACCGTGGGGACCCGCCCTTCAGGTCACGCAGTCATTCAGTCTTGGCCCATCACGAAGGAGAAAGGGGGTGAGGGAAATCTGAATGATTTGTCTTCTCTAGTCTCGCAAAACCACCAGATTAAACCCACTCCATCACACTGCATCAACAGGGCACACAACAAAAAGTTAATTCTTGTTGATACTTTGATCAATCTTGCCCTGGCCCACCTTTCTTGTTACTGCTTTCTTCTTCATCCCGTCTAGGTAGGTCAGCCCTTTGCCATACCCTGCTTCCCAATCTGTCGGTAACTCCTCGGTGGAACCATCGGCGGAACAAATGATCGCCACATGGCGTCCATCCGGTTCTTCAGCTCTCAACCGCTGGTTAACCTCACCGATGGCTTGCCTATGCGCCTGTCTGCTTTGCCTGCCAGTCTGCCTACCTAGTCCATCCTTTCACCGCAGGTCTAATTCTTGTGTGTGTGTGTGTGTGTGTGGGTGGGTGGAGGGGGGTGGTGAGAAAGAGAGTTCCGTCGGCAGGCTCATCACTTTTGGCCAAGCCCTTCCTTGGTGCAGAACTACAGGATGACGGCGAGGAGGAGCAGAGGAGGAGGAGGGGTGGGGAGGGGGAAAAAGAGAGAGGCTGTTGGCGTTTTCCCCCCTCTTCCCTGTTCCCCTTGCCAAAAACAACATCGGTGGCTTGCTACAGGTGTAACCTGCATTTGCATTTATCCTTACTGAGACTAACACATAATATCTTGATGAGAAATAGGTAAAATAACCCACGCACGCTTCTACGCTGTCTCAGTCCGGCAGCTAGGTTCCTCTCTGCCGGGACCGTTGGTGAAGAAGGAGGAGCGGGAAAAGAAAAGAAAGAACAAAACGGCATCGTTCCAGAGTGCAACCCAAACAGGGAAGATTGGGTAGCAACTTGTACCTACTATTCTGTGATCCTTTTTATCTTCCGGCCCCTTGGGTCTGAAGGGATCTGCCTCCGTCTGGACCATTCCTCCCTCTTCCACCAGTCTCACTCAACCTACAATATTGAGAGACGTAGGATCAAAACCGATTCTTCGTTGTTCAAGTGGCAGTCCTCCTTGGGTACTCAGTCTGCACTTCCTCACTTGGATATTCTTTTACCCACACAAAGCAGTCATCGTCTCTTCGAAAGTGGCTGGCATTGTTTAACGGGGCCGGTTCGCACATTCATCCACACGACCAACCAAAGCAAGACTTGGAGAAAAGAACATATTCTCTTTACTCGATCTCTCTATCCCTCTACAGAAAACCGCCAAGATGGTCAAGCTGAGTCGTGTCTCGTGGTTCGGCTCTTCGAACAATGGCCGTCACAACAACGACATAAATAACAAGCAGCAAAATCAAAAGCCAGTGGTGCCAGCAGCAGTATCAACAACGACAACAAAATCACCGCCACAACCACCAGTCAACGGGACCACAACCTCCTCCTCGTCGTCGTCCTCCTCCTCCAGCAGCAGCACCATGATGGCCCTGGCAGAAAAGATCAGCAGGGAGACGGCCAAGCTCGAGAGGTACATGAAGGAGAAAGGGTTGCCGATGCCTGCTTTTGACGTGGATGCTGCAGATGATTTTCCCAAGCTGCCGGCAGATATCCAGAACTGCAGGTTGGAAATCATCCACGCCACGAAACAGCTCCGAGACCTTACTATCGGCCCACGAGAGAGCGTGAGATGGGGCGTCTGGGAGGTGAGACCTTTGTTTTATTTCTTTTTTCTTTTCCTTTTTGACGATCAACACAAACACTTATGCACTTGTTCAACTCCTTTAATTTTTATTTCTTCATGTTCCATACATACATACATTTACATTTGTACATGACGTGTAAACTGACGATACTATTTCTTGACAAAAGTTCCTCGATGTTCTGGCTCTTCAGGTTATCTACAACTATGAACTTGGTAAGGCACTCACTTTATTTACACATAACACTTCCCTATCCTTCCTTTCACACATTTTCCCCCAGACACAAGAAAGAAAGAAAGAAAGAAAGCAACTGTCACTTGAGAAAATACTCATTTCCTTCCAGCCAAGCTCGTTCCCCTCGACAAGCCCATCTCCCTCACCGACCTCCAAAAGCTCACCCCTCTGGACCCCGTCAACCTCGCGCGCGTCCTGCGCACCGCCATGACCAACCACATCTTCACCGAGCCCAGCCCCAACCTCATCGCCCACACCGCCGCCTCGCGCCTCCTGGCCACAGACGAGGAGCTGGCCGCCTGGGTCGGCTTCAACGTCGAGGACATCTTCCCGGCCTCCAACGGCGTCCTCCCGGCCCTGCAGACCCACCCAGAGGCCACCTCGCTCACCCGCGCCGGCTACCAGTTCGCCTTCGACACCGTCGACGTCGAGCCCATGTTTGCCACCTTTGGCAGGGACGCCAAGCGGTCCCGGCGCATGGGCCAGGCCATGACCAGCCTGACGGGCGGCGAGGGCTACGAGGTCGCGTACTTTGTCGACAGCTGCGACCTGGGCGACGTCGACGCCCGCGGCGGCACCTTTGTCGACGTGGGCGGCAGCCACGGCGTCGTCTGCGTCAGCCTGGCCCGCAGGTGGCAGGGCATCAAGTTCATCGTGCAGGACCTGCCCAAGACGGTCGCCAGCGCGCCGGACCCGGTCTGCGAGGACGCCCAGGTCGCCGGGCGCGTGCAGTTCCAGGCCCACGACTTCTTCACGCCGCAGGACGTCGCGGCCGACGTGTACTACTTCCGCTGGATCATGCACAACTACTCGACCCCGTACGCGGTCGACATCCTCAAGAACCTCGTCCCCGTGCTCAAGCCCGGCGCCCGCATCATCATCAACGACCACTGCCTGCGCGACCCGGGGCAGGAGAACCCCTGGGACGAGAAGATCATGCGCCGTATGGATATGGTCATGTTGACCCTGCTGAACGCGCAGGAGCGGACCGAGGAGGAGTTTCGGGAGCTGTTCCGTCTGGCGGATGAGGGCTTTGTGTTCAAGGTACGTTTGTTGAATCTTTTCTTTTTCGTTCCTGATTGATTATGTTTTATATGTGTATTGTGGAGATGATGAATGCTTACTGACGGTTTTTCCTTCTTCTTCTTTGATCCAGGGAGTCACGCGTGCCAAGGGATGTCGTATGAGTATTGTTGAGGCTGTTTGGAAACCGGATGCGGTTGTGTCCAAGGCAGTTGATGATCAGACCCAAGACACGCCTGCGCCTGTATCGGAGTGATTACCTGCTCAACGGCCAGGCCTGGGAGGGGTCCAGACAGCCTGCCCATGTGTTTTTGACTAACTCGAGGAGATCTGCTCTGCGCTGCTTTTGGCTTTTTGCTTTCCTTTTTTTTTGTCATATTTTTTTTTTTTTTTTTTTTTTTTTTTTTTTTTTTTTTTTTTTTCACTCCCATGCTCTTCTGCCGAGAGTGGGTGGGTGAGTTGCTGTTTGTCGTGTGTAATGTCTAGTCTGCTTGATCTGCTTCATTTCGCTGGTTGGTGGTCATATTGTATGCATCTCTCATGTTGTTATTCATGATGTTGATTTGATGATGATGAGTTGGGTAACGTTACCTTGCATTCTGGTGGTATAGTGCTTGATGCCCCTTTGTGTGGGGGAAGGGAAACCAACTGGAGGCGGGAGGTTTTGATTTGTATTTGGCCATTTAGTTGTGACATGGACTTTTCATTCTGAAGTACTTACATACATACTTACATACTTAGGCATGGCTGCTTGAATTTGAATATTCTTATTCTGCACGTCTCCAAAATTTGCTTCTCAAATGGCATGATTTCTTGTATGATCATGTGGCACAGGTCTGGCTGAGATTGTTCAGTATTATTTGTTCTAAAGTGAAAGACTTGTCAATGATTGTCGAATATGCCACAGCAGCAGCCAGTGTTGCAACCCAATGAAGGATACTCGCTCTATTGTATATTGATGTCTGTGTGAAAGACTATCCAGACTGCATTATCAACAGCGCATTCCATGTAATATATTTAAGTTATTTGACAGCACCTTCGTTGCTTGATGTTCACTATTGCATAGTTGTGGACATGATCAAATATGCTTTCAACCTGCTTATTTCTTTTAATGATGACTTCAGAGTCTTGAAACCCAATTATATTAATAATGCCTCACCAGTTCAATCAACGACTTCTACGAGTTAGTGTTCACACATAATATTCTATGTTATGATGAGTAGTTGTGAAAACAATTAATCTAAGCTCGCAATGCTGAAAGAATCCATTTACACTTATCAAAAATCACACAAGAATCTCAGCAAGCCGTGCAAGCAAGCAAAGGAAACTGTAGCTCAACCTAAAACCGTATACACATTGAGACCGCCATGTTGTACCTGTTCAGAGACTCTACTTGATTCAATCTGCCTCGAGGTTGTGTTTGTGCGCAAGAAAGTATGGCTGTATACATGCCGATCAAAGTACTAAAGATGATGGAATGTTGGAGTGAAATTGACCGAGTATTTTATCTCGTGCTGTGACAAGTAACCCGAAGCACAGAGCAAAGATATATAGTAAACGAACATGATACGACAGCCAAGCAGGAAGAGCATCTTTTCGATGCAGAACGACGACACCAAGGGGCCGCACGGGTGATGAACGAACTGCAACAACATTTTGTAATACTTGTCAAACACGTTTTGAATACACAACACCATATGCGCACGGCACTTCTCTCAGTATTGTCAATACGACCACCACAGCAATGCGGCAGGAAAAAGGTGAAGAAAACAAACATCTACCATGTTATCGTACATATGTACATACATACATACACAAAGAAACCCCTCCACCCGCCAAGAACCCAATTATCTGTTGTTATTTTTTTTCCTCTTTCAATTCTGACATTCACATGGGAACTCATGGGTGATGTGTGAATAAGTAATGCGGGGGTATGCAACAATTGGAAACAGCAAGAGGCAATCCTGAAGAAAACAAAGGAATAAAATACCAAAGAGGGAGCTCCGTTTCCCCCTGGGAGAGTGATGTGACCAAGCGGACAAGCGAGAATGTCAACATTGCAGAGGGAGAAGTAAGTGGTTTGAAGAAGAAGAAGAAAAATAGAGGCTTGATAGAAGAAACATTACATAAAAATAGGGTGTCTTCCCTAGGAAAGAAGAAAAGAGAAAAAGAATTCCAAACGCCAATTCGTGAAACCGTCAAGGGACGCCCCGTGCAATTGGGATGATCGAGGAACGCCCCTCAACGCAGGCAGGAGGTTGGCACAAGACAGACAGACCCTCCGGATCACCAAGTTATTTTTTTTTTTTAATTTTTTTTTAAGAGTCCAGCCTCTTTCTCCAATCAGCCAGGCTTTCACTCAGTCCCAAACCCTCGTCTGTCTTCCCCTTGCCCTCGTCCTTCGTGCCAGCCGGGTCCGAGGGTGCTGTTGCCGGCGTTGTCTCGAAATCAAACGTGTTGCTGAGGCGATAATTCTTGGTCGCCTCCCAGTGGGTGCGCAGCGTCTCAAGCTCATTGGCCAGGTTGTCCAGCGCAGCACTATTGCGCGCGTCACCCATGGGACTGTAGACCGACCCTGCTTCCGAGCTCTCCTTGCGCGAATGACCCCCGCCGTTGGTGGCAGACTCATTGGCCAGGGCGGCGGCCATCTGGTCGGTCGAGCCGATGCTGGGAAGCTGCCTGCTCCTGCGCCGGTAGTTGGTCACAGAGGTCTCGACCTGGTCCAGGAGCATCGACACCTTGTTCTCGGCATCGTGAGCGCGCTGCTCGAGAAGCGCGTTTTCTTGCTGCAGCTGCTCCAGGTCTCTCTTGCTTGCGGCGAGGCGGGCGCTGGCGCTCTCGTTGTCCCGCGCTGCACGCTGGGCATCTGCGAGCTGTTGGCGCACCGATTGCAGCTGCTGCTCGAGCTGCGAGGAGGACGACGTGATCTCGTCCTGCAGCTCCTCGATCTTGCTGTGTAGCTGCCGGCGCTCGTCCTCCCAGTCCGCCGGCGCATCGCCACCGGCGGCGGCGGTACCCTTTCTCTCCAGATCAGATAGCTCCTCCTTCAGCCGCGAGCTCTCCGTCTTGTATTTCGACAGTTGTTCCTTGAGCTGCCTGAGCATCTTTTCGGTGCCCTTGACGTAGTGCACAGCCGACTGATAGTCGTTCTCGAGTTGGGTAAGCTTCTCGCGGTACCGCGCCTCGGACTCGTGAGACTGGGAGGACATCGTCTGCTTCGTCTCCTCATGGGCGGCAAGGGATGCAGCCAGCTGTTTCTCCAGGTCGCGTACTCTAGACAGTTCTGGGGACCCCTCGCGTGGGCTCGTGATGGACCGAGTCCGGCTGAGAACACTGGTGGGGCTGATACCTCGTTCAACGAGAATGTCCTTGAGCGTGTTATGCTGCACGGTGATCGCGTTGGCCTCGAGTTGCTGACTGGCGAGTTGGTGCTTGAGGTCCGAGTTGGCAGCCTGCAGCGACTGCGTCTCCCTGAGAGTACCTTGTAACTGCCTCCGGATCGTAACGCCTTCCCTACTGGCTTGCTCCTGGTATGCTTCGAGGCCTGCTATCCGCTCCTCCGCAGCACGCAGTCTGTCCGAAGCCGCGTCGGCCTCTTGTTGATACCTCTTGACCAGAGCATTGGCAGCATCAAGCTGGCTCTGCAGCGCCAAAACTCGGCTGTTGTCTACCTGGCCAGTTGATGAGGCGTCGCGGGTCGAGATCCTATCCAGGCCAGCCAGAACCACCTGTCGGTGTGTCCGCGCCTCGTTCGCATGACGTTCGGCAAGTTCCTCGGCGTCCCTCAGACGTTGAGTCGCTGCCACCAGCTCGGCGGTCCGTGCCTCGTGCTCGGCCTTCAGCTTTGTCAGCTTGTTCTCGACCTTCTCCCGGAGTGCTCGTTCCTCGTCTAGCTTCGCTTCCAGATGAGCCTTGGTCTCAGCCGATGCCAGGATGGCGTCGCGGAGGGACTCCATCGTGTCGTTGTGATCCTTGGAGCTGCCAACAGCCTCGTGGTATTGCGTCTCAAACCGCGTCTTCTCCGCCTGCAGCAATTGCAGAGCGGCTTGAGCCTCGTGGGCGAGTACGGACTGTTCTCTTGCCTCGCGTTGCACCATATGCAGTTCCGCCTTCAGCTGCTCCAGTTCTGATGAGCTCCGCTGCTTGTACGCCTCCAGGGCAGCCATACGCTTTTCAGCGGCAGCTACCGTGTCATCCGCAATCTTGCGAGCGCGCCTCTCAGCATCCACGTCTGTCGACATTCGATCCAGGGCGTTCTGCAGCTCCCGCTGGGCAGTCAGCGCTGTAGCGAGTTTGCGACCGAGCTCGTTGGACCGACCGTCTCCTTCGCGGTCGGCATCCGGGTACGAAGAAGCGGCGGAATCGCCGCTACTGAATGCTGCCAGTTTCGCTTTCGCATGTGCAGCTTCCTGGATAGCAGCATCTCTCTGTCTTTCGGCCTCGGCGATGTGCTTGGAAGCCAGCACGGCTTGCTTGTCGAGGGAAGCCTGCACATTAGCAACTTCTGTCCGCATAGCCAGCAGGGCTTCGATTAGCGGCTTGTCGTCATCATCAAACGTCTCTGCGCCACGGCTGTCCAGAACCGGGCTCAGGGACGCATTTGCGACATAGCCGGATTTCCTAGCCAACTCCAGTTCCGATGCATACCAGGCGTTTCTGTTGCGTGCTGCGTCCAACTCCTTCAAGAGAGCCACTGTCTGTGAGTTGCGCATCGAAGACCGCCGAGATACTGGGTTGCTGGGCTGTCGTGTAGGTGGGGGTGGAGAGGCCGGCCTGGCTGGCGGCGGTCCTGCAGCAGCGGTCGAGATTGTCACAGCTGGACTCGAAGCGGGAGCAGTAGCAGCGGCAGTCGCGGCCGCAGCTGGAGCTGTAGCTGGAGAGGGGCCTGAGCTGGACGCCGGTGGGGACGTGACAACACCTCTGGAAGCCGAGTCCGTTGTGCTGTCCATCGAGCCTTGTCCTCGTGTCTGGCGCGTCCCCCTCCCGCTTCTTGTCGTTGTCGTCGTTGTCGCCGCCGCCGCCGCCGCCGCCCCCGCAGCAGCAGCCTCGGCAGCCACGGTCTCGCTCCCGGGGCCCGACCTGGCCGCTTGGGATGTTGGGGTGCGCCGTCCATTGACTCCTGAGTTGTCCGCCTTTTCTTGTTGTACTGGAGGCGAGTGACTTGACGTGGCGCCCGGCAAGTCGTTCCTCTCCAGAGAAGTGTTCCTGCCAGGTCGTGAGTTCACTCCCGGTCTTGGAGGTTGGCCCTGCGGAGGCGGCCCGCTCGGGGGTGGTCCTGCAGGACCCCTGGGCCCACGTGCCCCGGACCCAGGTGGACTGACACCATTTGCGTCGGGTGCATTGATGCCTCTCACACCATTTGGGCTGTTCGCTATACCTCCATCCCTTGGGACGATCCTCCTCTGGTCTGGTGGCCCCTGGGAGCCCTCTCGGGATGGCGCGCTGCGAGCGTACTGCGATGGTGGTTCGGCCATGCTGGGCCGCCGTTGTCCGGGCGTCCTCTGTGATTGTATCTGTGAATCGCTGGGATATCGAATCTTGGTAGTGTCCAACATGTAGATCATGGAGAGATCGTTCACCGGCGGAGCTGCCTGGCTCGGCTCACCTCCGACCACGACCACCATCTTGCCGACTGTCGTCATGCTGTGACCTGAGCGGGGCGACGGGGACGGCCCCATATTTTGGAAAGTATACCAGCGACGAGACGTGATGCGGAAAGCTGCCAGATCTCCCAGGTCGGCGCCTTCTTCGGTCCGACCTCCGAAAATGTACATGACATCGTCGACAAGCGCGGCGGCGTGACCCTCACGAGGCACAGGAATATAGCCGATACAATCCAATTGCGTCCATGCGTTTGTCGCTGGATCGTAACACCAGACGTCGTTGAACCATTGGAAACCGTTTGTGCCTCCAAATCTGTAGTACTTCAAATCAGAAACGCCGCCGCCACAAAGGAAAATGATCACTCTCAATTGGATGTTGAAAAGACTTACAGATACATCTTGTCGTTGAAAGAGACCATCGTGTGGTTGGTCCTTGCTGGTGGGACCTTGCTCGGGCCTGCAGCACCGGAATCATTGTTCAGCATGAGCATCTCCCACCGGTTGTTGGTCATCTGTAATTGGTTCAGGTCGAATGCAGCCATATCGTTCATGAAGATGCCTTCGACCTGGCCGCCAAAGATGTAGATTTTGGATCCCAGAATATTCAAGGTGTGGCCATATCGACCCGAGGGCCGTGGCCCGGCCGGTAGGGCCCTTGACCATTGTCGTGTTGCTTGAGACAGGTCAGTAAGACAGGAAAGCCCAAGAAGAAGGAAGGAAAAGGGAAGGGGAAAGAAAAGAAGGGGTGGCAGCAATGGTTTTTGGCGGGGGGTGGGCTTACATGTATTCAATAGGTAGAGGGTCTCATCGAGTACATCGTTATCCTCAATCTTTGTATCACCTCCGTAGACAATAAACGCGTTGCCGACCAAAAGACTTGCATGCCCAACTCTTGGACCAGGGCCCTCGGCCGTGGTGGGTAACGGATAACACGACAGGCTGCCTCCCGCCTCGATCATCCAGAGATCTCCCTTGACGGTAGAGCTATTGATCAAGCCTCCCATAACATACATATCGCCCTCCTTGGAGGAGGTCGCGTTGGCGGCGGCGCCATAGCGGGGGAAGGGACCCGGGTGGGGGGATGTGAAGTTCAACTTTCGTTGGGACCAAGGGTACAGCGATGAGTTCGGGCTCGTCTGCGAGGGGCCGTTGCGCATCTATTAGAACGAGCGAAGTCAGCGGGAAGCAGGCTGCAGGCTGCTGCGGCGCAGCAGACAGGAAGAAAGTACAAGGCGACAAACGAGGAAAGCGAGCAGCAAGTGACATGTTTGGGGGGGGGGGAGGTTTAATTACCTGTTGTGGGCTTTCATTGGCCATCTGAGGCGTCGGGTCGCCAGTCTGGGCGCGGCGGAGGTTATTGGGGTTGAAACCCTGATCGGGACTCGCGTTGCTGCCGTCGTTGTCGATGGAGTTCAAGCTGCCAGTGGGCGTCGACCTATGTGTGTTGGCCTTCTCGTCCCTGACGACCCTCGCGCGAGCATCTGGGCTTTGCATAGAGCCCTGAGAGCCATTGATACCCTCGCGACCGCCGGCCAGCGCCCGATCCTGGTGCTTCTTTGATTTGAAAAGAAAAGCCATGGCTAGCCGTCAAAGCTGGGATGCCGTCGTCGTTGAAGAGGGAGGTGGGCAGGGGGTTGGTGGGAACGACCCTACGCCTCGATGGCGGACGGGAGGGGCGAGGCGAGCGCAGTGATCCGGCTTAGACGTGAGCGAGGCGATGAGAAATTGGGAATACGGAACGGATCGAGGCTGAGGCTGAATGTGAGATCGGAGAGACGAGCTGCAAGGAGGCGGCAAGAGCAAGAGAAATCGAGATCGTGGGTGGTGCACAGGAGCGGCGGAACAGGTTGTGGATGGTGCGTTGTCGAGACTGAAGAGGGCTGGAAATAGAGGCACATCGGGGACTTGGTCGCTGGCGATGTCCCTGACTTCCTCCTAAACGACCCACACCTCGACTTGAGGGAACAATCAACTCCAGGCTTGGAGGCCTGGCACAAAAACAGAGAAGAAGAGTTTGGGACGCTTGATCGCTGGATCGACGAACGGGCGCGGCTCGTGGTGCCCGGTGGAGTTCGAGCGAGGTTGAGGGCAAGTTGGAGGAGGTGAGGCGAAGCGAGGCCAAGAGATGCGATCGTCGGGATATCCAAATCAGCGAGAGAACGTCGAGGGTTCGAGGCTGAGAGGTCCAAACAATAAAGAGCAAACGAATTAGTCGTCAGAGCCCATTAACATCTCATCGTCACCTGTCGAACCCAGTCCTCGAGTATAAAAGTCAAGGGGGGGCAAAGAGGAAAATAAAAAAAGGGCGGCTCAGACGAGCGATAGGATGGGGGTGGTAGATGGGAATTGCAGTAAATGGGGACTGGCATGCGAAAGGAGAAAGGCCAAGTTCGGGGGGGGGGGACGCTGGCGGGCTGGCACCTGGGCTTATGGCACGGTTTGGGTGCGAAGCATATTTCGTTGTGAGGAGGACCTCCACTACATACAACAGCCCCCTGCCTGCCCTGGTCCCTGATGAACAGAGAGGAGGGTTTTGGACCGGCGCCTGAGATGTGCTGAGCCGACGGTCGGGAGGGCTGGCAAGCCAGTGAGAGGGAGCGAGCAGGCTATGGTGCACTATACTATTACAGCGTACAGGGTCCTAGCCCAGTGAGGGCCAACCTGGGCTGCCCAAGGTATGCATCTTTGTGGAACGCTAGAGCCCTTCCGCACTCCCTGCAGGCTGCAGGTTCAGGTACGAGTGGGGCTGCAGCAAGGGCCCTGCGCCTGTACACACATGTGGTACGGTGTAGTGGGCTCGGTACCCTGGGCGTGCCTGGGCCGTAACTGGTAGAGAGAGCCGCTCTGATGCCCTACTACTACGCAGGCAGTACAGACTCGGCTGCCTGAGCGGCGTACCACAGTACCACAGTCGTAGCTTGCCAGCAAGTTTCACTTTGTACTTCTGATTATCTTTTCTTCTTTCGAACCCCAAAAAACTGACATCGACCGAGGTTCGCCAGCCTCGTTTCAGTTTCCAACCCTGATTAATCATAGTTGATAAATGTTTCATGTACTCGCTGGTTGGAAATGTCAAGTCCGTGATTGTAAGACCTCCAATTTCGAGGACACTGTGTGCTATGGCCTATCATGTTAGTTTCGAATTCGTTCTTCAAACTAATGAGCATCATCTTTTGGCTGGCTGTTGTGTTGCTATAAATAATCTCTCACTCCTATGTAGGGGCTGTCAGCTATCTTAGACGCATGTGCAATGTGATGTGATTGCACACACCCTCTTTTTTCCCCCATCCAATACCACCATCACCACCCCATGTAGTACATGGTAGGGCCAAAGTTTGTATGGAAACCACACCACAAGTACGGCCAGGATTCTTGTGTCGTTACTCTCCTGGGGACTTGTGCTGAATCCCCTGGGGTGGTCTTTTTGGACCCCAAAAGGCGGTGCATCTCTCTTGTCTCATCTCGTCAAGCCACGGTCCGTTCCTTCGAAAGAAAGAATCTTGCGGCAAACGATCCTGCTCAGGAGGAACATGCACTGTACTGAAGGTAGTACTGCATTGCACTGCAATGTGTTGCAGCACAAACATCTGCATTGCATCGCATATAGCTACAGCTGACTTTCAAGATGATAGGATCGACATTCACCGTTGCTGTCGCCTCGCCATATACAGACCCTCTGTGGACCCGCCGTTTGATCTCCATCTTAGTATGGAAAGATTATTGCATTGAAGTACTTATTATACTATTACAGTAGTAATCACTGCATGGCATGTGCGTAACACAGTAGCATGAGTAATAGTAAGAGAGACGGGACGGCCTTGACATGGAAAGGGGAGAAGAGAAGGGGGGTCACAAAATTACATGCGCAACTTTGAGCCCTAGGGAAATTTACAGAACATCAACAGGATCGGTGCTCCTCCGTACAGGGTCCTACAGATGTTCCCGTACCCACCCACATACCCAACCTGTCCATGCCGAGATTTGTTTTCTCCATGAGCTCATGCGATCCCTCCATATAATAATCAAGATCTTCGAACAAGACCTTCGTTTCGGCGACCGGCCCTTCTGTCAGCGTTCCTTTTTTTTTTTTTTTTTTTTTTTTTTTTTTTTTTTTGCTTTTTTCTTTTATTTTTCTTCTCTTCTTCTCTCTCTTTCTGTTCTGGGCGGGCTATTGCCACGACCCCTATCATACTATAAGCCTCTTCTCGTTTGCCTGGGCCAAACACATCCCTACTACCTTATTATAAAAATGCAGACGACGGTCTCTTGTTATATTCTAAATGAAATCGTTGTCAGAACTCCATACTACATCTTTCTGAAGGGCATAGCTGTGTGCGATCGATGATTCTTGCTGCTACCCAGACTCATCCAGCGTCAGATCTGTCGCGCAGAGTATGCTTTAGGCTTGATTGTACATAGTCTGGCACGGCTGACGAGACTTGCCGGTGCACCTCCCCTACAGTGCGTGTGATGCAATTTCATTGAAAGTGGGTGAGAACCGTATTAGGATGTTAACGTTATCGATAGACATGAAGCTGGCCTTCTGGCTTGCCTTAACAGTCGTACTATGCCACATACATACAAAAGCTGGCTGGGCCAGGTCTTCCATCTTCCAGAACAAAGTGGGGACCTCACCCACGCGTTGAGACATGGGGGGCTTGGGTGCTTTTCCTCTCTTCTACATCTTCAACTAGAGAGAAGGGGAAGAAGAGGGGAAGGCCAGCGCACGCGCCACGAAGCGGTCATACATATGTTCATAGTACTACTGGTACATTCGTAGGCGCACTTGGCACATTTATTTGACTCTGACTTGCCTGCCGGAAATGTAGCCAACGGAAAACGTTCCTAGGGCCCTCTTTGATTGGTTGGTACAGGTTCGTCTTTTCTTCCCTTCTGTATCATCTTGCGCAGAGCTGGGTTTGCGCAACCTTCGCCCACCGTGGTGCTTCACACAAGGTACGCACAATTTGTAGAACATGACCAGTGCAGGACATCAGGCCTGGAGTGAAACCGCAATCTGGATATATAGCTGTCCTGTTTTCACCTGACAGAAAATTAATAAAATAGCAGGCCGTGTCCTCGTCTACAGCCAGTGCCTAGTAGCACAATTCACTGGCATACGCACATCGACGCACCTGCCTGCAGGCCCCAGAACCAAACAAACCTTCAGCAACCGCCCCCCGCCCCCCAGCCTGCCAATTCGTGCGCCGTACCCAGAAACGCAGACACCACAGCACCCCAGCCCCCCCAGCACCTTTAGCACCCGGCAGCCGGAACTATACCCACCCTATTACGTGATGTTCGCGGCTGGCCCTCCCACTTGACTTCCATCATCTTTGCGGGTCCAGTCCCAACGGCCGGGAATGAACATTAGGTGAACGCAGACGCTGACTTGACTTTCTCACACGCCTGCGTCACCAGGCGGCGATTGTTGGCGCCGCTCAACCCTTTTGATCCTGGCTACCAGTTCTTGACTGCAGCCTTTTGACGTCCTGCAAGCATTGTCCCCATTCCCCTCCCACATCTCGAGGACAAGCGACCAGTCTGGGAACTCAAGGCGTTGTCAGACGAACGAGGATGGTGGAGCCGCAGTAGGCGAAGGCGAACATCATCTTCAACATGACCGCCGTCACAACCACCTCTTCCGGTACCGAGCTCGCCCGCCAGCAACAGCGTCAACAACTGTACCACAATCACATTCACAACCCCGCCAACCCCGCCTCCACCGTCGAACCTCCTGCCCAGTCGAGGCACCAACAGCTCCTCTCGCCATCCTCCGACCTTTCCGCCCGCCCCGCCAGAACTGTTTCCTCCTCCTCCCACCTTGCGCGCGGCACCCTCGACAACATGCCCTCCGCCGTCAGATCCTCTTCGGGCGCAGCCCCGACCCGACCTGACCCCCAGGCAAAGATGTCTACGGCAGCACGCGCCCAGGCCCAGGCCCTTGATGCTGCCGCCGCCGCCTCCAGGCACAGCTCAACCAGCAACCATGCGCGCCCCTCTAGCGCCCCAGGCGACAATCACAAAGACCCAGGCCTGCTGGCCACAAACGGCTTCGACCACCAGCGACCCCAGGCCGCCCGCAGGCCCGCAAAACCACAGCTGCTGCGCACCAGGAGCGAGCATCCGTCTCGTGGGCTCGACAGCAGCGCCGAGAACTCCAACGACGAGCAGACCATCGTAGCTGCCGCGGAGGATTTTGGCATGAGGCATGGTTTCGATGGACATTACCAGAGCGAGGACATAATATCTCAACTTGCTAATGTGAGAGGCTTCTCTTCTTGGTCTTTATATACTGCCCCCCCCTCCCCCCCTCTCTCGCCCTTGCACCTTTTTTTCTTTCTTTCATACCAAGTGCATCTATAAGTCAATGCGCTGCGGCTGTTGCTGCAGCTGGCAGTAGTAGCGGCTGATCTGCCTGCTTCATACACGCGACCTGATCCAAACTTGGGCATCTTGGCTTTGTTTTCTCCTGCTGCCCGATTTATGACGTTACTACTTCATCCAGACCCTTTTTGGCACCAGTATAAGCTGACCTTGAGACGCAGGGATGGTACATGTATTACACGGACAAGAGGCACGACACGACGGGGAGACCCAAGGCGGAGCCGTTCACCATCCAGGACTGGCGGATGAGAGATCGTCTAAAGACCGTTTCTGCAGCACTCGCCGTCTGTCTTAATATCGGCGTCGAACCTCCAGACCAGCTGAAGACGAACCCGGGCGCAAAGCTGGAGGCATGGCAGGATCCTACCGTACCCCCAGTACAGAAAGCTCTTGAGAACATCGGCAAGGCGCTCCAGGCACAGTACGAGACTCTCGCGATAAGAACGCGGTACAAGCAGTATCTGGACCCGTCAGTCGAGGAGACCAAGAAATTCTGCATCTCACTCCGTCGTAATGCGAAGGATGAGAGGGTCTTACTGCACTACAACGGTCATGGCGTTCCCAAACCCACGGCGTCAGGCGAGCTATGGGTCTTCAATAAGAACTACACCCAGTACATCCCCGTCTCGCTCTACGACCTGCAATCGTGGCTGGCTGCTCCGACCATCTTTGTGTGGGACTGCTCCGAAGCTGGGAACATCGTCAACAACTTCCATCGGTTTGCCGATAAGCACGAGCGCGAACAAGCCGATGCTGCTGCCCGCGACCCCAACTACGAGAAGGTCAACTTCACCCCCTATATCCACCTCGCTGCGTGCGCCGCCAAGGAGAACCTGCCGACCAATCCCCAGCTCCCCGCCGACCTCTTCACCTCGTGCCTGACCACGCCTATCGAGATGGCCCTGTGGTTCTTTGCCCTGCAGAACCCGCTCAAGACCGATATCTCCCCAGAGAGGGCAAAGAAGCTCCCGGGTCGCCTTCAGGAGAGGCGCACCCCGTTGGGCGAGCTCAATTGGATCTTCACCGCCATCACCGACACCATTGCCTGGACCACGCTCCCTCGGCACCTGTTCAGGAAGTTCTTCAGGCAGGACCTCATGGTCGCCGCACTGTTTCGAAATTTCCTACTGGCGCAGAGGATTATGTCGGTGTACGGCTGTCACCCGCAGTCGTGGCCCGAGCTGCCAGATACCCGCCAGCACCCCCTGTGGGATAGCTGGGACCTGGCTGTTGACATGGCCCTGGCTCAGCTCCCCATGCTAGAGAGGAAGGACGATGGTGTCGAGTACGAGTACCAGAGCTCCTCCTTCTTCACCGATCAGCTCTCCGCTTTTGACGTCTACCTGACGAGGGGCGACGCTATGTCGCAGAAACCGCCCGAGCAGCTTCCTGTGGTTCTGCAGGTGCTTCTGAGCCAGCAGCACAGGGTGCGGGCCCTGATCCTTCTCGGCAGGTTCTTGGATCTCGGGCCGTGGGCTGTGCAGCTCTCTCTGAGTATAGGAATCTTTCCGTACGTGCTCAAGCTGCTCCAGTCGACGCACATGGAGCTCAAGCCCGTCATGGTCTTCATCTGGACGCGGGTCCTGGCCGTGGATATCTCGTGTCAACAAGATCTGATCAAGGACAGCGGCTACAACTACTTCGTCCAGATCCTCAAGCCCTCAGAGGTCCTCTGCGTGACCAACAGCGACGAGCACAAGGCTATGTGCGCCTTCATTCTGGCCATGCTCTGCAAGGACTACAAACCTGGACAGGTGGTCTGCAACCAAACAGACATCATGGCCTACTGTCTGCTGTATCTGCAGAACAAGGATAACCCGCTCCTGCGGCAATGGTCCTGCTTGTGTCTGAGCCAACTGTGGCTGAACATGGCCGAGGCCAAATGGAAGGGGATCAGGGAAAACGCCCCCACGAAGCTTTCTGCCCTGACCAAGGATCCCTGCTGCGAGGTTCGTGCGGCGATGCTCGTCGCCATGACCACGTTCATCGGCATCGCCGAGTTGACTGCTGAGGTGCAGCGGATTGAAGAAGCTATCGCGTGGACGCTGCTGGACATGACCAATGATGGAAGCGCAATGGTCCGTCGAGAGCTCCTCGTCTTCCTGTCGCACTTTGTGCTGCGGTACGAGAGCAAGTTCATCGTCGCAGCATACGAGCACCTGCTGGAAGAGAAGGAATACCTTCTCTTCCCGCCCAAGGATGCTTTGCTCGACAGGCAGAACATGCTATTACATTACGCCCGGCCTGCATACCGCACAGAGGACGGCTCCATCAAACCCCAGGCGGAAGGGCTCTCCAACAACACAGTCATAGCTGCGGCATGGAAACACATCATGATCATGAGTGTTGATCCTCATCCCGAGGTGCAGATGGATGCGACCGTCGTCACGGACTATGTGCACAACGCACTGCTGCATTCAGCCGTTGGCGCGCAAGCCCAGAACCTCATGGAAGAGATTCAACGACGGACCAAATCAGTATCTGTCAAGGGCCCGAATTCGCACCAACGGACAAACACGGGAAACTCGCTGACCTCTGACATGTCGGTGCCGCCATCCCCAGGTCTGCTCAAGAGGACCTTCAGCACCCTGTTTGGTCCATGGACAGGTGCTGATGGGCTCAACCCCGGCACGGCCCCTGCGCCTGCCCTGGCCGCCTCTAGGAGCGGCTCGCTGAGAAACAGGACAGGATTACCCGACGCGCCGCCGGAGCAACATGAACAGCTCATGGCGCCTGCGAACTACCACGTCGCGGAGGAGCCAGTCTCAGTTGGCTACAAGGAGCGCAACATGCGAGAAGCACCAGTGCTGCCCCTGCCCAGCGGGTTCCTGGACTGGTCGATCGAATACTTCTGGGAGCCACAGATGAAGGCTAACGAGGCCGAGGAGCCCGGCAGCGAGGAATACAATGCGCGACTGTGGAGGCGCTCGAGGAATGAGGGGATCCTGCGGGAGACGCAACCTCAGAAATCTCATGCCGGCTCGCACAAGTGGAACCACCAGCTGGCGCTGCTCAACAACGGCGCGCAGCCCGCCAAGATGACCTTCCATCAGTTTGAAGACCACCTTGCCGTCGCAGACGATGCTAACTCTATCTACGTCTGGGACTGGAAGCTGCAAAAGCAGAAGAGCAGGTTCTCCAACGGGAATCCCGAGGGGTCCAAGATCAGCGACATCAAGTTTATCAACGAGGACGACCAGGCCTTCTTGATGAGCGGCTCCTCTGATGGTGTGATCCGCATCTACCGGCACTACGCGCCAGGGGATGACGAGGCTCACCTGAAGAAGCCCGAGCTTGCGTCGTCGTGGCGGGCGCTGACGCACATGGTGGCGAGCAACGTCAACTCGGGCATGGTCTTTGACTGGCTGCAGGTGAACGGCACTGTCCTGGTGGCGGGCGACGTGCGCGTGATCCGGGTGTGGAACGCCAGCTCGGAGACATGCATCATGGACATCCCGGCGCGGTCGGGCAGCTGCGTGACGTCGCTGACGTCGGACCAGATGACGGGCAACATCTTTGTGGCGGGCTTTGGGGATGGGGCGGTGCGTGTGTTTGACCCGCGCCTCAAGCCACAGGAGGCCATGGTTCGTAAGTGGAAGGACGAGCCGGATCGACAGTGGGTGCGCAGCGTCCACATGCAGCGGGGCGGGCAAAGGGAGCTTGTGTCGGCGTCGAGAAACGGCAAGGTCAAGCTGTGGGACATACGAATGGACCAGCCTCTCAAGGTGTTCCAGACCACCAAGGACGTGCTCAGGACGGCAAGTGTTCACGAACACCTGCCCGTGTTCTCTGTGTAAGTGGTCTTTTTTTCTTCGTCTCTCCTTCTCTTTTCTTTCTTTCTTCGTTCCCCTTTATGTATCTCCCTATTTACTGATAGTATGCCAACGACGGGATGTTTCTAACCCTCTGACGCGACCACAGTGGCACGTCCGCCCACATAGTGAAGGTATTCAACTTCCAGGGCAAGGAGCTTTCGCGTGTCGAGCCATACTCGAGCTTCCTGGGACAAAATCGCGGTTCTCCCATCTCGTCGACGGCTTTCCACCCCCACCGCATGATCATGGGCGCCGCAGCGAGGGGCGACCACCACATCAATCTCTTCACCTGTACGAATGAACCCGCGGCGGGTTCGTCCTTCTAATACCGGCGTGTGAAGAACGAAGGAAGGGGACTTGCGAGGATAGCGAAGAGCCGTAAAAACTCCTCGACAGTGACTGCTTGCCAGCATTACGAGCTGAGAATCGGTGGCGCTTTTTTTTTTTTCTTTTAACTCTTTTCTATTAATTGTCTGGCATAGCGAAAGGGAGATGGGCAAGGGAGGGAGGGATGAAGTCGGGACAGGTAGGAAGCATCATTGACTTCCTGGACTCTTGACTCGCCCCATTACAACGACAACCACAAAGGGAAAGGAGATGTTAGCGATTCATCATCATCTCCTCTTTGAGAAGTTTCTGCTGGCTTATCGAGCCTCGTCTCGCCGGCTCTCTCCGGGCTTCTGGAGTTCATGGAAAGGAACAAGCATTATTGTATTACAAATCACTTTGATACCGCGTCGATGGGACCCAGCATAATCATCAACCATATTTGGCAAGGCAGACAAGGAGAAAGCGAAGAAATTAGAGGGTTTGCCTTTTTGAAAGTAGTCCTAATAAGAGAAACCGTTGATGACGACGACGACAACGATGATGATGATGATGATGTGAGAGCAGTCATCTCTCTGAGGACGAGGTCCCAGATATTGCTGTACACCAAGAGCCTGGGACTGAGCAGGAAATGAGCCCTGTTGGACCTCAGGAGACGTACAGGTGAGCAAGCTGCTGATGAAAATTGTAACACGAATGGCGTTGTCGAGAGGTCAAGAGAGAGACAGAGGAATCAGTGGAGTGAGTGGAAAAGCGACTTTGCAGGGGGTTGCTTGCATGAAGCGTCTGCCCACTGCAGGTGGGCAACCACCCCACCTTGCCTTCCTTTTCAAAAATCTACCCCTCCACGGAAGAGAGGGCAAGCTCGGGAAAACTGACGTGACCTGTCCAACTACTCACTACTCCGGACAACCCTACTTAAAGTACTTACCGTGCTTACCTCTGTCTGTTTAAACAATTGACGGCGAGAACGTCTCTGCCCCAATTTATTCAAAACAAAAAAAAGAAGAGTCACAGAGTCACACTGACCGGTTGAGTCACCCTCACTTTTCCTTCTTCCATCCTGTTTGTTCTACTTGTTCTTCTTCGTCGTATACACGAGGCAGAGGGAGACAAATCACATATTTCAGTTCCTTGTCTACTTCACACACAGAGAGAAGTATTATAAACTCATCGTTGTCACTCTTAGTCTCGCCGTTGCTATCGACATCGACATCGACCTCGATTACGATCACGACTCTCGACCTCCTCCTGCTCCTCTACGCGACCACCACCACCCACCATGGCTGACGAGCAGAAGCCCACCCCTCCTCCAGAGGCCGCTCCTGCCGCAGATGCTGGTGCCGAGGGCGAGGCTGGTCCCTCGAAGAAGGCTCTCAAGAAGGCCGAGGCCAAGGCCAAGAAGGAGGCAGAGAAGGCCAAACGCGCTGCAGAGCGAGAGGCGGCCACGGCGGCAGCCAAGGCTAAGGAGGACTCGGAGGACAAGGCCAAGGACAACTACGGCGACCGCGATATTGTCACCCTGTCCGCGCCCAAGGCCGCCCTCAAGGAGTACGCCGAGGAGCACGTGGGCAAGGCCGTCAAGCTCCGCGCCTGGATCCAAAACAGCCGCATGCAGGGCGCCAAGATGTGCTTCGTCGAGCTGCGCGAGGTCGGCGACTGGAGCATCCAGGGCATCGTCGCCGCCAGCCCCGACGGCGAGCCTGTCTCCAAGCAGATGGTCAAGTGGGTCGGCGCCATCAGCCTCGAGAGCTACGTCGCCGTCGAGGCCACCGTCCAGAAGCCCCTCGAGCCCGTCAAGAGCTGCAAGGTCTCGGCCTACGAGCTGCACATCACCAAGATCTACTGTATCGCTCGCGGCCCCGAGATGCTGGGCCTGACCATGAACGCCTCCAACGCCCCCATCAGCAGCTTCGATGTCGATGGCAAGATGCAGGAGCTGAACATCTCCGGCGCTGACGCCGCCCCGGGCCTGTCCGCCACTCTCGAGACCCATCTCGACAACATCGTCATGCACAAGCGCGCGCCCCTGCAGCAGGCCATCCAAACTGTGCGCGAGAACGTGCGCGACCTGTTCGCCGAGTACCTCAAGAAGAACGACTTCCACTCTTTCGAACCCCCCTGCCTGATTGGTGCTGCCTCTGAGGGTGGCGCCAATGTCTTTGGCCTGCCGTACTTTGGCAAGAGTGCCTTTTTGGCCCAGTCGCCCCAGTTTTACAAGCAGATGGAGATTGCAGGCGGCAGAAAGAGGGTGTACTGCGTTGGCCCCGTCTTCCGTGCCGAGAACTCCAATACACCAAGACATATGACTGAGGTACGTCTTCTTCCCTTCCTCTTCTTTATTATATTGTCCTAACACACTTCTCTCTCCAGTTCACCGGTCTCGATATCGAAATGGAGATCGAAGAACACTACAATGAGGTCATCTTCATGCTCGAGGGTATCCTTCTCTACATCTTCCGCAACCTCGAGGAGCGCTGTAAGGACGAGATCGCCCTCGTACGCACCGTCTACCCCTCGGAGCCCTTCAAGCTGCCCGAGGACGGTAAGGAGGTACGCCTGACCTTTGCCGAAGGCCAGAAGCTCCTCCGCGAGGAAGGGCCCGAGGAGTTCCGCAATGTCTCGGACGACGAGGACATGTCCACTCCGCAGGAGAAGGCCCTGGGCGCCATCATTCGCAAGAAATATGGTACCGATTTCTACGTGCTCGACAAGTTCCCCGAGTCGGCGCGGCCCTTCTACGCCAAGGAGGACCCCGCAAACCCCAACGTCACCAACGCCTACGACTTCTTTATGCGCGGCCAGGAGATCATGTCTGGCGGCCAGCGTATCAACATCCCCGCCGAACTCGAGGCCCGCATGCGCAAGAAGGGCGTCGACCCAAACGCCCCCGGGCTGAAGGAGTATGTCAACGTTTTCAAGCAGGGCGGATGTCCACCGCACGGCGGTGGTGGTATTGGTCTGGACCGTGTTGTGGCCTTCTACCTCAACCTGCCTAATGTTCAATTGGCTGCTTACTATCCTAGGACGCCGAGCAGGCTGTTCCCTTGAGAAAAGTGAAAGACTGGTAGAAGGTTTGTTGCTTGTCTTGGCTACAAGAAGGCTTGGTCCCTTAGACTAGACAGGTAATGATAAGTCAACAAGAAGAAAAAGAAAAGAAGAGAAGAAAAATAAGAAAAGCACGGGTATGCCGTCGTCCACTGTTCAATCATGGTTTACTTCTCTCATCTTTCTTATGCGCGAAATGGCGATCATGTGCCCATACGTGACCGAACCAAGTCTCCGTGAGGTTGATGTATATATGCAACATTTGAAGTGGCTGAACATAAATCTGTGCTCTGGCCCTCTTTCGTATCAGTCTTTTTCGTTCATGTATATATGTAAAGAAAAGAAGGAAAAAGCTGGTCAAGTCAATTGAAGCACACTTAAAAGTTGCTAATGTGTTTTGAAAGCTTGAATCGGGAAGCATATGTAGCAGATCCTTCTTATATTTATTTATATATTAATTTGACACCCAAGTGATATCACGTTTGTGGAAGACCAACAATCAAATCTGCCAAATTTTTTTTTATTAAAAATTTACCACCCTCCCTTGTCGTCTCAATTCCCACCACGGGCACCCGCGGTTCCTCCATTATTTCCAGGATTCTTCCTCGACAAGGACGCAGGCCGCTTGCCAGATTCTAGGCCTTTCAGCCTGTTCCCCAGACTCAACCTTGCAGCAGACACGCCGGGGCCCAGAGGGGATGGCTTCGCAGGCACAGCACCGGCGGCGGCGGCAGCAGCAGCAGCAGCAGCAGTAACCGAGTTTGTCGATGGTACAGAAGTCATGCTCGCAGAGTCCTCCAGCTCCTCCTCAGTCCTTCTTCCTCTGGTAATAGTGCTCTGGATGCTTTCTCTGTAGGACGTCTTCGGGGGTGGTACTCCTCCGCCGCCATTCTCCTCGTCCGTGTCGTCTACTGATAGCAAGAACGGAGCGGGCGCAGACCTCCGCCTCAATCGCGTCGCCAGGCCCGAGGTTATACTTGGCCCATTCCTACCAGCAAAGGGGGGCGACTTGGTCCCGTGCAAGTGACCGCTGTCTTCGTTGTCTCGTTCGTGCTGCTGGTGGCCCTTCTCCCCGTGCGACGTTGCCGTTCTCCTCGCCTTTTCCGTGTCCCTGTCTCGTTCTCTCTCCCTCGCTGCGAGCGCAGCCCTCATCGCAACCCATGTCTCCACTTGGCCCTTGTCTGCCTCTTCGACACACGCGCAGTCGTCGCCCGCAGGACACTCCGTCTCGCCCATGCCGTGCCATTCCGCAAGACATGCGTCGTGGGTTGCGCAGCCACACCCTAAGCATGCCGAGTACAGTGCATCCATGGGTTCGTGGCAAAAGACACAGGTAAGCTGGGTCTGCGTGTGTCGGCACCGCTCGCAGATTCCTACGGCGCCGCCGGTTGATTCCGTCTTGGAATATTGCAGAGGCTGGAGCTGAATCTCGTGGACGCGGCAGATGCCTGTGACGTCAAGACCTCGGCCGGAGGCATTGAGCGCCGCGAGCTGGCTGCGCTTGCTGCCGAGAAGAACGGTGGGTGATGTCGTACCTGTTGCGCTGTGGCTACCGCTGTCATGGTTGTCGGACTCGTGATAGGTACCCTCGGCGGGCGTCCCGTTCTCCATGCCTGGCGTGGTGCCATTCCAGCTGTCTTTGAAGACATTGAATTTCATGATCTCGAGACGTGCGAGTGGCAGCTGCCATACCTGGAGCATTTCTGCGTAGGCATACCGGTAGCTTGCGTAGGCTGCATCCCGGGTAGGATCCAGCAGCGGTGTAGACAACCATCCGTCGTCATCAAAGGCCATCTCGTTCTCTAGGGTGATATTTACATTCACTGGCACCATGGACACCAACTCATCTCTTCGGAAATCGTCGTCAGATATGGAAGTCCTTGTCGTCTCGGTAGTGTCTGGCTGGCCTGCACCAAAGTAGGTCGAGCCACCCCAGGTGATGTTGCTCGGAATATGCGACAGTATTGTCTCGGCCGGGCTGGGACGCTTTCGGCTCGGAGGTGACGAGGATGTCATGGATGTGAAACCGCGTGATAAGTTTGAGGCGAACGTGGTGGTTAAGACGGACGACTGTGATCGCCGCATGGAGCGGTCGTTCGGAGAGGTAGACAGACTCTGCGTCTGTTCGACGTCGCTGAGGTAATCCCTAAGGGATCTCTGAGGAGGGGTCTCACCGGTCGAGTTCGAGTAAGACTGCGATCCGGGCTCGCCTATCCATAGACCATCCGGACTTTGTGGATCTGATGTGATGAGAGGCGTTTGCGACGTCCGAGGAGTGTGCACCACAGAGCTGTAACCACTTCTGGTCTGCATGCCCCATTCCATGGCGTCTGTTGGAAAGTACTCTAGAGAAAACGAAGGCGCCTTCATTGGCAAAGGCGTTTCTGGCTGTGGGAGGCGTGATTCGGCATAGGGCACAGGATCGTCGGTGGACGACTCTCCGAATATGCAAGACAGCATTGCGAGCATCTGGACATCTGCGAGCTGCTCAAAGTACTCAAACAAGTCTTTGACGAATTCTTGGGCAAGAGGATGATTGCCCCACTTGACGCGGCCTGTCAAGAGTTCAGCCCCGTTTGCTGAGCTTTCGCCGTCTCGATACCTTGCGAGGACGTCCTTGGCGATGACGAGCACCGACTTATTCTTCTGGCGCGGCTCGCGCATCTCCAGCGGAATATTTGATCTTAAAAGAAGAGCGGCATACTTCCAGATGTTGACCATGTCTGGGTAGCCGTATCTCTCTGCTACCTGGGCGTTATGTGCACACACTTGAGCTCCATTGCCGAATATGGCATACTCTTGCGCGAACTGCTTCTTGGAAGGGAGCATATCCCGCACATCAAAGAGTTTGACAACATTTTTTGGCCGTCCAGCACGGCGCCGACTCGTGCCAGTCCCTGTGCCGGTCCCAGCACCGGTGCCCCCACCACTCGATCGGAGGGAATCATTAGCACTCCACGTCTTGTGCAGGCGACGCCCAGGGCGGTACCAGAGACTAATCTTGTGCATGGTCGTCAACTCGGAATCACTGGAGGACGAAGAGTCCTCTGAATCATCTGAAAAAGCTGATAGATCATCGACGGCTGAAGCCTCGCCATCGAGATAGCGCTTGCGCGGCGGAGGGGAATCGTGGGTCAGACGGCCAAAACCAGCAAATGTCGGCTGATCCTTGGGCTTCTCCTTGAAGGTATCGTTGGGGCTGAAGAGAAGGGCCTTGGCCTCTTTCGTAGGGAAGAAGGTCACCAATCGGCCATCATTTGAGAACCGTGCACCGCACGTTCTGTATACCGGAGGTAAGGTGGGACGACTGATGGGTGCGAGAGTATTTTCGATCTCGATGCTTGCTGTCAGATCCTGTGACATTGCTGCTGAGCCACCTGCGGGTATGTCGTTATCGGAATCCTCGCTCGAGCTCTCATCTGCGAGTACATCGATGTCGTCGAGGTCTCGTACGTTCCTGAAGAAGTTTGTACTTTCGGCCAGATTAGTCTCTCCCAATAGGTAAGAGAAAGCCGCCGCCAGACAGTTCTGTTTCCGTTTCAAGTACTGTTCACCAATCTGATGGACTTCTCTCTCCAGCTTCTCATGAGTGCCTTCTGGCATGAAGGCATTGTTCTCTATGATGAAACTGGGTGCCTTGGTTTTGGGATAGGCACGAGGGATGTCAACTTTCACCTTGAGGAAGATGTCCTCCTCATCGACTCCCCAGGGACCCTTGAGCGAGGCGTTGAGTATGAGGCTGTCCATATCTATGCTGTCCCACTTGACATTTGGAAGCTGCTCGCTAATGCGTACAAACTCCTCCTGCAGGGTCTCGGGCTCTGCCCAATAGTCCTGCTGCAAGAATGGCCCAAAAATGCTCGAGTCCTTTGATGCTGTTCGGTTGGGCGAATCAGAACTCGTTTTCCTCTTGGTCATGGTGATGCCTTTCATCCAATTCATCTGAGCCTGGCTGCGGTCGACCTTCCTGGTGTTTGTGCTCTTGGCTTTCATGGACGGCCCTCTCCAGGATGGCCCGGTCCGGTATGATGGGATCTTCATGCCAAGGGTGAGGGCGCTCTGCCGCATCCCGGCGGCATGGGGATCACTCATTGTCGCTGCTCTGCGGTGGTGACTCCCGTCATCGACTGTCCGAAACGTCTTGTACGTGGCGCCCTGCCTTGTGAGAACGACATTCTTCTCGGCCTCCATACCCTTCACGTACCCAACCCCTTCCAGAGTCGATGGCTCGGGACGTGTCAGTCGAAGCTTGTTGTCCTCGCCCCAGGAGACGAGCTGGAACTCGCGGCTGTCGATCCCTTCGTCCGAGATCCCGCCACGGGTCCTCCACAGGAACTCCTTGGCCTTGTGATCTCCATGGCCTTCAAACACAGCAACAGGCTCTACTGGGCCATCGGTGGGCGTCTCATGATCCATGCGCCCGTCGAACAGGTAAAGATTTCCAGGCTCGTTCTGGGGCATAGCCAGCAGACCCCAGGCAAAGGGGGTGTGTCGGGCACGCCAGACAGGGAAATCGGTCCTGATGACCCTCTCGGGTACATCACCCTCCTTCTCGTAGTCCCAGAACTTGATGCTCTTGTCCAGAGAACAGGTCACAATCGCGCTGGCCCTGGTGCGGTTCCAGTCGATACCGTAAATCTTGGAAGTGTGAGCGCTGATGGATCTGAGAGGCTCAGAACACTTCCGCTCGTCCCAGATATGAAGCCACCTGTCATGAGAGGAAGCGATGATGAAGGGATCCTGGCGGCTGTATTTGACCTGTGTGGCGCCCGCAAACCAGTCGCAGAAGGTGATAGCGGGCTGTCGAGGTCTTCTCAGATCCCAGCAGTGCACATAGCCGTCGACGGAACAAGTCGCTAGGGAGTCAGGATGGTGGGCGGAGAAGTTGATGTCAGTGATGGCCCTGCTATGGCCCTGCAGAGAATGCTCAATGGCCCCAGAGGTCGAGTCGTCTCTCAAATTCAGGTTCCAGACTAGGCATCGGTGGTTCGCGGTAGACGTAACCCAGTAGTCGCGGGCGGCAAAGGGTGACCACTGCACGTCGACCACCAGCCACGGAGAGCCATGGCTGCTCAGCCGGCGGGGAGGGCTATAGGGAGAGTCAAGGTCGATGATGGCCAGGCCCTCAGGTGAGGCCAAGGCAACGTCTCGCCCAGAAGGGGAGATGGTGGCCGAGCCAACCAGGCCGTCAACATGTATGGTCCCATCTGCGTCGAAGCTCTCGCTGTCATATGCAGATTTGATGATCTTCGTCTTCTTTTGTGAGGACTTGAGTTGATCAAAGGCTGAAGGCATCTTGTTCGGCTTAAGTGATACTGCTTTGGGTCGCTGAACAGGAACAACATAGCCGCTGTTGTCATCTGGAAGATGTTCTTAAGCAATGCAGCTGGTTGTTATGGGGGTCATTATTCATCGTTTGATCTGGTGGATGGACCTGTTGAAGAGGTTCATGTTTACCCCCTTTGTGATTCGTAATTTGGGAGAGGGGGGGGGGGGGGGTTTGTTAGACGTCAGCCTCGTGGGTTGACCGAAGCTGGTATTGAGGTCGAGGCACGTCGTTAACTGAGTCCTACTGTGCATGAGTACGTAGGTACATAACGCAAGCGTTACTGCAGGCAGGCTAGTGCACGCAACCTTATCTAATCAGGCACCACAGAGGTGCGACCCCCCTCCCCCTCCCCCTCCCCCCATCGCTCGACCTTAGGATGGCAGCTGGTCTTGTTATCGTCTTGACTTACTTTTCCCTAAAGGACCAAAGAAAAAAACACTCGACGATAGCGTCATACCTGATTACAGATCACTATCTTGCACCGCCCATTTCAGACATCTTACCGACTAGGAACTTGTCTACTTCCCATCATCCAGTATCGCCCTGCCCTGCACACACGACAGACATCTGTGGTTAACGTTTGCGACCTGAGTAACCTGGACTTGACAACCAGTCCTCCACATCCGCATTCACCAACACCAGACCTAGCCAGCCTTAGGGGTCTGTCTCCTTGACAAGTTCGCGATATCCTTTTCAGGAGTCACCCACGTTTTTGCAAACTTGTCGCCCTCTCCTTTCATCTTACACACACCATGGCTTTGCCAAAGAGGATCCTCAAGGAAACAGAGCGCCTGATGGCGGAGCCGTACGCTGCCCACCTCTCTATGTTTACCTGTTCGGATGGGGTTTCCCCGCTGCCTGAACCTCTTCTGACCTCTGACCACACGTGTGCAACAGTGTGCCCGGCATCAGCGCCGTTCCTCACCCCGAAAACCTCCGCTACTTCGACGTCACTATCGATGGCCCCGATTCCTCACCATACGAAGGTACATACAAATCAAACCAAGTTACTCGCCCATGCCTGACACCCCGCCTTGGGTAACACGCACAGCCCGCTGACCTGACCATTTTTTTTCGGTCTCGCTAGGCGGAAACTTCAAGCTCGAGCTCTTCCTCCCAGACGACTACCCCATGGTCCCTCCCAAGATCCGCTTCCTGACCAAGATCTTCCACCCAAATGTCGACAAGCTGGGCCGCATCTGCCTTGACGTTCTGAAAAGTACGCAAAACAACTTCCCCTCCCCCTCTCCCCTTTCATCCTATGACTCTTTTAGATGGGGATTCCTGTATGGCTGACCTTGTGTGTGCGTCTGTGCGTCTGTGCTCCTGTATAGACAACTGGTCTCCCGCTCTTCAAATTCGCACCATCCTCCTCTCCATACAGGCCCTGCTCGGCGCCCCCAACCCCGACGACCCTCTCGCCGCCGAGGTTGCCAAGGCCTGGAAAGAGGACGAGAAGGCCGCCATCGAGACCGCCCGTGAGTGGACCCAGAAGTACGCCAAGCCTGACGCGCAGTAGGACGGCCTGTCTCGTGTCCCTAAGCCTCCTCCTAGGGGCAACGTTACCGTCTCGGAGCCGTGGGAGGCCGGTTCACGAGAAGCCCCGACTGGTGATATGGGGGATACTATGGAGGGCCCTGTGCATTCACAGGATGGAGTTGAGGATGGGCTGGGTGGCAGCGGAAGCGGGAGCGGCGGTTGGGATAATATCGTCGCATCTGTTTCCTCCCCAGGAGAAGGTGAAGTCGGACACTTGGTGGAGGAGGGCCAAATTTTGGGATACAGCTGGCAGCTTGGTGTGGGCCAGGAGATTGGGACGGATGATGAAGATCTTGGCAGCGACTCGGACGAGAGCGCTCTTGCGGCGTTAGATCGGACGCTTGATCAGATCCTGGAGGAACACATGGGTCATGGCGGGGAGGAGCAAGAGATCAGCGAGGCTGACAGGGAGAAGTTGAGACGGGCCATCTCGTGGAACAAACCCCGCAACTAAGCATCATGAAGCAGGAACAAGGAAATGGAATGAAGAAATCACCGGCTTTCCAAGCAGCTATGCAGACATTTATCATAGCGGCGAGTCTATAATTTCGGTGTTGCATTATTAACTGGGCAGATGAAACATACGTATTACAGTAGTCGATGGGTTGGCGGCGATGCTCTATGGCAGTATACACGGCCAACCAGGTTGTGACATATTTAGGTAGGTGATTGTTTACTGAATTTCTATGCACGCTATCTTCCAGTCTCCCTTACATGTCCCCACCCATGTCCAGTCTTCATTGGGGTTCTTATTCCGTTCTTAGTCTTTCCGATTCTTCCTTCCTTCCCTTTTTGTCCCTTTTACGCGCTCAGCTTGCTCTTAAGGATGTCCTTCAGGGTGACGGCATCGGCAGCGAACTTGCTGATACCTTCGCGCAGCTTCTCGACGGCCATCTGGTCCTCGTTGAAGTCGAAGCGGAAGTCGGCCTCGCTCTGGATGTACGTCTTCTTCTCGAGGTCAAGGCTGCTGGCGGAGGCAGCCTCAAGCTTCTTGGGCACAGCCTCCTGGGCGTTGGAGAGCTCCTCGAGCAGGTTGGGGGCGATGGTCAGGTAGTCGCAGCCAGCGAGCTCGGTGATCTCGCCGGTGTTGCGGAAAGAGGCACCCATGACGATGGTCTTGTAGCCGAACTTCTTGTAATAGTTGTAGATGCTCTTGACCGAGGCGACACCGGGGTCCTCCTCCTTGCCGTACTCCTTCTTGGTGTGGGCCTTGAACCAGTCGAGGATGCGGCCCACGAAGGGGGAGATGAGGAAGGCGCCAGCCTCAGCGGCGGCGATGGCCTGCACCAAGCTGAACATCAGGGTCAGGTTGCAGTTGATGCCGTGGTCTCGCTGCAGGATCTCGGCAGCCTTGATGCCCTCCCAGGTGGAGGCAATCTTGATCAGGATGCGCTCCTTGGGGATGCCCTGTTCCTTGTAGAGCTATAGAGTGAAAACCATCCGATCCGTTAGTCTTCTTCACTCATGTCTTGTGCTGGCTTGCCCTGGCCTCTATTTTAGGGCGGGGGAGGGGAAAGGGGGGACAAAACAAGCCTACCTCGATGATGTGCAGCGCCTTGTCAACGCTGGCCTTGGTGTCAAAGGAGAAGCGGGCGTCGACCTCAGTGGAGACCTTGCCGGGGATGATCTGTAGGATTTCCCTGCCGAACTCGACCAGGAGACGGTCCAGGGCAGCGTCAACCTGTGTGTCGAGATCCTCGCTGCTCTTCTGCTCCTTGGCGTAGGCGATGGCAACGTCTATCAGCTTGGCGTACTCGGCCTTCTTGGAGGCGGCGAGGATCAGAGAAGGGTTGGTGGTGGCATCCTGAGGCTTGTATTTGCCGATGGAGGCGAAGTCGCCCGAGTCGGAGACGACGACGGTTCCCGACGCCTTCAGCTGGTCCAGAGATGAACTCATCTTGCGTGTGGCGTAGTTGGTATGTTGGTGGTGGTGATGGTGGGGTGAGGTAGATTGGTTGATAGTTGTCGCTGTCGTTGTTGTGTGATCTAAGTACAGTCAATATAACAGGATGATGGAAATATGAAGATGGAGAATTGGGACTAACGTTGTTGGTTTACAGAAATTCTGAACAGAAGATTGATCGGCTGAGTCGGGAGATGGGGGAGGGGCGATGGTCCGTCGAGGCATTTAAGTACTGAACTTGACCCGACCCAGCCCTGACATGAGCTCTCTTCCTCGTCATGCCGCCTCTCGGGGCGAATTTAATATTTGTTAAATTATGGAGCCGGCCTACGTCAGACCTTGTGAAATTCCAAACTGTCCGCCAGAGAGGCCCAATCTTTTTTTTCTTCCTACTTGTTCTCTTCTCTTCTTATTAATCTGGGATCCATCGCCTCCCTTTCAAGTTCATTAGGGTGATCGAAACGTTGTTGTCTACCTGTCTCCCCATTCATTCTGGCCTTCAAGCAGTCTATGCTACACTTGGACCAGAGCACTGGCAGGGGGGTTTGGGTGCGGGGTCGAGTGCTGCCCCTCTCTTCCTTTACCTTACCCCTTCTACTACTATGGTACCCCTCCGCCATTTCCCCTGCCCCTGTAAACCCTGACGAACATGGAACTTGACAGGGCTCAGCATACTACAAAACCCTCGGAAAACGTTTCCCGACCCCGCCCAATCCCTCCCACCCCCTAGTTAGAAAATGAAAAGGAAAGCAAAACGACCCTTTAACCCCCAAATCCACGACGCGCTTGAGGCGCCTAACCCATGCACCAAAAAGGCTGAGGAAATAGAAGGAAAGAGAGAGGAGGAAAAAAACGAAAAAGAGGGAGACACCCAGCTGCTATATCCAATAACTGAAACACTGGACTCATACACACACACGCACACCACAACTCTCTACGTACCCATGCAGACCCCGGGACCGGACGTCAGGTCTACGTCCTTCTTTCGGAGACGCTTGGCGGGCACACGTTCGGCCCACCTACCCGCCAGCTGCTTAGCGAGCAGAACAGGGCCAAGCACGCCCCAACTGACCAATTCCAGGTTGAGGCACGACCCCAAGGACGGAGAACACTCACCCTGCCCAACAACCCAAAACCTACTTCATACTCAAGTGTGGTACCGTAAGTGCACCATCGTCTAAGTCACGCAACGCCAGGTACTTGGCATGTATGCTCAACATGAGAAGTCGATCAGGCCCGCATTGTGTACTGGCAGACATGAGTCACACCACAAGATGACAATCACTCAAGGGAATCATCGAGATCATCCATATAGCAGCTTGAAATCACCCGTGGAATGATCTGCTACACGATCATGTTATGTAGTGGAAGTATCCATGGAACACTTGCCCTATGGTACATCTCACGAGACGGGTTGTTTTTTCCAATAAAAATAAATAAAAATAAAAAATTTTCGTATTGGGCACTTTACAAAGAAGATCACACGAACATCACAGCGAGAAGAGGGCCAGGATGTCATAACAGCCTGTATTCCCAATGCCATTTGCTACTATCTGCATGGCTTGAGCCTGCCACACCTTCTACCAGCTGTCTGGGCAGCATGCATGCGTATGAATAGACTCGCAACCTTTCAATGCCTTTTTCCCCTTCCTTTTTTTCCCCCCCTTCCCCCCTTTCCCGGCGTTCCAAGTCTTTTCCCCGCTCTCTTCCTCTTTATTTTCCTTTCCCTAGTTGCATGCTGTGTTCAGTAGGATGATTTTGATTTAGTAATATGAAAGAACACGAAGGATGAAGAACCTGGGATCAGAGGGCCCATTGGTCACAATAGCACCTAGTCCTCCGTGAGATCGCCGTACTCCCACATGCCTGCGCGGTTGTCCTTGGCCTCGCTCTCCGCCTCCTTGTATGCCTTTAGGATCTCGCTCAAGGCCGGGCTGCGCTCCCAACTCTTCAGTTTCCGGGGCACCATGCCCAGTCCTTCGAGCAACACCTCGCGGTTGATCGATTCGTGTGCCTTGGGCCGGGGTTCCTTGTCCTCGTAGACCGTAATGTAGGTCAGACCCTCCTTGGAGTCAACAAAGTCGTAGCTCACGATCCACTTGGCCTTGCCAGAGAGGACCTCAGTGAGGAACGCCTTGGTCTCGTTGAAGTATTGCGGCGCCGTGGGAAGTTGCAGGAGTGAGAGGGATGCATCTGCGGCCTGCGGCTTCAGCTTCTGCGTGCCGAACTCGGCCTGGTCCAGAGGCCGCAGCTCGCTCCACGGGAACTTTTCCGTGTTGCCGTAGTCGATGAAGACGACTTCAGCTTGCTGCGCAGTCCGGTCGTTGGATCGGATCCGTGCACGGTACCAATAGCCATCCTCGGACCACTTGGCGGCCACCAGGTCGCCGGCCTTGGGCGCACCCTTGAGGCGGATATTGTTCTTGGGGTCCAGGTGGAACTTCTGGAACCTCGATGACAGCTGGTCCAACAAGGCTGTGCCCTGGCCCACCTCCTGGATCTTGATCCTGCCGTTGTCATCGATGCTGGTAACCGACACCTCGCGGTACTCGCGCTTGACATTCACTGGCACGTCATTTGCCGCAGTCTCAACGGGCGTCTCCTCTTCCGCCTCCTCCTGCTGCTCCTGTGAAGGGTCCCAATCGTGCCACATGCCCTTGCGGCCCTCCTTCGCCTTCTTCTCCGCCGCATTAAGCTCCGCCGCGATTCCTGACTTCTCAGCAGAGTATTGGTGGACAGAGGCCAGACCCTCCTCAACCAATATCTTCGCAAAGCTCTCACGTCCGACATAGAGATCACCAATGAAGCCTCCGATCTTGTCGATGTCGTAAACATCAATCTCAACATCTCGCTGGTTGCAGCGCTTGTTCGCCAGCTCCAGAGCCTCGTTGCCGAAAGGTTCGCCCTTCTCCTCTGGCGACCGACCCGCTCGAGGGGCGCGAATGCCAGCCAGGACAAGGGTCAACTTGACACCCTCGCGGGGGATCAGGATGGTAAAACGAGATCCGGACTTGCAGAAGTCAACCACACCCGGAATCTTCTTCTGACGTTGGAGAGTACCCAGATTCAGCTTCGCCCTCTGCAAGCTCTCTGATGCGTCGACAAGGGTCTTGGTCTTCGGGGCCTTCCCAGACCACATTCCCTTCTTCTCGGTCTTGGCCGTCTCCTGCGCGGCAAGCAGCTCGTCATAGTTGGGAGACCGGTCAGTATCGTCTTTTCGGTGGCGGATGACTGAGGCATAACCCTCTTGCACCAAGGTCAGGCCAATGTTCTTGCCATTTTGGGTGACAGTCGCAACATCACGGGCCTCAAAGCCGTCGGCGGCCGGCTTGGAACCATCAACGGTAACCTTGACATGCTTGCCAATGATCTTCTTGCGCAGAAATTCCTTGGCCTCGTCCTTGAAAGCGGCCTCGGACGCCTCGTTGGTCCGGGGTCCACGCACGCTGCTGAAGTTGATACGCTTCTCCTCGCCCGTCTTGGTCCTGACGAGGATGGTATCCGCACCAATCACCTTGGTGACAGTCATCTCGGATTCCTTGGCGTCTGCCTTGGCGACGTGGTTTTTGTGCAGCTTCAACTTGTTGCCTTGAGCCTTTTTCTCGGCTGCACGCAGAGCAGCCATCTTGTCTCCGAGCATGGTGGAGTGGAAGTCGTTGCACCGAGCCAGACCTTCTTGGAGAAGGAACTCGGCGACGTTTCCGTTGGGATGCAGCACAGTCGCTACGAGTTGGCCCTGGGGACTCGCTCCGAGAATGTGCACCTTGACGTGGCGTTGGAGCAGTCTGGTCTCGACAAATGCCCTTGCCTCGTTGCCATACTCCTCCGCTGGTTGCGTGCCGCCGGTGGAAACAAGCGGCCGTGCAGTGGCAGGGGTGCGGATGCCGGCCAGGAGGGTCATGACCTGGAGATGCTTCTTGTCCGACAAGAAAATTCGTACCAGTAATCGATCACCGCTGAGGACCCGCTCGACAACGCCATCGACGGTCTTGCCCTTCCACTCCTCGAGGAATTGCGGGTGACCAAGGTCGTTCTGAACCTCGATCACGCCACCAGTGGTCGCCCAGAGCCCCAAGTTCTCGTTCTTGGCCTTGCTCTCCAAGTTACGAAGGTTGTCAATCCGCTGCAGGATGGCTTCATCATCCTCCTTCTTTCCTGCGTCCTCGCGAACCTTGACCCAACCTGCCTTCACGAGTTCGTCGGGCAGAAGGACGTCACCTGGCAGCTCCGCTGTGCCATAGTCCCGCTGAGAGGTGGGCACAGTGTAGTTCACTTTGAATTTGACAACCTTGCCGACAGTGAGCGCCCTCAAGAATTCTCGAGAGTCGAAGCCGAAACGCTCATCGCCATCCTTGCTCAGACGCGGCGCGCTGACATAGGCCAATGACAGGGTACGCTCCAGAGCCGGGTTCGCGGGATTTGTCAAGATCAAGGTGTCTCCACTCAGGACGGACTTGACCTTGCCATAGCCTCCTGAGACGGTAGGTTGAGCCATGGTGACGAAGGAGGGCAATGAATCAATGCTGGAAATAATGACAGGGGCTGGGTTTGTCTAGCAAACACTTCAGCACCAGCGCTAAGAACACATCAGCTTTTGCAATGGAGAGTTGGGCGGAAAGGTGAAGTTTGTGCTACAACGGGGCGTCTGTTGGAAGGGCGTATGGGGCGGAGCATTGGAAAGGACAAGATGTGCTGCATACTCCAAGGGTAACTGGGACAGGAAGGGGGAGGGGGGGGAGTCATAAGGGATGGTAAGTAGGATAGTTTAGAGAGGTTCGCCTGGGAAGTCCCTCGGCTACAGGACCACACAAACTGAAATACTCTTGATATGTAAGAGTGTAATGCGTAATTGAGATGGGCATCTGAGAAGAGATGAGGGGCACGTACCAATATGCAAGCGGGTAGAGAGATGGAAGATTGCTTGCCTGTAGGGGATGGTCGACAATTATGGAGAGGCAAGTGTAGCGATAGCAAAAGAGGAAAGGGGGGGAGGAGTTTATTGAGGAAAGAATCTGAAAGAGTGGTGGTAGCGTTTGAAGGTAGGTAATCGTTCTGTCTTTATAAAGGTGTCGTGTGCCTCTCGCGCCTTCTGGCCAGATGTTCAGTGCTGGTAGTGAGAAGGTTACGAAAAGTGTGGGCCAGAACTAGTGTGGGGCCCCTGCCCTGAACACTAGCCCAATTGGGTTGCCCCAGACCCTGAGGACCTGTTGCATAAATCACAAGCTTCAAATGCTATGTAGAAGGTAAGAGGCTTTGGCAGAATGTATTGAATCACTCCTAATCGAGATAGTCGAGGTAGAAGCTAGAATGGAGGAGACCAGCCTAGGAATTGAGAGGAAGGAAGATTGACCACTTCGAATCCCGGACCCAAGGCATAGTTTCGGCAGAAGAATCTGCTGCACCTTGAATTCATCATCTTAGTGGAAGGCATCACGCACCAGATCCCCCAGGACGAGGGCTGTTCGAAGAGCATAGGCACTACAATGGCTCCTCTGTGGACAATAATTGACTTGTTTGAAGATCTCGAGTGGTATATCTCTTCCAAGAGCCACGCAGAAAACAAGCAGTGAACATTCGGAAAGGCGGGTCAACATTCTGCTTGTTCTAGCACTGCAACGACTCTACATCCGCAGTCTTGGTCCATTCCTAACTATCGTCCAAATCTGCAGGGCTGTTGAACTGCGTCGTATTGACCTGGCACGCACAGTCCCTTAGTTGGAGATTCCGATGACACCGCAGGCAGGACGGCCACCAGCGTTGCCAGTCTTGAGAGACTCCTCAGTATCGCCCTTGCCGAGATCATCAGTACCGGCGTGCACAACGATGGTGCGCTGTGGGTAAGTTAGCCTTTAATTATCGCTCTTTGAATGGTATATGGGGAGAAGACAGTGTCGACATACGCCAATGACAGACTCGGGTCCAATCAGCTTGACAAACTTGTCCTGAACACTGCCCTTGGAGTTGCCCTGAGCATCGGTCTCGATGTTGCCCAGGTCACCGACGTGGCGGACCTCGTCAGTGGGAGCACCGTGGGTCTTGTTGTGCGGGTTGACTGGGGGCAAAGCATGTTAGCCGGGAGGAGCTTCAGGGTAGGAGGCCAGGAGGCAATGCTGCTGCTGAGACTTACAGTGAGGGCCAGCGGAGGTGCAGCCATTGGTGTTGTCACCAAAAGTGTGAATGTGCATGCCACGCTTGGCGCTGGCGTCGTGGCCGGTGATGTCCCAGGAGATGGTGGTGGGATCGGACTCGGAGGCCTGCTCGAAGGTCACGGTGCCGCTGATCTTGGCGTCACCACGGACGACGCAAACTAGAAGAGGCCATCAACAGGTGGATGTCAGCTGGCTGATCACAGGTCAGGCAGGAAGGTTGCACGCAAGCAATCAGCGGCCAAGCTCGCTCTGGCTACTCTCGACCTGCCCCCTTGACGATCTAGGCGTCGATAGGCCCATGCGCGAGACATGACAGTCATCAAGCTGGGGGAAATGCCCATCAAGGTGCTCATGCAGCTCGGCAAGGGACCCTCAGGGAGTGACGGATGGCACTGAACCATGCATCCAGCACCCAACCTGCTGCCCCTCCTCAGGCCAGGAGCTATGACGGAGCTCTGATGATATAATGAGGGGTAAAGGAGCTAAAGTCTTCTCACCTGCTTTGACCATCTTGACGGTTTATTTGTGGGTTGTGTTGATATGGTTGATGATGGACGATGCTCAGACTCTACAATGACGAGTTTGATGGTTCAGGAAAACGCAAAGGAAAGTGAGGAGAACCGAAGTTTATGGGAACTGAAGTGAGGGCCAAAGTCCGACGCCGCGAGCTTCCAACTCCACATTCGCCATCCGGAACCCCGCTCTAGATGAGACTGACATTTCATTATTAAGCAACGCTGCTGCAAGTGCTTGCGATGACTTCATGCTCGCCCACAATTTTCATCGAAACAACGACTAGAATATTCATACATGGAGAAGATGAAGAAATCTGATGATTGCGACGAGGTCTGTTTTTTGGGATGTTTTGGTCTTCATGACCACCATCACCATCACCGTCACTATCCCCATCACAACACGAGTCCTAACAGGTACCCCTCACCAGGGCCCCGTGTGGGGGGGGGGGCTTTGACTTGTCGTCAGTTGTACCTCGGCCGGTGTCGGTGACCCTGGGCGGTGCACTAGCGGAATAGACACCTATGCGGCCGCCGAGTCGAAGTTGTTGGCTCAACACAGTAAGCGGCTATAAGTGCGCATTGCCTCTTAAAGCCAGGCATTCAAAGAGGGATGGAAGGGGGCAGAAGAAGAAGAAGGAGGAGGAAAAGGCATGGAACCATGGGCCAAGACAGGTTTGGTAGTGCTGTGCTTAATACAATCTATATAGCCAAAATTGTGATGGGATGACGTGTTTCAACAACACCAATGCAATGCCTCCATAGCTTCATAGCGACGTGCTGATAAAAATCATGAAGGCAACGCATCGCTTGATATCTCAAACCTCGATTATGAGGCATGCCGTGGTGAGATTGGTTTTCCCAGTTTCTTCCTAGGATCAAGAGATATCACCTGGACCACCGAGTTGCAATGGCTCAGCTCGGCCGCGTTGCTCGTGTAAGGGCCCGTGCAACACTACGGATTCGACATTTTCTTCTAAAACAGGGCCTGGCTGGTCAGATGAACTCCGCCTCCTCTTCAATGATCCAACTGACAGTATCGAGGAGCATTTCGTAGATTGTGGGAAGATGTGCGAAGGTGGTCAGCCCACCTTATCCAGACCACAAGGAAAATCATGAAGGGGCAGAAGACGAGGTTAGAAGAAAAGAAGTGATCTTGGAGATAACAACATGTAGCAAACCACGTACTATATACTGGAGCATAGCAATGTATGTTTTGAACGATGCGGATTCGTAACCGTGGGCCATTTGTTTCAAAGGCCGGATCGCCACTGCTGAGAAAAGCAAAAGGCCGAAAGGCATAAGGGCACTTAGGTAGTTAGGAACAGCGCTCGGATGCGCGACAGGGAAAAGTACTGTCCTGAAGCTGAGACCCTTGGGCTTGCTCGTGTCTCTAGTACCTGAGCCTAGGTGCTAGAGACTCTAGCCCCATGTACCATCATACTCTGTGGGGAGCCCTGGAAATTGGAGTATACCCACCAAAGTAACGGTCCCGCAGGGGTAGGTTGTTGGCAGGAGCCGCTAAACCGGGCTATGCTTACTGACGCAGTACAGCGCTCACCCAACAGCGTTCCAGCCCCAACACTGGCCGCCAGCTCGCCTCAAGGATCCCGTCTAGGTCCCAGGTTGAGGCAGGATGCGCAGTCTCTAAAACGTGTAGTCATCTAGCTGGGAATGAAATGTTTCTCTCTTTCCTTTCCCCTCACTATACCCGACGAGTACGTCTTCCATCTTGGCGGTAAGGAAAGAAAGCGAACCGGCTTCATCTGAGAACCGCGACTCGGCGCCGGACTGAATGAATACTGAATGAATGTATACACTACACAGTACTAGCCGCGACTGAGCCGGGAACCCCTCTGTGACGACGAGCCAGGGCCCGAACCGATCGATAACCCACGGGTGGCACGGCGGCGATTCACCACAGCAGCATCTTACCCAACTACCCAGCGAGCCACGTGAGGCTGGCATGCTTGCTACACACGATACTCGCTGGCCGACGACACACCCCTCACTTCGTTCTCTTGCCTCGCTCCTCGACATCCACCAGCGGATCCGACCAGCCGTGACCCAATCGTGCAGCCCACCTTACCCCTTTGCCTTCTTCGCTCGACCGTCGGACCGCTACCTACGATTTCGGTGCCTAGGATCCTAGGCCTCTTGGCTGCTACGACACATTATCTGAGGGACCCTCGACCTGCGACTCGCTCCCCACCCAGGTCTTCGATCTCTGGGCTTCTGGGCTCCAGCGACGCTCCTTCAAAGAACACACCTCCCCTTCTCCGATTCCTCTAAGCGCGTTGACCGACCGCACTCTCGCGCACTTGGACAGTGCTGCTCGTCTCCAACGTGCTACAGTCAGCGAGGCCTCCTCCTGACGTTACAAGTCTTAGGCCACGATCGCCCCGACTTGCTGCGACGATCCTCCCCCACTATTTCTTCATCCTGTTTGCATAACAAACATGTCATTCAGAGGCAACAACCCGCGCTACGGCCATCTACCTCCAGTTCAATATCCCGTTGCTGGCCATGGTCAAAATGTCTACCCGCCACGTAGGGGTAGCTTCAACGAGGGCGATGACGCTGCTGCCGACCCAGCTCGGCACCACAGTCCCTCCATGGGAAGGCAGGCGGAGGGGTACATGACGAGCCCGACTGCTTCGGCAGCTGGCTACCAACAGTCATATCAAAATCAGGCTCAACAACCGCCCCTTTCGCCGACATCATACAACCCACAAGACTTTGCGAGATCGAGCTCGACCACGTTGCCCTACCACCCAGCTGCGCGATATGCTTCGCCGCCCGCCCATCCCACGAGCTACACCCCGCAACCCACGACCTACAACCATGCGACCTACGACCCGTCGGCCTACGCAGGCGTCAGCCCGACTCAGCAGCGATACAACCAGTATGGGCATGTCTACAGCAGTTCCATGGCGTCTCAGCAAGCGAACGCGTCGTATTCTTCCCAACAGGAGAACCCACCCTATAGCCCCACGTATAATCATCACGAAGTCGTGTCACCGCAGATGCATGCAGCAGCAGCAGCTGGAGGAGGAAACTCACAGTACGCGCCCAGTCTGCCGAGTCCTCAGTACTCGTCACATTCGACACCATCAATGACACCTACGCCCTTTCAGGCTGCATGGACCGGCGGCCTTCACCAGTCCAACGGAACCACCTCCCCGCAGGGCCCTCAATACACTGCTCAGGCGCCGTATCCCGGGTCCTTCCAAATGCCTGTTGGCCCAAATTATTCAGCAGCAGATCCAAATGCGGCCTTCATGACTTCTCGAACGCGCCAGGCATCACATACGTCGCCGGCCCCGTCGCCTCCCGTGTACGATCAACCTTCGTCCCCAGGCCTCGCCAGGCATCCGACGAATGCACCGCTCCCAAGTCGACCGACAGAAATGACTCCAGACGAGAGGGCAGGCGACCCGAGCCTGACATACTTTTCCAATGAACAGGTGGCGCAGGAAAGCTTGATGGAGGACATATTCAACGACCTTGGTGGAGAAGGCGGCCACGCTTCCCGGCCCGCGCCGATCAACGGAAACATATCCGACGATGATCTGGACAGACTTCGCACCAGCTTTGACTCGCGAGCGTCGACTATGCAGGGGACTATCAGCACAGGTGTGGGTCGGTACAACTCGAACGCATCTACGCTCAACAGTCGTAGCACGCCGGCCACCTTCTTCGAGGACGATGATAGTGATGGGGATGGAGCAGCCGGTCTGGCCATGATGCAGGAGGATGAGCTGACAGACCGCCGCTTCAGCGGAAACACGTCATATTCACTATATCCTCCCAACCACCCAGTAGCAACATCCTCGCTACCTGCTCCCCCAGAGGAGCAGCCGAGTGGCAGCGACAGCGAGTACGCAGGTGCACTGGATCTTGCGGCCTTGAGCGGAGGTTACACGCCGAACCTGAACCTGTCGTACGACAATAATGCGGCTTCGCCGCCGGCAAGGTCAACGTCACTTCAGAGCCGTGAAAGGCCACTGCCGCCCCCTCCAACGGACCAAACTCTCCCCTATCCAGATGATGATAGTGACGATGGGGGTTACTATGGGTTGGCTATCGATGTGGACTACGGTGATACCGGTGGGCTGCAGGCTCCCACGGCCCAGCGCCGCAGCTTTGACGAGGGGGATGATCGTGCGAGTGGCAGTGACTCCCCCGTCAAGGAGGACCTCCCTGATCTCTTCTTCCACCCAGGGCTATCCAATCGCCCATTGCCGGCCCTGCCTGGTGGGTCTGATACAAGTCCTTCGCTCTCTGTGCAGTCACCAAGCCGCGGACCAAGTCAGCACAGCTACTCACTCAGTAGTGACTCAAGGGTGCAACGCGCCGATGGCTTCGACGTCGGCCAGCAACCATTGACCCATCAACAACAGGTCGAGAGGTCCATTTCGCTGTCAAGTCATACTACAACACCCGCCGTCCAGGTCCCCGGAAGATCAAGAACAGATGCTGCAGAAGAGCGCAGGAAGGCATTACGGCAACAGCAACATCAGCACAATGGTTCGCAGCTGGGCACCCCACTGGAGGGCTACGAGACGGGGACTCCGTCTCCCATGGCTTATGATCTGATCACACTGCCAAGTGGGCGCAAGAAGAAGTTTATTCCTGAGAAGTTGAGCACTGGTGACTGCAAGCGCTGCGCAGAGCCTTGGGCGCTGAGCAGCATTGCAGCTTGGCTCCGGGAGATGGCGGAAGGCGAGCCGGACCTAAAGCGCAAGACCGTCGAGGACGGCCTCACCAAGCTCTTCACCACCAAGGTGCCGACCATGAACATCGCAGACGCCGAGACACTGGGCGTGATTGTGGCTGATCGGCTGTACGAGGCCGGCATACTTCTTGAGGATGAGGAGTGGGTAAAATTTGGCCAGGGAACGCTCTCTGGTGTCTTGTGGCAGCTGACTGGGTCCGGTTGCTATGCACCAAAGGTGCACGAGACCGAGGTTGGTGGCAGATGCTATTCGTACCATTGCACGCGAACGCTGAAGAAGGCCAACCTGGACGAGCTCTTGGCGGACGAGTCTGAGCACCACGCCGACTGGGCGACATTCTACAAGCTCGATAAAGCCGGCGTGGAGGCGAAACCCAAAAAGGAGACCGAGCGACAAAACATTCTTCACGAGATCGTGACTGGTGAGGAAGACTATATGGCACAATTGGAGGTCGTCCGGCTGTTGTACCGAGATCAGCTCAAGGCATGGGCGCCTCCCATCATTCCCCCCGCGAAGATCAATGCTTTCGTCGACAAAGTCTTTGGGAAGGTCGACGCAGTTCACCAGGTCAACAAGGAATACCTACTGGCGCAGCTGAAGTATCGCCAGAATGAGCAGGGCCCGTGGATCACTGGATTCTCAGACATCTTTCGTGATTGGATCCGAAAAGCAGAAGCACCCTACCTGGAATTTTCTGCAGCCTTTCCCCATGCCCAGCTGGCCATTCGCAAAGAGGCTTCCCGCAATGTGCTGTTTGCTCAGTTCCTAGAGCACGTGCAGCGTCACAAACGGTCGAATCGATTAGGCTGGGACACTTTCCTGAAGGCGCCCATCACCCGACTGCAAAGATACAGTCTGCTTCTCGACGCAAGCTTGAAGAAGATGGTGCAGGACAGTGAGGAGAAGACCAACTTGCTGAAGGCCCTCGAAGAGATCAGAGCTGTGACACACAAGTGCGACGAAGCCGTGGCCCGCAGCAAGAGCAAGGTCGATCTTCATATGCTACAGTCCGCGCTGGTCCTCCGCCCAGGGTTCCAATCAGTCCTCAACCTGGATCACCTGGGAAGACAGCTGATTCACCAAGGCGACCTCACAAGAATGGGGTCCAAAGGTGTGCGGTGGGTCGATACACACGCATTGCTGTTTGACCACTACTTCATCCTGGCGAAGGAGTATCCCTCCAAAGACGGGAAGGACAAGAAATATGACGTGTCTAAAGAGGTATGTGTTGTGCTATTTTTAAGCCAGGAGAGAATCTTGGGGGTTCATACTTGTGTACGTGTGGGTGTATGTGTGTGCGCGCGCTAACTTTTTATAGCCAATTCCCATGCCCTTGCTCTTCCTGGAAAGTATGCGCGATGAACCCGTCATGAAGCAGGGCGGGTTGAGGGCCCCTCTCACCCGGACCGCGATCGCCAATGCCTCCGGTACACAGCTGAACAAGGTCATGTCGAACGGGGATCGCCCTGTGCTGTCACACTCCGACACTGGATCTTCGATGGGGTCTCTGAATATGAACGCCGTTACTCGCATCAACACTGCGAGCTCGGCAGATTCTGTTCTATTCCCCTTCCGAGTGAAGCATCTTGGCCACGAAGTGTACACTCTATACGCAACGTCTCAACAGGACCGCGAGCTCTGGTGTAGCAAGATCATCGAGGCCAAGACTCAGCACGCAAGAGCATTGCACGCCCAGAATGCAGAGCCTTTCAGGCTTCGAATCCTGGCGGACGGTGCATTTGCATACGACACGGTCTCCGCGATCGGCAAGACGCCTGGTGTGCCTATCAAGGGAACACCTCTTGATCGCTCGATCCGCGAAATTGAGAAGATATATGGTTCTGGGAGAGGGCCACCAGCCGTGTGCAGGGCTCAAGTGAATTGCGCTACGGCGTTTACAGCGTTCAACAAGTCACTGGTGGCAATTGGAACAGACTATGGAGTTTATATCTCTGAGGCCTCAAATCCTCGGGGTTGGACCAGGGTGAGTAGTAGTCATGGTTTTTTTTTTTTAATTCAGTGCACGCCTGGGACTATCTACTAACATTGCTCCCAAGTCTGTGCAACTCGCCAGGGTGACGCAGATAGCTGTCCTGGAAGAGTTCTCCATCTGTCTCATCACAGCAGATCGGTCCCTAATCGCGTATCCCCTGGAGACAATTGCGCCCACCTCGAACTTCCCAGCCGCAAGTCACGACAGCGTGCGCAAGGCACCACAACGGCTTGCCAAGGACGTCACATTCTTCGCCACAGCCCGCATGAAGGAACGCATGCTCATCTTCTACAAGCGGAAGGAAGGCATGCACACCACCTTCAAGGTGCTCGAGCCAGTCTTCCAGCGGTCCTCGGAGAAACGACCTCGCATCTTTGGTGGACGTCGTGGCGGCAACGGTTTGACAGAGTCGTTCCGGGATTTTGACGAGTTCTATCTGCCAACAGAATGCTACTCGCTCAACCTGTTCCAGACGTACATCGCCGTGGCCACCGCAAAAGGCTTCGAGATGCTCACGCTGGACAAGAAACAGACCATGTCCGTGCCCAGCGGTCTCGGCCAGCCCACCATTGCCAACATTGCGAACCGCATCCGCGACCAGCGGCCACTCGGCATGTTCAAGCTCAACGAGCAAGAGTTCATCCTCGCCTATGAGGACTGTGCGGTCTATGTCGACAAGCACGGTGAGGTTTCCCGCACGCTGATCATGGAGTACTCGGGCAAGCAGAAGAAGGCCCGCGGGGCGACCATGTTCGGGCAGTACCTCGTCCTGTTCAATGAGGACTACGTTGAGGTGCGCAATGCCGAGAACGGCAGGCTGCGGCAGATCGTGGCTGGTCGCGACGTGCGCTGTCTCGACTATGGAGTGCGCGGCCCGACAGGCGCGGGTGGTGTCGGGGCGGGCTCGATCATCGCCGGTGAGCAAGACTCCAAGGGCACTGTCAAGATCACCATGACGCATCCCGAGGTTCCTGGCATGCAAATTATCCTGGAGTTACTACTTAATGATGGACACGACAAGGCTGGCTAAGGAATTTCCACTGGCCATGTGTATGTGGAAAGGGATTTGCTTTCTTCAATGATGAGGCATTTACCCATGTCTTTCTCATCAGGGAAGGCAGGACTTTTTGCGATTTTGACGACGGGTGAGGGATTTGGGTTGATGGGGGAAAATACAACAACAGACCCACATCCTGGTTGATGGTGAGATCTGGCCATGAGCAAAACGTTGATGCTATGCTCTCTCATGAGTTATGTTCAAGCGGAGTATGCGATTCGCATTAGGTCTTATTCCCCCTTCCTCTTTTTTTTCTTCCCCCTCTTCCTTTTCTTTCTTAGCCAGCATCAGCTAGGTATTGTCTAGTTTTGGACACCTTCCAAGTGTTCTGTGTATTCTTCTATATTATATGTCAATACAAGCTTGACCCTTGAATTTCAGTTTGGGGTTTTTGTCTCTTTATTCTTTTTTTTTTTTTTTTTTTTTTTTTTTTTGCAATAGGATATATACGTACCTGATATCTGCGTATTTACAACCCTTTCGTCCTTTGAACTCCATGCTCATGTCCCATTTCCATGCAAGTAAAATCATCCGCAAGCTCCGAACCCTTACCAAGCTCGTCCAGTAATCGCCTACCTAAATCCAGGACCCAATCACCTGCATTTCGGCCTTCCAAGTCCCTCAAGATGCGCCCATCTATCGAATTACAAAAGAAAGAAAGAAAAAAATCTGCAATAAAGTTCCTCACACTTCCCCTGCTTTTATCTGTTCATAGGTTAGATAGGCCTAAAGAAGTTTGTCCAGAATGATAGGGCTCGCGCGTAGGGTGTGCAATGAGCATGCAGTGCCGAGATGTGGTTGGGTATATGTAGCCAGACAGATGATTTTCCAATACCATTCCTCCATGTTTTTTTCTTTTCTTTTTCGCATCAAGTCATAACCGTCGCAATCGTGTGTGAGGGGAGACGTATTCGTAGGAGCCCGTAAGCTGCATGTGAAGAAGTCGCTATTTCGGAGGTCGGCCGGCCGATAGTGGGGTCTTCCGGTCGTGAGTGGGGTTGGTTTCGGCTCGGTGGTAGTACGGGAAATCGGGGTCAAGCAACGGGGCGCCAGCGCCGCGCCTGTCTGAACCGGCTTTCGAGTTCCGGCACTCTCGATCGGCCATGGTCGTTCACAGTTGCACCAATACTGGCAGTGCTACTACGGAGACCGCATGGAAAAGACCACACCAGTTATGAAGCGATCGCCAGCCGAATGCCTCTGGCGGTCGTAGTATGGGAGAACTTCGTCTGGGAGCGCCTTAGTTATGATATTGTAGGGTAATAAGATGCAGAGTGCAGCCGGTGAATGAACATGAATTTCAGCAGCAGAGAGAAAGGGTCTAGGGAAGCGCAGTGGACAGACCTCGGTGCTGGCGTTGGAAATACTGGTATACAGCCAAGAGACAGGGGGGAAGGCCTACGAGAATGCCAATGATGGAGATGATAGATCCGGCGTCGAGAGCCATTGTAAGAAAGGCTCTAGCAAAGAAAATAGGTGTAAGGGGTCTAGTATGCAAGTCACTGAAGATCTGGGAAATGAATACTGTAATGAAAAATGTTTGGCGTTTGGAAGAATTGAGATTTGCAGAAACAGCTGTGCGAGAGGAGGCTTTGGAGATGATATAAAGAGAGGCGGGATAGATTATCCAGGAATGCATAGGTCCGGCCCGATGCGCAGATTTTGAGGCGGTAGAGGAAGTGGCGCAAGCTCGGAGTTGACTATATAGTACACGTCTGCTAAAGGTTCATGCATGATACGTTTTCCCGAACCGCTTTCGACCTAGCATGCCTACACTGAGCTTAGACGTCGTGTTGGTAGAAATTCCAACGAAGGAATGCCTCGGGAATTATCTCTACTTCCACCTATTGAGCTTCTACAGAAGATGAGGCCAGGAGTGAATAGATTCCTCCTGCTCTTAGGAGCGGACTTTGCAGCTGAAACCAAGCTCATGGCACTATGGAACAAGCGTTACACCTCCAGCGCTCTCAAAAGGCCAGGAGACGGTCCAAATCGAGTGTTCTACATCGTTCATTTAGTGCAGAACTGAGATTGTCAGAGAGCTTACTCAGATTGGTGGGTTGAATCAGATGGTGCAGCTGAGAGTTTTGACGCATAAGCTGGTTAAATCATTACCCTATTTGGCAATGCCTGCGACACAGGTGAGAGAGGGCTCGATCTTTGGCTACAATCATCGTATACTTTCTTTCGATTCTAGCTAAAAGACTGTCTTACGCATGAGCACGAGGGAATTCAAAAAAAAATTGTGTGAGCAGCCAGCTATCAAATTAATCACTTGCATCAGTACCTGCATCGAGTTGCCTGCTGCATAGCCGAAAAGGGGTTGACGCAGCGTCTTATTTCTCGCACGCAAGTTGAGCCGTCCTGCACCTACAGTGACGAACGAACAGCCCCCGACAAGGCAGACCGAGGTCTGGAAGCACGGGCACGCTCCTCAAATAGCATTCTCTTGCCCGTCTCATGCACGAAATGCTGTCAGACGACTGACCTGCTGTCCACCGACCAATCAGAGCTTTCCAAGACCGCAACCACATGCACCATACCTACTACAGACAGGACCAGATCAAAGGCGAGTGAGTGAGCAAGTGAGAGAGAGTTAGTTTTCGCAGCAGTTGGCAGCAAGAAAAACCCAAAATCCGCAGCGGCCCAATGATCTTCATGGTGAGACTATATAGCATTCGTGAAAAGAAAGTGCACACTAGACGTACTACAAAAGCAATATCTGCATCAAAAGCATGATACTCACTATAGACAGGACCGCATTGAAGACACCACACCTCTCCAGGCCTCGCTTTGTCGCCTTTGCTACTGCCGCTAGTGGCCATGAACAAGACGGCAATGGAACTGAGTGTACGTGAGCATCATACTGGCAGCACCCACCTCGAACCACGAGGCACTCCGTGAAGCCACGCGTGTTGATCCAACTCAATGACAACAACATCACTTACAAATGGTTCGCAGTCTTCACAGCACTCAAGTCCGGTTCCAATCATTTTTTTTTGGTTTGTAGAAATGGCCCCCAATGCCTGGGCAGTCGCGTCTCCCATTAAATATATATCGAATTTTTGGCCCAGCTGCTTGTCCTTTCGAATTCGTCAACAATTCTTTTCATATAGCGCGGGACAGACTAGGCATGCTTCTTCCCTTATGAAGAAAAACCTCACTTCCGTCCCTTGACTCAATGACCCGCTCCATGAGTTCACAAGATTTAACGACACCCGCTTGTGACGTCAAATCATATTATGTACGGCTGCCAGCAATATGCCCTTTATGCCCCAGCTCTCAAGGTATCAAGAGAAGCGCCGAAAAGATAACCCAGAGAATATACACCAAATTGGGACCTCGGTCTGTCACCTCCTCCATCTCTTTCAATGTATGGATAAGTCCGTGTTAAATTGGCTTGGGGGCCCGTTGTGGTCGAAGAACAAGAAAAGTGAAAACGTCGTTCGGGGTGAGAGTGTTATGTAAAGGTGCGTAGGAATTAAAGAAGAAAGAAATAGAAAGGAAGAAGAAAAAACCAAAAAAAGAAAAGGGGGGGGGGGGGCGCTTCTCCGCTTGTGAATGAGCTCGCATAGGGCGGGCGGGGTATCTCGAACTCGAACTCGATTCCTCCTTCTCACCATCTCTCTCCATCTCTTTCTCCCTCTCTCTCTTTCCGACTTCTTGCACAAAGCAACTGTATCGTCATATCTATTGGTAGGGGGCGCAGTCGGTCCAGAATCGATGAAAACGGCCTGGCACCGTTTGCCGTTGTCCGGATTGCCAGGCCTGAGACATGGAATCCAGCCAGGGCGTGCTGGCCTACCGTCCGTCTACTTGATGTCCTTGAAGAGGTCAGAGCCGAGGCTGCCAGCATCATCAGAGATGTCGACCTTGGACCCGAGGGCCTTGAACTCAGGTATCTTGGGGGGTGGAGGGCCGGTAAACCTGGGGGTCGTGGGCGTGGTGGGCGTGGCAGGCTTGGGACCATCGCCAGAGATGAAGATGCGACTGGAGCGCCTGATATCCAGGCTGTCGGAGCCTCGCAGGCGGCGGAACCAACCGGAGCTGCGCTTGGACTGCTTGTCGGTAGCAATGCTGGCATTGCTCTGGCTCGGGGGCCTGGGGATGGCACCGTCAACTAGATTGGGGTGACGGTTAGCATATAAGGCTTCGTTCAGACGGTTGCGGCTGAACAAACGTCGGATGCTAGGCGGAGCCTTGGTGGAGGTCGGCGAGGCAGGCGGTTGCTGCTCTGCGGACCGCGTCAGGCCGTTGCTCTGGACCTCTGGGGTGGTCTGGGTAGCATTGCTGGCAATGGTGGGGTGGTGCGTAGCAGAATTGACGGCGGGCTGGGCGGCCTTGGGAAGCTCTGGTGCCTCCTCCTGTATAGGTGATGGCAGAGGGGGTGGGATGTCTGTGCCCTCCGTCAGAGAGCCGAACTTGAGGTCGAGGGCCGGTAGCTGGAATTTGGAGGTGGCGGGCTTGGCGGCGCCGTTGCCACCGGCGAGAGAGGGCATGTTGAGACGGTCGTGATGAGGATCGTCTCGGGGAGGGTGGTGTGGGCGTTGTTGGGGTGGTTTGCGCCTGGTCGAGACAAGCAGGAGTTGACGGTGGGAAGTACAGTACGAGGTGGAAAATGAAGTGATCAGGGGCCTAATCAAATCGAACGGGACCTCGGCGGGCAACAGTGTGGCGTCAATGCGCTCGTGTGGGAGTGTCTTTGTGTGTGTCGCCTGGCTGGGAATTACGTCTTCGCTTAGGGGTATCGATCCAGGGTGGGCAGGATATAGCGGATGCCTTTTGTTTTCGTTTCGTTTCTTGATTTTCCCCCCTTCTCTTTCTTTCTATTTTCCTCTCGTTTCCGGTGCCGGCCCTAGGCCAGGTCCTGGTCCTGAGTGTGATCCTGCCTAGTAAAATGTATAACAGGTTGAGGCTGGGACGAGTTCAGAGCTGAGACCCAGACAGATCGTCCATGGGAGGATCATGTAGCTGGGAGAGAAAGGCCCTGAGGTCGATTGTTGCAGCGGACAGCACAGGCAGTCCGTCGTGCGTCGTGGGTAGGGGCAGGGCGCGGAGAAAAGAGAGATGAACCGCCAGGGGTTGGGAGGGGGACAGCGATCACACCCAGCAGTGGACCGGGCAGCTGAGGTGGGTGCCGGAATTGTTGCTGTCAGGTCGAGGTTGGATCGCTGCTCTGGAGGAAGAAACGAGCTGGGGTGGAGCTCTCTCAGGCCGCGGAAGTTAAGCTGCAGGCATGCGTGCAACTGAAAGGAACAGTGGCCGTGGAGCAAAAGAGTATTAGTCCGCCTCCGAGGTGGCAATTCCACAAGCAAAACGTTGATTGATTGTCTGCGTGGCTATCTGAATGCCCGGGTGTATGGGTAGCAATCCAATTGATGGTGTTAGGTAGAGAAGGAGAGGAGGAAAGGTTAGGATGACGACTTCAACTAGCAGCAAGAAAACAGAGGCGGGTGTTGTCATGGCAGGATGCAGACAAGAATATCCCCCATACTGGCTTATGCGGAGGACCAGGGACAATTAGCGAGCAGGCGGGTTTGCGGGATAGTATGGTACGGCCGGGTACTATTGCTATGGTTCCTGCTCACTATAAGTGCTACGGTAGTGTGTGTTGTGGCAGGTCAAGTACGTGGAGTCGACAGCGGGTTGCTGTAGAGAACTAACATGACTGTGGGGGGGCCCTCTCAGCGGGTTTTGCTGGTTTTACGCGGCAGATGGTGAGCCATTCTATATAGTACATGGTACACGGTTTGATGTCCTGTCATAGCAAGGTACTAGCAGCTAAGGTCCTATGGTAGTACTGCGCAGGAGATAACCTCCAATCCCGCCCCTCACGCCAGCCACTGTTTCAGGGGTCTCCCCTGCGCCAGATCCGATCCGCTGCATGTCCCAACGGGCGTGCCTCTTCTTTCCTCCCTCCATCCAACGTTACCATTAATCAATCATAGTAGATGAGACTTCTCCTATGGTACTATGTACAGAGTGGGCTGTGGATCTTGCCCATCTTATTATCTCTCTTCATTCTGGCCTTGCTCCTCTGGTCAGACTTAGTACCCTTCTCCTCGTCCTGGATCCAGTACACGAGCACGATGGGATATTGCTACACTGACAAGCTCGCGGGTTAATTAAAGTCCTTGTCTCGGCAGAACTTCTGCAGCAGTCAGGATCCTGTCTTTTCATAAACACATCACATTAGTCTTCTACGCTACTATGTATAATGCATGTCTCGCCCGGCAGACACCTGTTAACTAAGAGTGGGTTGACACCGGGGTCTTGGTTGGATCGAGGTTTGGCCTTTCGACGAGCCAGAAGCACAGGCCAACAGAATGTTAACGGCGGTCGTGGACCTGGAAGGTCATTTCGTGACAGCACATCTCATATCCATAGTGAGAGATTGTATGCTTGGCAGATGCAAGCTCCATCTTGTTTCGTCTGCTGTCCTCTGTGATCCCCGGCATGTTCTAGGAGAACACAGCTCTAGGTGTCCTTAGGCGTGCTGCGAAATTGCTGGTGCGAGCTGTTTGCGGAAGTAGACCCGGTGGTATCCATTCTCAACCCTCTTGTCTACCTGGATGAAACCCATCTTCACATACAGTGCGTGGTTCTCGTACATCTTCTCGTTGGTGAAGAGCGTCAGAGCCGGGCGCCCCTTCGCACGAGCATAGTCATGCGCAAAATCCATGAGGAGGCGTCCATAGCCACGCCCTTGCAGCTCTGGATCAACGACGAGATTATCCACCAGCGTCGAGTCGTCCCTTTCAGAGTCCGAGAGGAGGATGGATCCCACCACCTTCCCGTCCTCGCACCTGCGTAGCACGTAGATGTCCTGCGTGGGGTCGGCAATGATGGCGTGCTGGTCTGCTGTCATTGGCGCGGGCTCTCTGCCGATGCGTTCAACATACTTGGCGTACGCGGCGATTACCATCAACCTGATGACATCTGCATCTTGGACGGTGGCGCGCTCAATGAAAACCTGCTGCCCAGCAACTGCATGGCCTTGAGGCTCAAGCACGGGCGCGGGCGAGGGCTTCTCCATCTCTCTCGCCAGGTTTCGGCAGGATATTGTCGGTGCTTGAGCTAGTGCGAGGATCGATTTTAGGGCGCAGGAAGTCGGATATCAAGAATTAGGATCCATGGCAGAGGAATGAATGCGCAGAAGGACCATGCTCATTTATTTGAGGAGTTTGTAAGGCTCATCGAGACGGCCGTGGTACCCGCCTAATACACGTCTTATCTTTGTAGTGACTCAGAAGTCAGAAATGAGGATGCTTGAGGTGGGTCAGGGGGTGGGCTACTTGGGCCGTTTCTATTTGAGGACCTGGACCTGCAGGTGCAGCTCCTGTGTGATGCTTGGGCTCAGCTAGTAAAACCCACTGGCATGTGACATCATCCCTCTTTTTCCCAGTACAACAGCTACAACCACAGTCTTCTCCCAACTTCTCTCTCGTCTTTCTAAAACATGGAATTCTACACCATGTCGCCTTAGAGAAGTATTTGTGTGCGCCTTCATCCATCCAGCCTCTCCAAGCGCATCCTGGCCAGCCTGGCCATCCTAAGAATCCGACGATAGTAGGCGGGCGGATAGATTCCACCCTGAGCGCGCCAACATGCCCGTACCATTCATTGGGCGCCTCAACATGTATGCGCCACTACGAAATACCATGGTCCTGCCCCGGTTGTCAGCTGGCTAACTGATTATGATGCTCGCTAGAGTCGAATATGTCGCCGTCGCTCTGTCGTTTGCCTTCGTCACTCTCGAGAGCATCATTCGCGTCCTGACCTTTGCCTTGCGTCCGTCTATTTCCAGCTTCTCCCTAAGACACGAGAGCGCCTCTCTGACCACTAGACAGCTTCGCCTCTGATCAACATCTTTTACCGCGCATCGAGACGTATATTCAATCGGTGGAGATCCACAGATGAAAAAAGGGCAGAGGAAAGAAAGAAGAGTATGTCCAGGTTCTATCCAGCAAGGATTCATGCCCATTGGAGAACACAAGGCTGACGAGGATCACCCGCTCTAGGCCTCTCAACCGCCATAAGAAACGCGACCGATTTCGTTGAGCTGTGCGAGCTGTTTGGCTACACCGCCGAGGAACATGTCGTCCAGACTAGCGACGGTTACCTCCTGGGGCTGCACCGGCTGGCGTGGAGGAAAGACGAGGAGGATCTCAAGGTTAATTCCGGACCCAACAGTATCAAGAAGCGAGTCATCTACCTGCACCATGGGCTTCTGATGAACAGCGAAGTATGGGTCTGCCTCACGGACGCGGAGAGGGCCTTGCCGTTCGTCTTGGTAGATAAGGGGTTCGATGTTTGGGTGAGATGTTGTTCCTGTTCTTCTCGGGTTCTAAACTTGTGGTGCTGACCTCTGTTCTCTCTCAATCGACAGCTTGGAAACAATCGTGGGAACAAATACTCCAAGAAAAGCGTCAACTCTGCGCCGACCTCTCTTGAGTTCTGGAACTTTTCCATCGATGAGTTCGCCTTCTACGACATCCCGAACAGTATAGAGTACATTCTAGGGAATACAGGGCAGCCGTCGCTCTCGTATATCGGCTTTTCCCAAGGCACGGCGCAGGCCTTTGCCGCCCTGTCTATCCATCCGAAATTGAATCAACAAGTCAATGTCTTCATTGCTCTCGCGCCGGCAATGTCGCCGCCTGGTCTGGCCAACGGTATTGCGGACGCCTTGATTAAAGCATCACCACAGGTCCTGTTTCTCATGTTTGGTCGGCGCGGCATCCTGAGTTCCGCACCTCTGTGGGAGTCCATCATCTACCCGCCTCTATATATCAAGATTATCGACAACGGGATCCGGTTTCTCTTCAACTGGAAGGCCCAAAACATCTCGGTCGCTCAGAAGCTCGCCGCCTACCCCCACCTCTACTCGTTCACCTCCACCAAGTCCGTGGTCCACTGGTTCCAGATCATTCGCACCAAATCTTTCCAGATGTACGACGATGACCCACCCTTGAGCATAGGAACATCCACGCGCTCCACCAAGGTCACCAAGTACCCAACGCGCAACATCAAGACGCCCGTCGTGCTCGTCTACGGAGGCAGCGACTCTCTCGTCGACATCAAGGCGATGCTGCGCGAACTCCCGCCCAAGACTGTCGCGACCGAGATCCCCCACTACGAACATCTCGACTTCCTGTGGGCCCGCGACGTCGCCGCACAGGTCTTCCCGCACGTCTTCGACGCCCTGGACAGCTTCACGAATGCCGAGCACTCCAAGGACGAGTACGACAGCTACCGCCGCGCGAGGACGCAGAGCCTCGGCAAGAGCGCCACGTTTTGGCAGCGCGGTCACGCGTATAACGGGAGCGACATGAACGACAGCGATGTAAATAGTGCTGTGGGCGGCACGCCATCCACGAGGCAGGCGCACCAGGCTCGCGAGGGCATACGCGATGTGAGGTTCAGCGACGATGACATATCGACCATCACAGACCCGAGCGAGCGTGGCGCAGATAGCCCGCATCCTCTTGGACGCAGAGGCAGAACATCACCCCCCCGCGGCCTGGGGCTCGGCCTCGACGGCAGTGCGGAACAGTTGGACGGAGACAAGAGATGATCTCTTTTCCCCTGCCAGCTCTCCAGGCGAGGACTTCAAGCGGGAGCCTCCGGAACTCTACGAGATCCGGCAGCAAGGGCATCAGTCTAGATGCCAGTAGGGGTTGCAGGCGGAGTCAGCACGACAGATGCCACCAGCGTCATCGCCAGTCCGCAGTTGAGCTCGGACGAAGCCAGGGACAAAGGGAATGGACGATGACTGGAAGCGATGTCAAGGAACTAAAGAATTAAAAGGCCATACAATGTTTATATCCATGTGCTGACAGTATAGAAAGTTGTACCCGTCCATCCCCGATCTAGTTGATCAGAAAGTCAAAGGAGGAGGAGCCCGCCTGTCTGTACAGCGTGAGCAGACTACACTGTTACCCAATACTTTCTTCCTCTATTCCAATTACAGCAAAGAGAACGTATTACACACCCAGAGCAAAATGAACCTGCCTTCAATGAAGAGTCTCCTCACCCCCGATCCCACCCAGCAAACCCCCTCAATTGGGCTCAATCCCCAGCTGACAACCCCATTCGTCCTATGTGGTCAGGGAGGAGAGATTGCCGCGCCTGATGGGCAGGGTGTGCCGCTTAGCCTGCACAAGGCATGGCAGTGGCACTCGGTCTATTCTTTGGAAAGACCACCGCATTGGCAACCGCAGACCTGACAGGTGTGTTATGTTCAGCCCCCGAGGCTGTATTATCCTCTGCGAGAGTCTCACTGAGCAGAATGTTGGGCTGCAACGTGACTCTGTTGGCTCCATGAGTGGAGGTGGTGTTCGCACGTGGAGCAGGAACTTGGACGCGTGAGGTCGTCGGGGCCTGAGCCTCGGTTTTGTCCTCGCCACCCTGCATCTGCCCCGAGATCTGCCGCTGTAACACGCCATCATCGACGCTCCCTTCAGAAACAGCATTGGCTCGCGGTCTATTTCCCCGGAACGGCCTGAACTGTCTGAGCCGGCTGAGGCCCAGGCCGCCCTCCCCCTCCAGCATTATCTTGAAACACCACCCGGGATGGAAGACGACCAGTGCCACGCTCGCCAAGAAGACCATGGTGCTCTCGAATACGATGAACAGTACCTGTTTCTTCATTAACGGACCCGTCCACCCTCCGCTGAGTTCCGCAACACGGAAACAGCACCGGGTGAAGATGCACAGCGTGGCAAAGATCAGGGCCGCGAGGAAGAGGCGGAAGGGGGTCGAGCTGCGGACAGCCGTGTTTGACACGGCCTGCTCGAGGGCTTCTTGGCCCTGCAGCTTGTAGCGCAAGTATGTGCGCAGCGTGAAGTCGACCGCGCTGCAGATGAAGGTGGCCATTGTGAAAACTTGGAAGGCCAGGCCGGCAATCACTGGATGGCAAGCCAGGCATCGGTCAATTTCGTTTCATTGACCAGATAATATCAACGTGGAGACGGTGAGGAGGAATTGGCTCACTTATATTGTTGCCGGTAGACACATGACCGCCGTTCTTGTATGCGACAGCTGAAAGACCGCCACCCGTGGCCTGCAGGACGAGGGAGACGATGTCGCATGGGATGAACTGTGACCGTTCAGCCACACAGATTTCGGACGGCACGCAACCTGGGCAGCGGGAGCATCACGACTTACAATTCTGGTGAACCATCTGGACGAGATGCGGGAGTTCTCCTCGCCGAAACAAAAAACAATCCTCCGCATACAAAGATAGATAGCCGCGGCCATGAACGCCGGGCCAATGGTCAAACAGCAGATCTGCATGAAGAAGGCATCGTCCTCGAACTGATCGGTAGTGCTCTACACCCGAGCACCGTATCCGAGAGCCTCTGCCAACAAACCTAGTAGCATGAAGCCAGTGAAGTCGGCGCCAACCCTCTTCCAGGCGTACATGCAGATGTAAGCAACTGCAACAATAGAGAATAGCACCATGAAGGCGCCGTTGGCATTGTGGCTCAGTTTGTATCCGTAGAATCCTGTCTGGCAATTTGGATGCGCCTGCGGTGCCACGGCGCAGATCCTCGAGAGGAAGTTCATGTTCTCGGAGTCGGAGCGGGATGGGTCCATTATGACATACGGTCAGTAGCAATAGGAATAAATTGAGTTGATAATGGTATTGCTGGGCAGAAATTGAGATGACAATGATGATGGTTGTGGTTTTGACAGATCAATTCTCGAAACTATTCCTCTTTTCAGTATTGTCTATTTGTCTACCTTATCTGCAGCCCATCGCAGTTACCAGTATTGGAGAGCATAGAAAATGTTGGCAAGCACAACAGGCTTAGCAAGTGTAGAAGGGGAAGTAGCCTCCCGTCAAGTCCATTCCAGTTGAGGAAGGGAAGAATATTCACTTGACGAATCACAGTGAGGCTACTTGGCTTGGATGTTTAGCACTTTCCCCTGCCCCCCTTTTCCCTATCTTCTGCATACAGCTCGCCTACTGTCTTTGCTCGCGATTGTTGAGCTTTCACGAGGAACACCCTCGCATTTCAAGACTCCGGAATGAGAAGACAAATGAGTCAGTGTTTTTCGAGGACTACGGGGAATAATTCGGGTACTGCCTCTATTTTTTCTGTCCTTTTTTTCTTTCTTCCATTGCTATGTTCGGATTTCCCTTTTCGGGCTGAATCATCCTTCTCCAGTCTTCTTCGTCGGCATGAAAACTAAGTCTCATCCATAAAAGCCCCTATCGAGGATCGAGACGACTAGATATGGTCATGCCAAGCCTCAGGATCTACAGATTCAGCCGCTTTGTCGGCTATACCTACATGCCATAGTACAAAGTCACGGCCAGAAGACCGACTGCTGCATGGAACCAGGCATAAATTTCCGGGGTGCCAGTCTTGTTCAGCTCTGGACTCAGCGGACGCCCTGCTCCCGCCAAGCGTCCACGGTGCAGCGTAGCCCAGTGCTAGCCACGTGCTAATCAGGCTGGTGGCGTCTTCTAGACTCTTTTGGATGGGCTGAATAGTGGCGCCCTCCCCCAAACGCAGAAAAAAGCTCACAGAAATCACGAGCAAGTCTTGAACCCTGACTCGCTCCCCCCTACGCCCAGAACATATCATTCATTCATTCATTCATACTATGTATGGTACGCTGGGGCCAGCGGTATTGGCTGATCTGCACCAGTGACCGGCCCGTGACAGCTTCAAGGGTTCCCCGAGGCATCATGGTGGGACGCCAGTCCCTGACGGCGCCTCTTCGAGACCTTGTTGCTATGCCTTTCCCAGGCACAGGCCGGAGTCTGGATTAAAATATCGGGGCCAGCTGTGCATCTCTGCTGGGAAGCTCCCCTTGCAGCTGAAATAATAAGATGAATGGACGCGGTATTTGCCAAGGGGCTGCCTCCCTTTCTCTAGCCAGATCGCGCTCCCTAGACACGGCCCGAGGGGTTCTGCTTGACTTTCCGCGTCGCCGCCGTCTTTTCCTCCGCCCTTAATTCCTTTCTTGAGTCTTTCTTTCTGTGTCCAGCGTTTGTTGTTGTTGTGATTGTTGTTGATTTACTTCTTCCTCTTCCTCCAGCGTCAAGACTACACGACATATAGGATACGTGGTTCTCTTATCACCTGGTCCTCGGGCGCCTGAACGTCCCCCGAGATGTTCAAACCCCTCTCACTCAAAGATGTCCCTCTGAAGGAAGGTCGTCTGCCACTGGCCGTCCCCAGCCCAAGGGAACCACCGTCGAAACATAACCAGAGAGTCCGACAGATAGCTCTAGTGGTCCTCGTGGTCCTGGTCGTTCGGTCAGCCATCTTCTACTGGTCCTCCTCCTCGTCGGCGTCATACGATGGTGTTGGGTCCTTGAACGAAGCAGTGGGCTCCGTGCCCAGAACCGGTACTGCGCCAGCGCAGACAGAAGAGACGCATTTTCCGACACTCGACGTTGATACCGGCAAAGTATCTGAAGAAGGGCCCCAAGGCCTCCCTCCTCATAAACCCCATCAGGTGCCCCTAGCTAGCAAGGAGGATGGGCTCGGCAGGACAGCCTCCAAGTCACCAGCAGAGGTCCATTTCTCGCCTAGGCCTGGCTTCAATGATGCTCTTTTTAAGATCATCAACCTGCTACCCAGCGAACTCGAAATGCGGGGCCTCCTTCGCCCGATCGAGCTCACAGGCGAACAGCGACTCCGGGAGTTAGGCATGCTTGCGCGCAAGTACAAGAAGTACTTCGATGCGTGGGAGGACCTGCATGTTGTGACGGACTCGGACGGCGGCTACGAGATCAGGGATGACGTGATTCCCTTTCTTCGATACCAAGCCTCGACTGCCTCTTCCAGCATAGATCATGTCGAGCTGGTCAACAAGATACACGCCTATGAGGGTTTCCGCCGGTTGCTCGTTCAGCTGGATGATCTCCTCTTCCCCTTCACAGCGCCTTACTTCCCTGACCACATGACACTCCGCTCACACCTCAAGAAGGGTGGCCGTGGTATTGTGCTTACCGCAGGGAACGATCAAGTCACATATCTTCTCACCCAGATCCCGATCCTCCGCCAGCTCGGCTGCAACCTGCCGATCGAGGTCATGTACGTCGGCGACAACGATCTCAACCGCGACTCTCGGCAGGACCTCGAAGACATCGAAGGCGTCATCACGCGAGACATCGGAGCCATGGTAAATCCCGTGGGGTGGAACATCGCCAGCTGGGCCGCCAAGCCCTTTGCCATATTGCTGTCAAGCTTCCGAGAGGTCATCTTCATCGACGCGGACAGCTTCTTCTTTAAGAATCCCGAGGTCATGTTTGACTACCCCGAGTACGTCGACACCGGGGCCTTGTTCTTCCGTGACAGGCTGATCATGCCCGAGAGCAAGAAGAGCTGGCTGCAGTCCATCCTACCGCAGCCTGTGTCGCGGAACGTGAAGCAGAGCCGGCTGTGGAAGGGGGAGAGTGGACACCAGCAGGAGAGTGGAGTACTTGTCGTGGATACGCATCGACATTTCCTGGCGATGCTGTTCGTGTTGCGGATGAATGGGCCAGACCGGGAAGGAGACAAGTCCAAAAACCAGGTTGGCGTGTACGATATGGTCTACGGTGCGTCCACCCTTGAGGAACACAAGGTTTTCCGCGCCCATCATGCCAGGTTCTTTTTCTAACGAGAGATTTGCAGGTGACAAGGAGACGTTCTGGCTCGGCTTCGAGCTCGTTGGAGATACAGATTACGCCTTCCACCAAGGTGACGCCGGCATCATTGGCGAGCTCGAGTCCATCCCTGAACCCATCCCCGAGCCGAGACCAGACGACGAGAACAGAGCAGAGGACAGGGAGTCTCAAGACACCTCTGGCGACCTCGCCAGCACGGAAGGGAACGACACCGACACCAGCGCATCTGAGTTGCTGCCTAGAGAGCCCCCGAAGCCTAAGATCTGCTCACCGCAGCTTCTTCACCTCGACACGCAAGGCAAGCCGCTCTGGTTCAACGGCGGACTCGTGCGCAACAAATTCCTCGACAGGCGGGAGTGGAAGTTTGGATCCTGGGACTCGTTCCTGATTGAGCCCCGCGACATCAGGGAGCCGGGCGCTTGGTTCCTAGGCGATGCCAATATGTGCTGCCTGACGACGGATCACCACCTAAAGGGTGAGCTCTCTACCCAAGAGAAGGATCTCCTTGCCGATATGGTCAAGCAGGCCAGGAAGATTGGCATTGCCACTTAGACGGGAAAGGAAGCCTAGGTCCCTTTGGAAACTTATGGGCTCTTTGGATATGACTTTAATATGCTAATGACAACTTTTTTTTTTTCTGATAAAAAACGATATTACTTCGTTGTACATGGTGTTTGTCGTATTCGATTTGTAGGAAATCGCCGCCTTCTATCGAGCATGTCTCTCTCCGGTTCTCCGAGCTTGTGACCAAATGCTTGGTTTCCTTGAAAACTGTTTTCTCCCTCCTACTCACTCTTAACCTATGTCAGCAATGTAAGTGAGACATATATAATAAGCAGAATAAGCTCTGTGTATGGCTGAAGTGTGGGAATAAGAACGATATTAGAATCATACGCACAACAAAAGCAGGTCTAGTCAAATCGGTGGCTTTGATAGCGCAGCAACGCCCGCTCTTGGAAATGATGGGTTCATGTTCAGCAGTTACAGACGTCTTGTAAGTTGTATCTTGAGGTTTGGGAAACTGGCTTCGGGGATCGATTGAAATTCGCTAGAAAGTCTGGACCTAAATTATTCCCTCCCCGATCTTGTGGCTCGGGATGGTGGAGAGCCTCACCTGGAGAGGAGTGCGATCAGGCATTGAATGTATACCGTAATCACCAGGTTTTATCAACGAGAAACTCTTGAGGTCTTGATACAAATCATTCAGCCGAGCTGTGCTTGAGAAGAAATTAGAAGCTTCTGATGTACGTATCTCACGAACCTAGCATCAGAGTATGCTAGTGATACCATGAATCCGATCGATGACGCTAATCAGGATTCGGACGGGCTTGTCTCCACTCCACCAAAATTTGTTGCGGTAGACCCCATGTGCTTAGCCACTAGCATACTTAATGTCTGATGCTCACATTTCTTTCAACAATCAACAGGCCTGTTGGCCCAATGGCAAGGCGTCTGACTACGAATCAGGAGATTGCAGGTTCGACCCCTGCACAGGTCATAATTTTTTCATTTTCTTACTGTCTCCCTTTTCTTCTCTCTCTGTCAATCAATAGTTTAGAGCGAGAAATGTGCGTGGAAGACGTCCGGGGATTTTTCTTTTTTCCAGCTGCGAGGCGATTGTTCACTGAGTGAGTGGCTATGGCGTGGGATACCTGGCTCAAAACATCTCGACTGCAAATAGCCGTATATAGTTGGCATGGAAGATCATTCCGTCTACCGTTTCTAATTCTTGATGTGCTTTTCACAATGTGCGACAATCAAAAAGAGTGATCATTCATAAAATCTGTAAAATTTGTCGAATTCTTGCCCTCTTATTCTTTTCCAGAATCAATACCGTTTAAAATTAGACGGCTTTATTAATTATGCCCCAATAACTTGACTGCTTGTACATGATATTGAGGTGGCTCAGACGTGTGTTTGTGAAAGACTCCGCCGTCTGATAATCACTTGAGTCCTCAGAATGGAGAAGTCCAACGCCTCCTAGATGGCAAAATCATGCGGCGAGTCACATGTCTAACCTTTCACAGAAGGCAATGGTGGCGTTTCCGATCGGTCTTGAGCTAAAGGCACTTTACATACCATTCAAGCAGTGTCGCTATGAGAATGATGGCGGGATCCGTTGGAAATCTCTTGCACTGCCGACTGTGGGAACACCTCAACAGCCCTGAAACTTGAGTTGTCCACAATGGATCGACAAACCTTCGGAATGGTGCTATACTAGGACTGAAGTAATGAGAACCGTCAATTTTGTGGCAAGACATATTCAGAGGCCTCGTCATTCTATGGGCCAAAATCCAGAGCCTCAGATGTTAAATCGATATCTTAACCAAATGTTGCGTAGTGGGCGTTACATGATACGACGAATGTATATATACATACATATATACACGTACTTGCGTGTCTTCTTCCCAGGGATGCCTCGGTATCTTAAACCATTGAGTCTGATTAATTAGCTGATCACTGGCCAATCTCCCGCCACAGTCATGGAGGGATGTAGGACCTGTGTCGCGAGACTTAGGACCCGATATTTGGTTGCGTACAACATTGGCTAGGTGGTCGACAGAAGCTGCATCTCATGTAGTTGTAAAGATGTAGGACCAAGGGGTTTCGGGCCGTTTGTTACTAATACTTACGGTATATGGTCTGGTCAATCTGCTATCAGGATTGTTGCTAAGGAGGCTCATTTACACCCCCCACCTCGAAGTCTTGACCAGTCATATTGTGTGCTCTTGACAACCTCAAGCTTCACACTCGTGACTAAACTCACAGTTTCGGTACTCGCTTTCGGGACCCGGTCTTGAAGCCCATCCTGGTCGTCGGTCTCGACGAGAAAATCGCGACGCACACGCCCATGAAGCGCGGTATTTACATACCCAAAGAGCGATGCCAACATCGCGACACTACAGCCGAATTCCCCTGGAGTTCTTGAGGCGAGACGATGCCGACACATCACCGCCATTGAGGTCCCAATAATTTGCGCAGCAAGTGGCATGATCAGTGTTGGCACTGAATTATATTGCGCCCCCCTCCCCCGTTGTCGCTCTCGCGTCTACCTTCGCGTCGCAGCCCTGTGGGGCTCACTGACCCGAGCCTCTGGCCTCCTATATGGCGATCCCACATAACCTTATTTTCTTCTCATCCTGTTCGTTTTTTCTTTGTTGGAAAACCCCTCTATCCATGTTGCATGGCGTCTGCTCATGCATTTTCTCCACCGTTGAACTCTCAAGGGCAGCACGGGATTCGGGGTTGGCCAGGCATGATGCGGGCGGGATCCACCGAGTGAAGGATGTGAGAGTCTAAAAAGCGATACCGAAGCTTGGAATAGTAACCACCATGCTTTGAATCGGGAGAATACTAAACCTTGTCAAACCAGGGGAAACAGCCACGCTCCGGTTCTGCTGCGAAGTATATCAGCAACTTAGTTTCTGATCTAGACCATTCTAACGAACCACCGATCCACCTTGCCTATCTTCGTAGGAAGCCAAGTTCGATGCGGAACGTGCAAAGCTGCAAAGTGACGCAATTCAGGAATAACCTTGCAGTGTCTTTGCAATGTAAGCTCTTGCAGTTCCAAATCTTTTCAGCGTAGTTCCAAGACATTGTGGTTGGTTGACTACTATTGAGCAACGGCGATGTTCTTCTGAAAAGCCAGCTGGCATGGTCCAATTAAACCTTTTCTTTTTCTTCATTTGTTCTTCAAATGTATTGAAGAGTGAACAGGCACCACCACAATATCAGCGAGTAGGCTGACGGGAACGGGAGAACCCACTTGGTTGACGATCGCTGTCAGACACAATAGGGCAAGTGGTGTGTGGGTCGGACCCGGCCGCGGGGGTATCCCTATTATCCACAGATCGTGCAAAGCGGTTAAAAATGCGAATGATTTTGCACAGGAGACATTACCTGCTGAAAGAAGGCTGCTTTCAGAAGACCAGAAATTGAGGCGACTCGAGTTCGAGTCCATGACAATCATGACGTAATTAGTAGTGCATCTAGCGGCTCAAAAAAGAGGGCTTTTTACTTGGGACGGCCCACATAGAAACTGGTCGGAAAGGTCCGCTGGCGTTGCTATTATGGTATGTGCCTGTGTGTTGAAACCTGAAAAGGAACCTTGAGCCTCGAGATAGAAAACAATGATGAGACTGGTTTTGTTGATGATGCGCTCGCTTCTGTCCATGACACGCCTTAGCATGTTTTGATGGGGAGGCGAGGCGATGACGACGTCGACAAGGTGTATGTGACTGCCGCGTAGCGTTCAACCCGTCCGGTAGGAGAGGCTAGCGAGCATAGTCGTTCCTTATCATGTTAAGAGATCGGATTGTGTAGAGCCTCGCTAGTGATGTGTCATGAGAGGAGGGGGCAAGAATGGCCCACCTGTAGTACGACTACTGTATACAATGCAGGTGTGGCGATTTCGAGGGAACAAGGGGGGCCTTCTTCAAAGTATGCATGTGATTCCATAACTTCTGGCGAAATGCTGCAAGTTTAAAATCTGTCGCGTGGTTCTTTTCCTAGGGTCAAGGATCATAGGGAATTGGGCATTGCCGCAAACAGAGCGCAGAAGAAAAATGCTGCGAATGGAAGAGTGGGCACGGTAGAAGGTTCGATTTTTTTTTTATTCCTCTTCCCTCATTCCACATGGACGGGGAACATCGCGCGTAATCGCGAGGCCCGAGAATTGGGATCCGGAACGGACCCGGGCGCCGCAATGGACGAAAAGAGCTGGGAGTCGATCCCTTGGCCGATCATACTGGGTAAAATTTAGCATGGTGATGTAGAAGGTCTCACTCCAAGGCTGCCACTCAACGCCTTCGAATTACCAGTCCACAACGCGATAGACAGGCTGACACAAGAGGAACACAGAGAATGATGCTCACTCTGCGAGTTCCCTTGCTATCGATCTAGAGGTTGTCTGCACTGGGCCGAACTACCGACAGCAAGTCTTATAACTAAATTGTGCTATAACTTTTCCAGGATCGGCACCGATTCGGCGCCGGTCACGCTAAGGGCGACTCGCTAGTGATACGGACTTGGACGGATTCAGTCGATTCCTACTCCGTTTCCATGTACTTTGATTCCGTTTGGGCGTTTTCCTCTCTTCCTTTTTTCGGCGCCTTCTGCCGGGGCCGCGTCGACCCACATGGGAGCTCAAAAGAGCTCGAAGCGTGACGGCGAGGTACTATGTAATCATAGGATGTGGCACAGTGAAGGCTAGCAGTCTCACTGCTGAGGATAAGTAGTCATTCAATCAATTGTCTGGACCTGATTTTGATGGAGGGCACTACTTGCTGAACGAAACCCACAACACCAATTGTACGTGCAACAACCCGTATAACAATTCGTCCGAGTGACACCAAACCGGAAGCCAAAAAGAAAGGGAAAATAAACCAGTTAAACCGGAATAGAAAAGAAAAGGCCCATGGGGGTCCCCCATTGCAAATGCCGGTATGACTCAAATCCGCCCGCGAGGTCCAAGGCTGGACGGCTCTGTAAGCAAGCGGGGAATCATAACTATGGATTTCTAATGCGACCTCGCCTTACCAACCAAGCAGAACTTGCCAACGTCAGCCGCCTGCTGTTTGAGGGGTTTGAACTGGGAGGCAGGGGATTGCCTGATTCGGCATCTGAGACTGAGAACAAAGAGAGAACACCGGACATAACAGTACAGGGTCTTGTTCCCCTCCCTCTCTCTCTTTCTCTCTCGTCTCTTGTCAGCCCTACTGTCATAGCACTCTGGAATTATAGAATGCTCAATGCCTTGTGAAGGCCCCTGGTGTCCCAGGTCCCAGGCCCATATTCCCGTCCCCGTTAACTCCTGGCCCCGAGTAACTGCGGTGATAATGATCCTCACTCTCTCCCCTTCCATCTGTCCAGCCTAGGAGCGGTGGGCACGCTCATCAAGCTTTTGAGCCGCCTGGGCGTGTTTTGCTTCATGCTGGGAATTTAGCACACGATTGTAGAGACGGAGGTCTACCATTTCTTATTTTGATGAGAGGGAGGTTGAAGCCCCATTCCAAGTCAAGGTTCTCGCTCATCCATTGATTGGATTGCATGACGAGTTGTTTGCCTGTGGGCTAGACCGATCCACTGATCACCACCACAGCTGATGTCATGTAGGTCCGAGCCCTGAGGGGAAATTGTAATAGGTTCCTTTTTCCTTATCTTTCTTCTTGCTCTCTTCTTTTTCCTCTCTCTTTCTTTCTGCCTTTTCTTTCTCGTGGCAGAGCAGGAGACAGAACAGCCTAGGGGTGGAGGAAGATGATGAGAGTCTTGGGCCAAAGAGTCAGTTAAGACGAGCTAGCAAAGCGTACTAGTAGTCTTATCAACTGAAGGTTTTGCCCTAGTCCCGGGTCACTCCGTTCAGAGCGCGAGCTGCGCTGGGGCTGGGCTTGAAGGTTGTATCCTCTTGTGCCTGGAAATATCAATGAACTGGCTGAGCAAATGTACTTCGGAGACTTTTTTCCCTCCTCTTTTTCTTGTTCAGGGCCATGTTGAGGACTAGCCCCCCTTCTGTGTACAGTCAGCCAATCGGAAACAAAGCGAGTTATGCGAGCCGTCGTAGTTCAGGGTTGTTGCGTCTTTCTTCGGTCCTGCTGTGCAATTTGCTTGGCTCTGTCTGTGACCTGGGCTAACTGCAGGGCTTACTCAGAGGTCCGGCCGCCGCTCAGTTCTTCCAAAGTTCACTCGAGGTAACTGCTTAGTATCTCGAGATCTCGTCAAGGGGGGGGGGGGCTCCTTCCATCCTTGCATTGATTGCCTTGCAGGGGAAGGCGCACTACTCCCTCCAGACTCCTCCAGAGCTGCTCCTGCCTTCATAGCATACACTATGGTAGAGAAGGATCCCATACTTGGGCATGAATAACATTGAAGAGCGACGAGGACCACGTCTTCTGACGTACGAACACGACGCAACTGTGGCTCATCCACATCCACACTCGAGAGCGAGGGGCGCCGCAACAAGAATAATGGGGCTTGGCGATGTTGAGACTCCCAAGTAACTTGTCTTGGCAACCAAAAGCAGAGGTATGTTCATCACCATTTTTGATCCGCCACCTTCATGGAAAAGCATAACGCTTCGTTCAATCGTCTGATGTAGAGTTTGTTCGGTACCTTCAGATCCCTACATGGTATTCCACCAAGCTCTGGGCTGTCACCAAGCCTATCACATGGCACAGGGCGAGACCCCTCTAACCCCCAGCGCAATGCCTAGGAACCAAGACATTCCAAGACCTTGCTGGTGTGTACAGTGTTCGGGATGACAGACTTGTCCGGTCTTGACATACGATCCGACCGGGGTTTTCGTACAACCTCACCAGGCTGACACATTCTCTCCAGAGATGAAAAACATTTGAATCCTGCTGGGGGAGAGGTTTTACGCCCAGGGATATCCTCATATTAAAAAAAGGGAGAATGAAATGTTAACTCCAGGCAAACCCAGCATCATCAGGTGTCAGACGGTCGCCTGCCAAAGCCCGAGGACCCGTAGCGACCTTGTCCTTTCCGGAAACAGGCGACGGTCACTGAGCAAATTGCCGCCCCCCCCCCCAAGAGTGCTGCTGTGCTGAAAGGGGGGGGGCAGGATACATAGCAAGGTCTCCGTGAAGAGAGACAGAGAGAGAGAGAGAGAGACAAAGAGAGGAACTTAGCAGCTACCACAAGGAACTTCTGGGCATCGACGTCCACAGCAGGGCTCTTAAAAAGTATCCATCCATCCGCTTCTTCGGACATATCATCTGGCCGACCGTTACGCCCGCGCGCCCGCGAGGTTTTTACGGTAACGGAGCACGACAAACCATTTTTTGCTGGGCCAAGCAAAAGGCTCCACCCACGCTGGTAGCCTCCCAGCCCAAAAAAGGCACCACCCATCAGCCTGGGAATCTACTACTCACAGTACTCCCAAAGTACATACGCTGATACGGTGACTCTGGCAGGGAAGTTTATTCAGCGCGTCACTTTTGCAGGGGTAGTCGTGGTTCGAAACCGTTTTGTAAGGGCCCTATTTTCTCCCCCTCTGCTCTCTCTCTTTCGCGAACGGTACCGGCTCAGTGCAGCGGACCTTTCTAGCATCATAATTACCGCCCGCAGCCCGAGGCCTGTAAGTCTATTACATATCACATAATCCCCAGCGCCCTTCAACAGCTTCCTGCACCTCGTCTTGTTGGTCTTCCTTCTTTTTCCTTCTCGTCATTATTAATTTGTCTCCTCTCCACCTCTTGAAACTTTTGTCACCAAGTGATCGCTCTCACTTTTCCCCTCCTCCTCCTCTTCCTCCTCCTCCACACAGTAGATACCCACGGCTTCACAGACCCAACATAAACACACATACACCATCCACTTGCTGCTACTCCTACCTCAGAAGTGAGCTTCACAGTTGCCGTATCTGGGACAGTCAGTGGCTTACATCGCGGCATTCTCCCCCTCCCCCCAAAATCAGCCAGCCACCTTCCTTCAAACTTACACACGGGGTTTTCGCCCTGACAATTCCAATCCACTCTATTTAATTTGGGCCATCATTTCACGGGATCATTCAGAGCTGTGGGACAAACTCTTGTGTGAAAGATCAACCACCACCCTGAATTAACAAACATAAAATCCAGCCAACCATGGAACGTAGCCTACCCAGTCCTCCAACGGAGGAGCACATCAAGGTGCAGACGGTGAAGCGCAACAGCTCCAGCGCCAAGTCGACCAAGCCCGCACACCGCACCTCGAAACGGGCAGCGGGTACTGCTACCACCGCCCACTCACACCTGCACTCGCCCATGTCGCCAACAGATAGCCACTCTACAGCACTTTCCTCAGTCGCCGACAGCAGACATAAGAGAGTGTGGAAGGCATGCGAGAGGTGTCGGATGAAGAAGACAAAGGTAAGGAGCAGAAAAAGAAGGCAAAGTCCGGCGGGCTGTTCTGGTTATGTCCCTGAGTCAGCGTCTATCTGCCCCTGGCGTGGGTGGATGGATATCACTGACTGATTGACCTGAGTGAACTGACTTGCTGACTTGGGTTATTTATTACCAATTCTAGTGCGATGGAGAGTTTCCTTGCAAGAGGTGTAAGGACGACGGCCTGGTCTGCACAGCAGGCGTGAGGAAGAAGACGGAGTTCAAACAATTACCCAGAGGGTACGTTATTAGTCCCTGCCACGCTTCTTACTTTCTATCTATCACTGTTACTCTTATTTCTACATGGTCCCGCTTGCCTTCTCCGCCATTTCAAAATCAACAAAAACACCGTCTCACATGTACATAATTCTTCTAGGTACGCTGAGGTTCTAGAGAACACCCAATTCGCCCTCATCGCCACCGTGCAGAAGCTCTACTCGATGGTCCGAAACGGCCAGCAGTGGGATCTCGGAGAGCCAGACCTCAACGACCGCGGACAGCCTGTAATACACAACATCGCCCAGAAACTGGGTTGCATACGACCCAACAGCGACGTTGACCTGCCCGTCCACTCCGTCTTCCCCGAGGACGAGCAGGGACTGGCCGACCTGGCCTCACAGCTTGAAGCCCAACAACAACAGGAGGATGCAGTTTCAGTGGGACAACAGCAACAGCAGCAGGGACAGCAGCAGAAACAGCAAGCCGTCGTGATGACGGGTTCATCAAGATCCGACCGGAGTAGCTCGTCGGAAGCAGACCATTCCGACTTCGAAGATTACCGCAGAGCTGCTTTTGGGGGTGGTCGGGCGAGCAGCACCATGACGCTGAGCCCGGCCAGCCTCACGTACGACTCATTTGATAGCTACTCGGCGCCGCCCTCCGAAGGTCTCCCGAGCGCAACCTCTCCCACGAATCCCATCCCGCCGACCTTTGCGCCATGGATGAGGCCGTCCGCGATGGCCTTCAGCAACACCCCACCCCAATTCGTACAGTCATCAGGTTCCTTTGTGGGCATGGATATGCTGAACCAGGGCCTCCTGGAGTCCGAGTTTGGCACTATCAAGCCACATGTGCTGAACTGTCCAAATCCCGAGGTGATGATGGGCATGGGGGATCCGATGATATACTCTGGGTTCGATGCCGACTCGATGCGACTGTGATCGACGGGACGGGATGGATGGGATGGATGGTTGGACGTATGAGAAATTCACCGCCGATCAGATGCAAAGAAGAAAAGGAAAAACTAACAGAGTGTGGTGGCTGGCCACGCTGGGCACAGAGGATCCATTCGTCATAATGGTCAGGGCTGGGGCTGGAATTTCAATGACTGTTGGGTCGGGATTATCTCTGCACAACATGGAGAGGGCGTTGCAAAGATTAGGGTGACTGGGGCTTCCAACAGCGTTTTACCGCACGGCGTTTCAAGAGTATTGATGATTTTGTTTCTCTCTTCGTTTTTCTTCTTCTTTCTCCTCTTTTCATTCGTTTCTGGTCAACAGGGGGGCATGATTGCATTCCACGAAATGTATGAATGGAGAGACGATGGCCTAGAGGTTTTGGCTTTCTAAATATGGTTTATATGTACGACTAAAGAGGATGGGGCCAGCTCCCTCACGATTCTTTATTATTGTCTTGTTTCTGCGAACCCGGTCAACAGAGACGAACCGAAGCGCGCTGGAACCGGGTTGGGGGCCCCATACAACCAGGGCGCAAAGAATGAAACAAATTGAATACACCGCTCGCAATTACTACTATTGTAAACCCTCATCTTTCTCTCTTACACTCAGTCTCTCACATTTCATTTTGCGTGTCCGTGCCCCGTCCATGCAGCCCCGTCTCTGGTTCTGTTCCCACCATTACCTGTCGTACCACCATGTGAAATAGGCAAAGGTACACTGCAGATGTCGCCTGACGTGCGCCTTTTACCTACTTCTCGGATAAGCAAGGCAGACCGAAAGAGAGAAAGTACAGCCGGTTCATTTGGGTACATGATAATTCGCTGCCCCATAGCATGTGTGCATTATGGTTGCAATAGGTAGTATCTTTGTTCGGCGCCGAGATCGCTCCATTTCTCGGAGGGCGGGGGCATCATCCCCTCGGCTTGTCATGCGCGAAAGGGCGAGCCACTCTATTTTTTCTTCTTCTTTTTGTTCTCTATTTTCCGATGAGCAGCAGCAACGGAGTTTGTTCTTTTAGTGATGCGTACTAATGGTACATTCTGACTCTCTGCAGGCCGTGCAAAGGACCACAGACGGAGCGTAATCCCCGCCTTTGCGTTCTCTTCGTCTGTTCTTCCTCCTTTCTTTTTGGTGTTGGCTGCACCTAACAATTTCCCGCCCCGTCCCTCTAACCTCGTCTCGTTCCTGTTTACCTTGTTACTGTTTGATCACTACCTTCTATTATATAAGCCAGTAAAGCACCTACTGTATCTTTCAAAACTTGAACAGTAGGGTACATATGGTAGTAGTCAAGCGAGGGTCCTCCCCCTCCCGGGCCCAGCCATCTTTAAGCACGCCGCACATATTGTCCATGCCTACTATGTACGGGATTTCTCAAGATATCTCAGATGGAAAATCTGTGTATTGAACCCCTCCACCCCTGAGTAGGTACTAGCGGTACGTACTTACATATCCGCCTCTCCCCGCCGGCGGCGTCCCTGTCCATGTACGTACAGGATATACTATGTACCAAGCTCGCATGCCGTTGTCCTTTCACCAACGGTGTGGGCAACGTGCATGCATATCTACAGGCTAGGGTCTCCACTGAGCCAAGAGGAATATGCAGGCTGGCTGCATGCAAGGGTGGGGGAGGGGTGGGCGTGTGTGTGTGTGTGTGGCCCGGCGGTGTCCCTTAGGACCCCACTCACACCCACTACACACACCACACCTTTTCTTGCTAGACTCCACCAACAGACGAAAGACAAATAGAAGAAGGGGAAAAAGAGAGGGGGATGGCGTGGGTAAAGGAAAGAGAAAGAAAGAGAGGGAAAAAAAGAAAAGAGGGCGTTGGTGCTGATGCTCATAAGAAGGAAGAAGTCCTAGGCTGGATGGATTACAGAACCGGAGATACAGGGTCTCAGAGCAATTCTCACAGGCGGTGGCGCAGCAACAAAGGCGGCGTAATATTCGTCCTACCCGCCCGCTATTCGGCTTCGGCGTTTTTTGTTTGCAACAGATGGAGGAAAAGAGGTATTTGCCATAGTAGTATGGGGGGAGAGAGAGAGAGAGAGAGATAGGATGAAGAAGGGGGAGGGCAGCTTGTGGTTAGATGATTCTGTGTTTCATTCCAAAACCTCAGAGGTCTGCGCATTTTAGACTTTGCAGCGGATTCAGATACGACGTCTGGTCTGAGGATGTCTAGACGACAACAACCACGGGACAGGATGAGTCAGAAGTTTTGAGTGAGAAAGAGTGAGAAAGGGACAAAAATGCTACACCGGTGATGATGAGTTCAGCCATCCTTGAAACCTGAAACGTTACCCCCCTTCACACAACAATCCTACCTTATCGTCGCAGTCGTGAACTGCTGCGCTGCCCCCAATCCTCCCCTCTTGATCAATAATACTACGACTGGCATGCACACAAATATGACCCAGACGATTATGACGTGACGTGCTTCAGCTAAGTACCGTAGCAAAGTCAGTTTTGGACCTTTTGCGGCGTTTAGATTGACCCGCAGCCGTATTTCGTTTTCGCGGAATGCTTCCTATTACAGCCTACACGTGTCGACCCCAGCCAGCCTCGTGGAGGAAGAGCCAATGGAGAGACGGCCGAGGAAGGGGGGGGCGTCATGACATGCATTATTCAATTCCTTCTCGCTAAAGCAACCTGTCACAGCGTCTTGCTGCCCACTCCCCCTGTACAAGCCATCATCAACCCGCCCCCGGGCCCCCCAAACTCTTGTTTGTGAAAAATTATTGGTAGGGGAAAGGAAAGAAGATTAAAATCAAGCCTGCCTCACATGTAGTCCCCAGACTTGATGGCACCTGTATATGCAGGTAGCCGATCAGCACATATTTACGAGGTTCTTCTATCCAAAATCCACCCACCAGGAGAAGGTGGAGAGAGACGTCGACGAAAGAGGGGGGGGGGGGGAAACGGAGGAAGTGGATGAGTCGGCCTTAGGCGAACGGCATCTAACGTTGACTCGTCCTGTTGTTTTGTCTGTCTCTCTCACACACACAAGATTCACAGTCCTGTAAGATGCAAGCCACACATCATCATTCCTGTGGAAAGAGGCTGCCTTCTCCCGTCGACTTTCCATGAATACATACCAGTACGCCTAACCACCTCCCCCCCAAAAATATTCACCAAATTAATCCCGCCCAGGGGAGGAGCGGGGCGGCGTGGAGGACAGTAACAGGCCGAACCCGACCGTCCGTCAGCTCGGACGAATATGCCAATACGCACTACGACAATAACACGGGAGCCTTTCTCTTTGAAACTGTCGCGCTTTAGAGGGAAAGGGGGAGGGGTACCTGTCAGATCGTGTGTGGAGCAAGAGACATGTGGTTTGACAGCTCCCTGTGTGTGTGTGTGTGTGTGTGGCTCATTTGTCCGTGGCTCTAATTCTCATGAGCAAGCACATGACTGATCCTGCTTCGGGGCGGCCACATAATTAACAAGGGCTCGGAACACAGGTTCGACCGCAGAGCATGTACCAGAATTCCCATGTTCCGCAGACAAGAAAACACAGGGTCTCCTCGTTCATAACGTCTGCGATAATTTGACGCAAATAGATTCAAGGAGATTGGCGGGGGGACGCGTTGTCAAATGTGGCTGATGGAAACGATGCAAATCTAACCCGCACGTGGCGGATGATCCTGAAGCTTGTTTCCCCCTTCCCCCAGCTCTTTAGAGGGCTGACAGCCATGTTCCAGAAAACAATCTGTACGGATGCAAGAGTGAGGAAAAGTGAAGGGCTGAGGCCAGGCCCCTTGTCCACTGAAGTGGGACCCCAGGGTATCGACGCCTCTTTTTTTTGCTTCTTGTTTTTATTTTTCGGATTCGGAGCGACCAAGCAGAGCGAGACCCGTTGAGCTGGGCCCTAAGTCAGGTAGGGCCTGTCATCGTACAGTAGGGCAGTCTTTTGGAATCCTGCCCCCCCCCCCCCTTCCCCAGGAGGAAGGATTCAAGGTGCCCTCGACCTTACCCTACCTAGCTCTGCCTTCTGTTTTTTTCTTTTCTCTTTTCTTTTTCTTCTGATACCACCCACCGTTTTTGCCCTCCGTTTCAATCCGGCCACGGAGTCGGAGTTACGGATCTAGCCGTGAAATCCGCCCCGCAAAAGTCCACACCTCCTTTCCCCCAGGAGTCTTGCTCATCAACAGCATTGATTACTCATTTGGGGTACAGGCAGCAGTCATAGTGCTCAGTCTCTTTTTCTCCCCCTCCCTCTGCTTTGTGGCATCAGCATAGGAATAAAGAGGGCACTGCTCAATCCCCAAGAGCAATCGTCCCCTCTCGGACCCAGCGCTGTGGCTGGCATGCTGCGACACGTTGCAGGGCTTCCAAGGCTTTGCAATTTTAGGAAGACCATACTTTTACATATCCTGCACTGCTCTGTTCACCTTGATTGGTTGATAAATGTCTCTCGATCCAAGAGAAAGTGGTCTTTTTGTGCGGTGAGGGCGTGTCGTTTGGCAGCTCGGCCGCGGCCTTCCCATGAATCGTGCGGCCCGGCGCCGAAAAAGGGGGGAGGGGTCGTTGCCGACAACACCTCTCTCTCTCGCGCACCTGCTGTCAGCTCTTTGTGGCGGGGCACCACGCCGTTCCCTAGCGAGTACGATACCGAGCAGCCACGTAGCAAGAGATTCTAGTTCAACAACTATTTACCAACTCTTCACACTCGCTCTCTCTTTCTCTTTCACAACTCTTTCAATCTTGGCGGATTGAGGATGCCAGAAGAAAGAGAGAGAAAACGGAGTCTAAACCCACAACCCCATCAAAGAAAGGCCTTAGTGTCAAGAACGCAGAAAACTTTTCTAGAACCCGTCTCGGAGACGGTGTGTGCGGCTTATCGTAGTTCCCCGATGTCCCGCCGTGCGGGTTGCCAATCTTTGGGGTGGGAGTCAACTCGTCAACTCGTCAAATCCGAATATTGTGGAGAGTTGGGCTGAGGAAGTGAATGAGCAACATACAAATCTCAGAGCATGATTAGAAGTGGATAAATCTTGCCTCGGTCTCTCGACTTTTTTTTACTACGGTATTGCTAGACTGAAGAGTTAGGGCAGGTCTGTTCAGCTGTCCTCAACATTGAGATCTACATAAAAGTTACCTGGAAAATTCGAGGTGACGAGTAAGTTTGCAACAATTTCTCTTTTCTCCGTCTCTCGACGGTCGGTGGTGGTATCCTGGCCAGCATCAAGACATTCATTGCATTCGATGAGATGATGATGTTGACAATCAGACGGTTCTGGGGTGCTTCAACAGCCGGCAATGCGTTCGGCTTTGCGTTTTCTCACCAGCCATGGTGTCAGGGCGCAACAAGACCCTGGCTTCAGTGTGGGCGCTTCACATGCACTCACTCCATTCCTCACCCACTCAACTGCTGCGTGATCTAACACATGCGGCTTCTATCCACACGGATATCCACTCATCCCTCCGGCTCTTTTGTTTCTTTTCATCTAATCCCCACAACAAGTCGTTCCTTTGTCACTTTTTCCTCAGAAAAGCCATATGCAGCCGAGGCGATCAGCTTGATATCTTGAGATGTGCCCCCATCCTTTTTCTTTAGTCGCAAACCCCTGTCCTCAAAGCGTGTAAGACCATTGGCTACTTTGGTCTCCAGTCCCATACTTAACCTCGGCGGAGTGTGGAAATGCCCTTCTCACACCATGTTTCGAAAACCCGCACACCCCAGTTGATCCGCATTTTTATCTTCTTTTTTCTTTGACTTGTGATCCACTTTGCTATCAGAGGAAGATAGAGTGAAAAGGAAGAAGGGACAAAGGAAAAGAAAAAAAAGCTCAATGACTGTTTAGAGGACCGACGACTCGTCGTATAGTCTGCAGGGGAACCGTAGCCGAGCGGCCGCTTTTTTTGGACGATCATCCCCCGTTTACGTTCACAGGGGGGGGCAACTTCAACCGACTGTTTGAACACACAAGTATGTGGTTGCCAAATAGCGTTGAGACTAATGAGTGATTTTGCTCTGATGCGCGCAGACCCCGTGCCAGCAGACCAGGATAGTTGATACCGCTGTTTTTGACCCATCGGCCAAGCCACCATGGATCGGCAAATGAGGCCATTCTTCACATGCTATATCAAGGGTTTCAGGGGGAAGAGGGGGACAGAGCGCACTGCCAAATCGGAGCGCGAACGAGCCAGGAAGAGGGGCCATCCATCAAAACCTCTGAGGAATCCCCGTCTTGTTCCCGGTTCGGGCCCGAACGGTACTAAAAGATGCGTTGTACATGGTCGTTCGGACCTTACGGGCTTTGGAATTGCACGGCCGGCCCTGAGCAAAATGTCTTGTCACGCTCATACAGTAACGCCTAATAGAGGACGGGGGGTCAGTAGGAAGCCAGCATCGGGGGATTCGGAGGAACCGTACCGATGAGTTCATCAGGTACAATCGTAACTCCACCCCCTCCCCGGCACCTTTGCATCGATGTACCCGATCTCGAACTGCGTACGAGGGATGAGCAACTGGTTTGGGAGCTTTCATGCTGTACTTGACTCCAAGTGAAGAAACGCGGGTCTGGATAGTAAAGGACTCACGACATACGCTTTGGAGCGTGCTTTGAGGAGTATCACAAGGCAAATTGGTGCAAAGAGCAACCTAAGTACTCAAATAGTATTGTGTCAGCCCTATTGACTTGACATCATCTAGACATTTCCCACAAGAGTCCTACTTTGGATTCTAGGTTTCAATTATCCCTTGTAGGGACTGAAGAAGTTGCTAAGAGATATCCAGTAAAGACACAACTGGTCATCATGCTCTCTAGGCTGACGAGACCTTGAGGAAGGGCGGCCAAAGTCCAAAATAGACTGACAAGCTCTATAAGAAGAAATTATCCCTTTTCGAAAAGAGGGAGTCAAATTGGAATGCTTTCATACTTACTCCCTGGATAGATTGTGCTGCCTTTAGTAGTGATGAACTCTTGTAATTCACATCAGACTCATCGAAACTAAGTGAGGTTGGCTGTTCTTGTGGCATAATGTTGATTTTGTATGTCTTTCAAAGTGCCATCTTGTTGGAATCTTTGGTAGCACAATTGCTCTTCAGGTACCATGAACTATTAGTGTGTGTATTACATTGGGTTTAGAAGGAGGACTAAACCTACAAGAACTACATTTGGGAAGCTTGACTTGGTGATTAAAGAGACACAAGCAAACCCAGTACATACGCCTCACCAAAGTCATGGTCAGCAAAGCCATCCTACATCTCCAAAGGCAGTATACTTGGGTAGTTGTAGTAGGTTGTGCCTGCCAAGTAGACTGGGAGTGTCGCTTTCTCACAGAAACAGATTGGCAGTTCGAATGTGAACCATATACCAACAGGTATCGACATAATTACGCTCATCTCCAAAGTTGTTGTGCCCCAAAGACTTCGCAGCCTACAACAAGAAGGAAGACCCAACCCTCCCCAACGTATTCTCTTTCCGTCCCTGTCTACCCTCAAAATTTACCTTCTTCCAGCCATACACCTTCACATCCTTTTCTCCTTCATTGACCAAGTGCGTATCCATTCCATGAACTGTTACAAGATTACCTTTGGTCATCAGCAAAGAGGACCGTTCCTACCATCGAAACAACCCCCGTGTATACGTCGAGGCTGACGCGCCACAAACAAACACAGAGCGAAATAAGGTCCCAGGAACGTGATCAACATGCCTCCCAAAGCTTCTAGCATCCAGAAGAACGCGCGCCCCTTCAACCTCACTGATGCTGAGATGACGGTTGCTCTATACGTCTGCAAGGTCTTGACTGATGATGCCAGCTACAAGGTATGTTGTCCCGATGAGCTCTATTACCTGCTTCAGTTGAAAGGCAAAGGGTGGCTGATAAGAACCATCTTGTGCGCCAGCTCGACGCCGACCAGCTGGCTGCCTTGACCGGACACTCCAAGCCTTCATCTGCCATGCGCATCTGGTACGTTTACGAAACCCAATCCCAGGTGCCTAGCACCATCTCCCATTGCCTCATTGCCTCCTTGAACCCCCACTGCCACTAACAACTGCAAAAGGTCCAACGCAAAGAAGAAGATGGTCTCCGCCGATTCCGCCGGCGGCGCTGGTAAGATGGAGCAGGCTTCTGCTTCCGATACCGCCACTCCCGAGGCCTCACCGTCCAAGATGGCCCCCACCAAGCGTGGCCGCAAAGCCAAGGACCCTGGCGAGGAGGCAATCCCCCGTGGCAACGCCGCCAAGAAGACCGCTGGACGTCCTCCTAAGCGCGTCAAGACCGAGGCGGGCTCGGCTCAGGAGGTTGAGGAGGAGAATGATGATGACGATATGGCCGATGAGGCCGGCTTTTGCGTTTAGGGGCTGGACACAGCTGGAGATGCATCGTGGTCGTGGACTAGACCGCTTTGCTTTCTGCTGAACACAGCGCTTCAACCCTTTACGGCTTCTCGGTCTGTCTTTTTTTCAATGGGTAATTAATCCGTTTCCTTCACTTCTGACGGTCAAGGTCAGGAAGGTGGTGCCCTTACAGCTCGCGGCGACTCAGCCCTCATGCCTTCCACGGCAAAATACATGCATTGACCTCACCTTTTCTTCATCCTGACTGCCCTGTGATACTGTCTACGGTAGCTACGCCAATCCCTTCCTCGCTACAGGACGCGTGTGAGACACGCCACGTCAAAATTTTCAAAGCCTGAGACTCCATTTCAGGGAACCCAGCCATGGCCATCTCCAATCAAATCAATACTTGCATTGAGATGGTTCGCCGTGTCGTCCCCTCACTTCTAGTTCAAGCGTCTACTCACTTGGATTTTGTTGACTCGCTACAGTGCCTCTGATCAAACGGTACTGTTTGCAAAGCTCGCTCTCAGTCACCTCATTGATATGCTATGTAGAAAGGACGATGTTCTACTGATATAGATGACTCCCTTGACGTTGATGTGGCTGGGATGCGCATGTTCTGTGAGAAAGATTTAACGTCGTTCTCTTGCTATGTTTCTTGCCAAGGATAAGGTGTAGACTTGTCCAAGAACTCGTCAAGACTCAGCATGAGAAACCAGAGAGGACATTCGAATTTCTTGTCCTTAAAAACAACACTTTTTGAGCTTGAAAAAAAGAGGAGAGTGATCAAGACAGGCCAATTAGGTACGGAGGATCTCGGACTACTCATGCTGGATGGCAGCATATTGTCACCCATGAGATGAACAGTTTTCGCCTTTCTTCTCTAGAAAGAAACTCTAAAGAATGGGGGATTCCAGGATCGGAGGCATGCCATTATGATACCACACATCCTTTGCCTTGTCTTTTGTAAACATGGCATGAATTATTCACTTTTGTCGCCCAGGTGCAGAGTTCTGGCCGATCAACACAGTCATGAGCCTTGACTGTGCATCTCGCAAAGATTCGCACCAATGGTGGACGTGGTGGGCCTTGAGAGGTAGTATAATGGAGAGTTTACCACCAAGACCTCTGTGATTGCGGTTGAGCGACATTATGAAGAACTAAATGGTTTATATCTTGGTTTAAAAAAACATAAAATATAGTTGAAGTCATTCGACCACTAAGTTACCTGCATAATCCATAGTACAAGTACTATGGTAGCAGTCCAAATACAAAATAGGGTTTCGTCATGACCCCACAAAGCTAAAGTATGGGAGGGGGGAGGGTCGCTCTCTATCGATAAGCCCCTCCATGATTCTTAGGCTGCCGAAGCGCACTTTACTGTCATCATCAACGTATGCTCCAGGTAACAAGTACTCCCGACAACTCGACTCAGAGGCGAAGAAGGCCTATTAATACCCGGGCGCAGCACTTGTCGATATGGATGGTATCGCTAAGAAGCCACAGGAAGACATCCTCCGGCGCCCGCTTTACAGTACGTTGCCGCAATGGAGCTTCAGCAGCGCAGGCCGACGAGACAGGCAGACAGATCACTGACGACATTTCATACACGCAGTCTACGACCTTCCGGAGGAGGTCCTGAACACCCTCACCTTCAAGGCTGACACAGAGAACCAGGAGCAGCAAGATTTCGAGACATCATCACCACCCCAAATTCCGAGTGAACGATCGCCGACGCCCACAGTCCCAGCCGCAGTTGGCGCACAAGCTTGCTCACTATGCGGCTTGACCTTTGCGACAGTGCTTGACCAGAGGGGCCACCAGAAGTCAGATTTGCACCATTACAACCTGAAGCAGAAGCTACGTGGCCACAAACCAGTCACGGAGGCCGACTTCGAGAAGCTGATCGGTGACCTGGACGAGAGCCTGTCCGGGTCGGACTCGGATGAGTCAGAGGATGACGAGGACGGGGACAAGAACGATTCGACACTGACGGCGCTCTTGAAGAAGCAGGCGACGCTGGCAGACAAGGGCAAGGACGGCGGCGGCGGCGAGGAAGAATGGGGCCGCGGCAAGAAGAGAGGGACAGGAAAGCCGCCGATGATGTGGTTCGGCTCGCCAGTCCTGCCGGCGAACAACTACTTTGGTATCTACAGAGTACTTTTCACGAACGAGGAACTGGCCAAGGAGGATCAGATCTTGGAGACGCTCAGGAAACGGCAACTTCCTCCACTTGCTCTCCCGAAAGTGGCAAAGGACGGATCTCTGCCTCCCATCGCTTACACGGGGCCACATATTTTCCTCTGCATGATCGGAGGTGGTCACTTCGCTGCCATGGTGGTGTCCCTCGCACCGCGGCAGACCAAGAATGGGCCTGGACCCATGAACCGCGAGGCTACGGTCCTGGCGCACAAGACTTTCCACAGGTATACGACACGGCGGAAACAAGGTGGCTCTCAATCAGCCAACGACAATGCCAAGGGCAACGCTCACTCTGCTGGTTCGAGCCTACGCAGATATAACGAGCAGGCACTGGTGGATGATGTTCGACAGCTCCTCAGCGACTGGAAAGGGCTCCTGGACACGTCAGATCTGTTGTTCATCCGAGCAACAGGCATGACGAACCGCCGGACGTTATTCGGCCCGTACGAGGGACAGGTGCTACGGGCGAATGATCCTCGAATACGTGGATATCCCTTCAGCACCAGGAGAGCTACACAAAATGAACTGATGCGCTCTTTTATCGAGCTCACCAGGCTCAAGGTCAAGGAAATCGCACCGGTCGATCCTAACGCCGCGCCAGAAGCAGCTACGAGACAGCAAGCCACGACGAGCAAGCCGGCCAAGCCTGCACCGCCAAAGCTTACCGAGGAGGAAGAGACGGCACTTTTACACACACAGCAGCTGCAAGCACTCATCCGTCGCTCAAAGCTCCCGGCGCTCCTTTCCTATCTCAAGACGAATGGCCTCACACCGGCCTTTTGTTTCCAGCCTGCCGACGCGAACCACCACGCACCAACACCTCTCCACCTCGCTGCCGCACAGAACTCGGCGCCTCTTGTTGTAGGCCTCTTGACGCGTGGAGGAGCCGACCCTACGCTACCGAATAAGGATGGCAAGATGGCATTTGAGCTCGCGGGCGAACGAGGGACCCGAGATGCGTTTCGCGTTGCCAGACACGAGCTGGGCGAGGAGGCCTGGGACTGGGACGCGGCCAGGGTGCCGGCAGCGATGAAGAGGGAAGATGTCGAGAAACGGGAGGAGAGGGAGCGGAAAGACGCAGATAGGAAGGAGGCCGAGCGGAGGAAGGCGGAAGAGGAGCGGTTGAGGCACGAGGGCCCCAAGGTCAGTGACATCGGCAAGAGGAAAGGCGGCAGTGTCTTGGGAGCCGGCGCGGACAAGAGTGCAGAGGAGAAGAGGCAGGAGGAGGTACGCGGGTTGACGCCGGAGCAGAAGATGAGGCTTGAGCGAGAGAGGCGAGCACGTGCGGCGGAGGAGAGACTACGGAGGATGCAAGGCGGTGGTGGAACTTGAGACTATTCTGGGGGTGCTGAGAGGCTCTCATTCTCTCTCTCTCTCTATCTCTGTATCTCACTCACACACGGGATCTTACATAGCCGGATTCTTCAGCTGTCAACAAAAAAGGAAACGAACGGTCGCCCGTCAGTCGGCCTGCATTTCCCCATTTTTACATTATGGCACACTCTTTCGGAGGAGGAGAGGAGCAGGCTCGGCTCCGTAAAGACAGTCAGCAGCGAGCATCTGCTCCTTGCGATGCGTTCACACTCTAGAGCGGTCTGAAGAAGGATGAACGGGGCCCATTCTCGGTTCCATACCATACCACCTTGATTTGGCTTTCTCCTCGTATTTGGAGTTGCCCTTGCATGGTATGAGGAGGACGAGGTCTGGACATGTTCTCCCTGTGGAGATCTTTACCCTAAATCTATGTTACCATGCACTGCAACACTTGAATCCGTCCCTTAAATTCCCTGCATGGTCCATAGTTCTTTTTGTTCTTGAATTTTTTTTTTTTTTGGTGCCAACACAGCCACCTCCAGGTTGAGGTCCTTTCATGCAGCTTAAGATTACAGTCAACTAGGTCAGGAGTGGCCAGGGGTCCTGCTCTGGGAATAGCGTCGCCTCTTTCGAAACAGCGCCCATTCCCACTACTACTATAGGAACCGAAGGAGAAAAGGAAAAAGGAACCAGGGGAATGGTACTCGGTTCTTTTGGCTGCCTCCTCCCTCGCCCCTTGTTACATATGTATGTGTGTATGTATGTATGTATGTATGTATGGGATCTTGCAGATACGAGAAGTGGAAAAGAAGGGAAATAAGGTCAAGAAGAAAGAAAAACTTGTTGTTTGAGGCTGTTCTGTTTCGCAAGGGTACAAGGATCATCATAATTGCGTGCAGGACAAAAAAAGTTATGTCAAAAATTGGAAGCACAGTTCCTGTACGGAAAGGAGCCGGGACTTGGGTGACAAATCGTCTCGATGATGCTCCGATCGACATGAGAAGGATTTTGGACACCGATTTGGGAGAACAGGATTCTGTATGTGGTAATTTCTCATTAAACGCAGTGTCTCTAGCGGGTCGAGAGGACGTGAATAGCTCTTGGCACGCAGACAGATGGTGTGTTGTGTACGTGTCGCTTGAAGCAGACGAAGAAGAAGAATAAGAGAAAGGAAAACTCTACAGGGCTGCAATAGAATGAACAGATCATCCTCTAGGCTGAGCAGAAGTCTGACATTACCTTGGGGAAATGAAGATGCGCGTGAGGGAGTACAGTCTATTTTCATCATTTGTGCACAACGAGGCCGAGATCTCCAGCCTTGTGGGACGGGCGAGCGGTCGGTCTCTCAGACCTCATCCTGTCCACACGACGGGATGCGGGGTTTAGGAAGAACGGGTTCATGCGGTTCGGAATCTTTGGAGAGCAGGGTGGCGGTGTGGGAGGAAGCGCAACGCATGAGAAATTATTTCCTTGAATGTGGTGGTGGTGGTGGTGGTGGTGGTCCATGAAAGATGTGCGCATAGTATATCCCCTTTGTAATTTCTTGTTTTCTCTCTCTCCCCTCCCTGATAGGTCTATTTTTTTTCCTTCCATGATGCTTATGCTCACGGCCAGAGAGGAAAAGGCAGAAAGAGACATGATCCTAGACATTGCCGAGTCCGAGTGTCATGCCATAGCGATGCGACGTCACACAGCGTCTACGGTGCACAAACTACTTAAAATCTATTGCCATAGGTACGTGGTACTACAGTACGTTGCACAGAAGAAGTACGTAAGCAAGCTTGCTTGGTCATTAATCCCTGTGCACTGCAGCACAGCAGGCCAGCATCTCGGATGTCGGTCATGCTCACCAAGCCGGGGGGGGGAGGGGTTCGTCGGATGGTGTGGTTGATCCTACCGGTGGAGGCCGCCAAGAGAGAGCCGGGACTTCTCGCTCCAAGGGGTTTGTATGGTGGAAAGAAGAAGAAAGAAGAGGGGGAAAAGAGAGAGGGGAGAGCATGAACGAGCAGGTCTGATTTTGATTTGCGCAAAAAGAGGATACTGCACTCCGGGCGTTTGTGAGATCTTCGTAGAGCAAAGACAGCTCTACTGTGGGTTAGAGTGTAAGGCTGCCAATCGCTGACCTCGCATGTCTGTAGGGGGTCACTCCAAAAAAAGAAAGGAGATCACCCAGCGCGTCAGCTGCTGGCGCCCAGCTGCAGTGGGCGGCGCGGGACGGGAGATCGAAGGGCAGGTTTGTCGATCAGCTTGGGGTCTTTTTTGACGCTTGGCAGCAAGTACGTAGGAAGCAATTGTAGCGAGCCTCTGATGACTGAGTGGTATACGTACGTCTCCTCCGTCGGAGAATAAGCAACGGGAGATTGAAAATTCGCCCGATCGGGTCAGAGGAGGGGGGCCCTGAGAAAGGCAATCTCGACAGTTGATCAATGTGCCACCAAACAAAAAGTGGATTGTTGGAATGCCCTCTTATATTCGTTTATGATAACCACCCAGATAACGGCAACTTCATCAAAGTTCTGAGAGGTGAGTTAGGGCCTCAGCAGACCCAAGGTCGCGGGCGGACTGGGGAAAGAGACCAGTTTTTGTCGTCCCTTGCGGAATATGCAATCATCATCTCGGAGGTGGAGTTCTTATCGTCCCAAGGCCGAGGGACGAGGGACCAGGCGGCCAGCGAGGCTGCTTTCCTTCTTTCTCAAGGTACCATCACGAACATGTCATCTCAGGGTCATTCGATAGTTCCAAATCTGGTTGATAGGCCTGTATCTTGGCGTATGGGGTTGGGAGATTGTATATTCCGATTGGACTTTGGCGATCTCGGGTTGTTCTTTCGTGCCGGGTCACAAAGAAGGCGCCTCAAGAAACCAGAGGTCTGGAATCAGGAGAAGAGGAGAAAAGGGAGGGGTGAGAGCACACGCGAACAACCTCAACCGGAGATGAGAGCATGTATCCTCCTCCACCCATGACGCGATTTTCTGCTCTCTCTTTCTCAATATCTGTTTCTCTTCCCTGTGACAACCCGACGGCATAGCATGACGGTACGGATGAACACAGCCACTTTATGCGATTACGTGCACACAAAAGCTCTTACAAGCGTCATGCATCGTTGAACCAGTAGTCTCTCTTCGTCACCGAAGCCAGGAAGTGATGGGGCTTTAGACTGGGGCTGTTGAAGATGCACGAACGTTGGTATTATGGTTAGTGTAGTGCTCCGTGGAAACATGAAACAAAGAGCCAGCAGGGTACCCCCTGAATTGAAAGGGTGTCACGGGATACGATAGTACCAACTGAAGAGTGAGGCTGCGGTTCCCTCCCAAGGCCCTCCCAAGGTGGAGGCTTCGCCAGAAGGGGGGGGGGGGGAGGCAAGGAACTTTGGTACCATGGTGTATCAGGTGGAGGAAAGAAAAAGGAAAAGGCTATGACAAGATCGATCACGAAGTAGTATTCAGCATCGCGGGGCAGGTTTGTCTCGAACGGGTCTGATGATTTCCGCGGGCCATTTCGCCTCGAGCCGACTATTTACTTTGTGATTTTTGCAGTGTGGAGAGGACTGCACGTGCGCGAGGATCCGAGGAGAGTTAGGATGAGTTCCTGTATAGGCTTGGTGATCCGGCGCTGTCGTCACATCGGGATCATGTTGTAGTAGTGTGAAGGGGGACTTGCGTTCCGGAATACGAGCTTCGGCAGACCGGTAGCGACGAGGGAAGCGGGGAGTCGAACGGTCGAGGAGGACAGCAAGAAAGGAAGAGGACAGCTCAAGGCGGAGCCTCCTCTGGGTCCGGTGTTCGAAAAGAGAAGATCGCTTCGATGACCAAGATCGCATTGGGCATGGTTGCCAAGATCGGCCTCGGGTCGAACACATCCAAAGAAGAAATCCTCCGGTGGCCGATGGTTTTTTTATCTGTGTGCTCCATGCCATTTAATACTTGCTGTCCGGGATCTGGGCTTAAATGGGCCAAGTTGGGACCTATTCGACGCCCCTGATATCCATCCTGATTACATAGTAAAAGACTGGGGCTATATGTGCTCTCTAGTATGGATGATATGGACTGCTGTGGCAGTCCTACATAGGAAGAAAGAAAGAGAAAAAAAAAAGGGGGCGTGGAGGCTTTAGTTTAGTACTTCGCTACTTGACCACAATCTGTCGCTCCACTGACAAGGAGGTCCCATTCGCTTAGCTGGATCAGATCGGAATAAAGAAGTGGTACAGAGAACAATACTGTAAATTCTACTCTATAGGACAATCGTACTGTCTTGGTCAGGGTGAGTAGTGCAGTCATAAAGTTAGAAAGTGGGAGGTTGAAGGTGGATCATCGAGTGGACAGGAGAAGATCTCCCTCTCGCCGCCTAAAAGGCCATTGCGTGCTACCCATGGAGTGGTCAAACCCAGAATGGTACTGATTGGCGGGCATCGTTCGTACCTGCATTAGCGTCTAGACACTCAGTCCTTTCCCCCAAGTTTCCCCTGGTGGCTGAGCAAGTCAGGTTGTGTTTCAAGTCGTTGCCTTCTCGGCCCCTGAACTTGGCGGTAGCGCGACCCCGTTCTGACAGCCATAGCACCGTCGCATTGGTCAACTCTCCAGCCAGGGGGCCCTGCAATTGGGAAAGAAAGCAAAGAGAGAGGGAAATAAAGGTGATGCGTTGGTTCGGTTCGATGAGAGCCCATCGTCTGATGACTCGCTTTTCAAGGTTGGGGATAAGGTTTTGGGATGATCAACCGAGGCGGGTTCAGTGTTTGTGTGGGGTCCTTTTACCATAGTCCTACCACATGTTACCAGACGTTTGATATCATAAGTATGTACTGTGGTACTTGTGTACTGTTGGAAAGAATACTTTCATAGTAGTAGCAGGTCACAAGACAGCACCACTGACAACTCCTAATTACTACCGCCATGGTCTCTACAAGTACACTTGCCATAGCAAGATAACTATAGCACTGATGAGAAGAGAGAGAAAATAAAATGTATTTATGGCAATTTTGCGATGCCCTGGCGGCTCCTTCGGTAAAGAAGAAGAAAGGT